TTTTTTCTCATTTTTTCACGTAAAAAAATTAGGGTAGGGGCTGTCAGAAGAGAGTAGGTAGGGAAACTGGAAGCAGAACTAATTTTTTTTTGGCCTAATGGATACCATTTGCAAAAATTCAAAAAAGATACTGTTAAAAATGTTAAATCATGAAATATCCTACTTGATTGTAACATTGAACAATATGATCATGCATCCTGTGAAATCGTTGCGCCTAGAATGCTGTCATTTGCGAGAAAAGAGGAATAACCGTCATTTCCTCTCGATGGTTAGGACCAAACCATCTCGCTTTCACTGGAAACTCTATGCTTTGCATCCAGAAAAATGAAGATCTATGCATTTTCACGGTTTTCTCAAACAGTGTGAGAACGTTCAACAGGTTATTTCATTAAAACCCTAACCCACCTCACTCCCCCAAAATCCTCCTGGCGGTTTTGGAGGATTCTAGAGGATTGAGGATGAATGGTGATTGAATCAAATAAGTATTCTGGAGGATTGAGGATGAATGGTGATTGAAGCACATGAGGATTCTGGAGGATTGAGGCTGAATGGTGATTGAAGCACAAGAGGATTTTGGAGGATTTTGGAGGATTGAGGATGAATGCATTTTGAGGCAGGACTGTCTGATGATTTTGAAGGATTTGGCGTTGGTTATCCTTCATTTAAACACGAGTGCAAAATTTTGGGTTGAGGAGGATTTTGGAGGATTGACGATGAATGCATTTTGAGGCAGGACTGTCTGACAATTTTGAAAAATTTAGGCGGAGTTAAAAAATTTTGGAGGATTTTGGAGGACTGAGGATGGTTCTTAGCAAAAAGGGCCTAGGGGGTTAGGGTTTTAATGACCTGCAGTGATTGCTGCAGGATTTTGCAGTATTGCGGCAGTGGTGATCACCCCTCCAAGGACCACATTCAAGAAAAACAGAGGATTTTGCAGGATTGAGGCTGCATGCAATTTTTACATGGAGGCAGCTGTGAGGATTTTGCAGGATTAAAGTTGCATCCTAGAAAAAAAATGCCTCCAGAGGGAGTTGGGGTTAACATGCCTAGGCCCTTAAACTTGGAATGTCTTTAACCTCCCCCACGCTGTTTGCAGCACATATTGAAGAAATAAATTTTAATTTATGGAAGTGAACCAGTCCATCAGATATAACGCACGGCCAGTCCAGCATGTAAGCTGGCCTGCGCTTGTTAAACCAGGAACTTCTGATTTCATTAAGATGATAAGATGCCAGCAATCTTGTAAACTGATGAGACCTCAACCGATACAATATTTGCTTTACTGTCCAGTCAAGGTCAGATTATTCCGCTGCAAGAGGTAACCGCTGTGGCGTGACCTGCAGACTTAAGTCCTAGAAATGAAGGTGAAACCAAGCGATGAGACAGAGTCACAAAGCCCTCACATGTACATGTTGTTTACCATTAGCGTCCGTCCAATTTTTAAAATATGCAAACTGAATTCATGTCAGACGTTTAAGCACATCTTGATTGTTAACACATGTTTGTGACAATATGGTCTGAGCGGTCCATCTCTTTCCAACACTACATGTATGCTTGACAGGGACAGTTGGGCCCAACTTATCAAGTCATCACGAAAGTGAATGAATATTACAATATGCCAGGTACATCTGTGGGATTGAACACACAGTTGAGAATTTCTATTCGCCCGAGGACAATGATTTGTGTTTCCCTTTGTCCCTTTAATACTCTTCCCATAGACTATGGAGGAATAAAAACACAAACACATAACCGTACGATCGAGGACCGTTAGAAAAAAAACCTGTTCAACTCTGCCGAATCTTAGCAAATATTTCCCGACGTCAAATCCACTTCGAGTTTGCATTCGTGTGCAGTATGAACCGGCGAAAACTTAATGTAAACGGACACAGTCTACAAAACCTACGAGAGAAATTGTTATCATACATGTATGCCCTTGTGACCAGAAACCATTAGGTTTCATCTTTGCATGATATTTTAAGCCTTCAGTTTTTTCCCCGTCATACTCAATTACATGGTCACTGGATGTGTTGCTCAGATAACACCTTGGTTGCCATGACAATGGGGCTGTATCCCTGGGTGCACTCTGTAGTGTAACTTTATACTGGGGGGGGGGGGGAGATGAGGGGGGGGGCATTTGTATCATCCGGTGAAACGCAGTGTAGGACGAAAGTGGCGACGAAGAACACTGAACAATTTTCTGCCCTATGAGGATTGAATATTCTTTCTCCCGCTGGCTGTGAAATAAATCTTCGATCTGGGAGCCAATAGTGTCGGCTAAGTACTTTAGACTACCGGTAGCACACAGCTTTTGGGAAAGTGTTCATGTTGTGCTGTGAATTGCTATGAAATCGTTGAAATAGTCAAAATCGATCGCCTTTTGGAAATTTTCTGTGATCGGTTTTTACCATGCCCACTCAATAGGTTTCCAGTGGTGTTCGGGTTTACCCTCACAATCATGACAATACCCATTTTACTAATGTACATCATGCATGTACATGTATTGTATGTACAGTACGTAGTTGGACATTTACATAGATCAGAGTTAACTGCAGTTTTCAAGGATAGCCATGCTCACACATGTACAAGATTTTTTATAAACTTGAAGCACAGGCATGCCAACATGCACTGGGATTACCTGGTGCAAAAATAACAACTTCCGTGTAACCTGCAAAAGGAAACATCACCCTTGATTTGCAGGACATTCATTCATGTAACTCTTCCTGAATCTTCCAAAACGCATGAGGGTCGTATTCCATAAATTTGGGTGTTTGGTTTTTTCTTGTCCCTGTGATATCTGAAACGTATATATGTACCGGTATAAGATTTTGTAAATTCAGTACACGTTCAGGAGTGATTATGTAACAAAAAAAGGATCTGCCAAACAAATACAAAATAGTTCGAAATTAATTTTAATGGTACTTGCATGGCACATTATGGGTCAAAATGTCACACTGTGGACCCCACACTTATAATGGAATGACCCATGTGCTAACATGGACAGGCACAGGTCGTATACAAATCTAGCTAAAAGTTTATAGCATCCATGGAGATATTTTATGTTGCCAGGGATACATGTATTTTCGGCCTAACTTCTCCCAGGAAACTTATTGTTAAGTAGGCGTCTAGCCCATTATCGTTTATCGCCTTTGGCCATTGGCAAATTGTAATAGATGGTACCCATTAAAATGCATGTGGGATTCAGTGCACTTGCCTGCCCCATTGTAGCATAGGGATTACTTATAGCTTAAAGGGAACATACATCATTTGCTTTTGCTGTAATTTTCAGAAATGGATGGAATTGGGGGGTTGGAAATATATAGCAAATATAGTTACACTGACTTTTTTGAGGTTTTGGGTTCGAAAATGCTATAAAAACCAAGAAAAACAATCATTTTCCTGTAGTCTGGTTCCCTGACTCCATATAAGAAGAAACAGAGCAGTTTACATACATTGGGGAATTGTAAGGTCAGGGAACCAGTCTACATGTAGCTGGCATGTACCCGTTCATAGGTGTGTAATCGATTGCAAACAAGTGCTATGGTCAATTGGGGCCAGTATTTGAAAAAAAGCCAGTTGATACAAAAATACCGCTTTTCTTGAAAATGACCAAGTATACCAGGTGCCATGATATTACATGATGCTTCACACTGTCATTCACTAACAGTCCAGCAAGGTATTTCAAAATGATTTGGTAGTTTTATTTTTTGATGTTTGCAAATTTTGTATTTTCCCTTAAAGACATATCAGTCAAGATTGATGCACACCCAGTGTTTTCCTTTCTCTATAGTGTGAGCCCAAAATGACCACATTTTGAAGAAAATTACAAAGATAAAATTGTACGGGTCATTCTGTAAATTTTACTTTTCCCAAATACATTTGTACACGTATATCTGACATCTATGATTTTATAATTCTGATGCACTTCTTAATGCAGTCATCCTCCAAGCGTGATTATGAATAGCAAACTACCTACCCAGCAAAAACGAAATTGATTGAAGTCATTCTGAATGTTACTTGAAGGATTAATTACAAAGTACCGAGGTACCGGTACATGACATGTACATGTATGTAACAGGGACAGAAAAAATGTCACAATTTGAATGACACCATTAATTTGAATGACCCATATCTATTTGACATGCTTTTCAAAAACTATTATACTGTAGTCATGATTTAATCCAAATTTTTAAGTCTTGTTTTTATTTCATTTTGAAGGTTTTATACTGTTGATTACATACATGTACATGTGCATACAGTGTACCGTACTTAAACCATGTACCTGAAAAGAATGTTTGTGGAAGACTGATTCAAATTGTTTTTGTGTTTGTCTTGTTCAGTTGCAGTGTGTGTGCTACATGTACTTGTTTTTTCAAAGCCTGTTTTCTCCATTAAGGCTTTTCTAGTTTACTGAACACTGGATGGAATGACGTACCGGTACATAATGTGCATGTACCATACAAAATGCACAACAAGGAGATCCTTAACAAAATTATATCTCATGCTCTTTGGAACTGTCCTTGACCCAGGTTCAAATCCCACGCAGGGTTGGGTTTTTCAGTCCCTAATTCCATAAATTTTCCCTGGAATGTCATTCTGGGAACGTGTGTTTTTCCTTCCACCCCTATTCCCTTTCTCACCTTCTACCGGTACAAGGGATCCCACTAAAAATATTGTTGGAAAAGTTTCAGTGGTTATATCACGATCAAATGCCAAAGAGGTTGTGTCACACAAAATACTCTACTTTACAGACAACTTGTTCCAGGCTATGCCGGTGAAGACTGTGAGAAGCAGATTTTGTAAACTCGTGTGTCAGTTTCCGAGATATTTCCATAAACCGTCGCAAAACTGTACTTTGTCTTTCCGAGGGTTTCTTTACTTTCTAGTGCATTTGGTTGCCTCCAGGTTGCCTGTGAAAAGATTGTCTTGTGTGATTTTGCCATAAATTCAAAAGACAATAATCCAATCTTTTTTCTTTTTTTCCCCTTTTCTTTAATCTACAGCAACTGCTCTCCTGGATCGTCTCATCTCCTACCTGACCACCAATGAACGTTCCAACTGCAAAGCTGCCTACCTCCACGTACTAGCCACTAACACCACTGCCATCAAATTCTACGAGAAGCATAACTTCAGGAAGCATGAGTACCTGCCGTATTACTACGCCATCCGAGGCCAGCCCAAAGACGGGCTGTCCTACGTCTTGTACATCAACGGCGGACAACCACCATGGACGCTCATATATCCTTTGCTTAAACGAATTCTAACTCTAAAACTTGACCTCTAGGGCTGTGCATCAGAACTGGGTATCCGAGTACCCGACCACTGATGTCAGGAACTGGTTCCAGATTATGGGATCTGGTACCCGTAACTTTACAAATTACTTAGTAACTTCTCAGACAATGAACAATAAAGGTTTCAAATGTCATAAATGGAGAAATTTCAAAATGAAAACCAGGCTACATGGAAGAACAAGACCGATTTCACGTTCATGGGCGCGCGAAAGTTGCAGGTTTCACCATAAAGCTCACTGTACATACTTGAATCTTGCCATATTGATGCACCGATGTGGTAGTATTATTGTGCGGACTTTATGAACAATCTCAACAGCAACTTCCGAGATTTGAAATTTTGGGTTGGGTTTCCATAACGGGTACCCGGGTACACTTGGTGTTTTTTTGTATCGGTTACCGGGTTACCGTACTACCTATAGATACACAACCCTGTTGGCCTCTGACCCTTAAATTTGACCTTAACTTCTAATTTTAACCTCATCAAACATTTTTGGACATTTCTATACTGTATTTCATTTCTTGTAACTGGTATTTTAAACTTGCTGAACTTCATTTTTTGACACTGCTCACCTATTCTGATTGTTGTCCTTAATGGTTTTGTGATTACGGACTATATGAAGCAGTTTGGCTTGTACCTATCCAAGATCCAACCATGCAAGCTACCCAGCGCCATGGCTAGCCACACCAGGAGCTGGTTTGCTGGTCGTCGCAACTGGCTCCCTAGCGTCAACATGAACATTGTGTCGCGCATCCGAGGTCAGATGTCCAGCGATCCAGAGTCAGGGTCTGGGTCTGGGACAGAGAGCGGGGAGGAATCAGGGGAAGAGACGGGCGGCGTCCCGACGCAGCCCGCACTGCCAGGAGCATCGGGCGACGCGGCAGGGGCAGCAGCAGCAGCAGCAAGCGCGATGAACGTCGAGACGGCATCCATGGCGGAATCCATCACGGATCTGGGCTGCGTGGGTCGCGGACGCGGTTGGCTACCGGGCATGCCCAGGCTACCCAGCGTGCCCAAAATGCCCAACGTACCCAAGATGCCCAATGTCAACATGCCGAACTTGTTCTCCCGGTTCCGGGGCCAGTGCGCGGAAGGTACGGCCAACGACCCCGAGAAAGACGAACGCCCGAACAAGAGGGATCACGTCCTATAAGCCACAACTCATCCAAGTGTGTAAAAAATATGCAATATACTTCAAGGATAAAACCAAACGCTAGTCACTGAACACAATGTCTTCAGTTCAATGAGGGTTGTACACAATCATGAATCCACCCAGAGCTAAAGTGAGAGAAAATGCGACTTATTTTCAACATTGTACTATTTCACGTACACTCTTGTTTGTGAACAAGACAACTTGAGGAATACATGCAACTTATTCCTTGCAGTGTGGAGACCATGTAAGTCTGTAACACTGCACAGCTGCCAATGAGCAGACTGATGGTCTGGTACCCGAACCTCTTGGACAAGCACGCTGCAATATGGAGTGGAACGTTGGAGCAAGGCGGTTTTAGTCAGGTCCCAATGAGTCGTCAACCTTATGCAGTAAGTCTGTAGAGTGTGTTTGGTACCCAGACTCGATTTTTTTTAACGTTCATGGAGCCATCTTCGACCGATTGTGTAAAGGCACTTGACAAGGTCTATCGGATATTTGGCCAGTTTGTATAAATCAAAATTGGTGACTTTGGTCACTAAATTGTGTGATAGTGTGAATACAATGGGAAAAGACGCAAATAAATCTTCACTTTTCATCAGCATTAGTGCAGTAAAATAGTATGCGATAACTTGCTTATGTTCAACAAGCAAATAAAATGAAGTCTAAAACCGAAGGAAAAAAACCAACAGTAATTGAAAAATGACTTCACTTGATTTGTCCTGTACATACTTAACCCATCCAAAAACAATGTGTGCTAAATGTTCACGTTTAACAACTAACAAGACACAATACGCACATTCAATGCGCCCCTAATTTTCCAATTTTATTTAATCAGATTGTTTAGATGGTTATGTTTTTATCGTGTTAAGGCGTATGTACATGTATTTGGTAGGTGTACATGTGTATACATGTACATTTGTGTTGTAATTAATCCTTAATTTGGTACCATAGGTTCATGTGTATTCTTTGTCTCAGTTAGACTGTACATAAATACTAAATAGCTTACAAATCTCTTGGAAAGCTCTCAAAAATTTGGGCAAAAATGTGTCATAATCTTCCGTTTGCTTTACTTCCATTTGTTTGACTTTATTTTGAGAATGTGAATCGAATGATCATGTTTTTTGTGAGAAGCTTTGTTGCATTTGTTTTCTTCCGGGGCAAGTAAATTCTTGCAGAGATCTTTATTATTTTTTTGAGTGGCATTTACTTTTTATCCTGGGTTCATTAACAGTATGTGTAGTTATTTGTATGCATTGTCAGTTTTTTTATTGAAATGCTTGGGTACTTGTCCCTGTTGTATTGTTGGTTTGGGCATTTCTGAAACATTAACCCTCCTGCTGTCTGAACAGTCACAGACAGTCAAAAAATCAATCCTCTTCCCCTGCCACGCCTTTTACACAGGCTAGTCACCAACAGTCAGATCATATTTCAAGCAAGCACCGTGACTAGTCAAATTCAGTCAACCGACAAAAGCAGGCAAGTGGTAGGCACAGCTGGCTTATCAATCACATACAGTCAAAGCATAGCTGTATCAAGTTGCACAAACCGTCACAGCCAGTCAATCCTGCTTTATGTACAATGTAGGCTGGGAGCTCTTAACTGTTAAAAACAGTCACTTGACTGATTTTGACTGAAAGGACAACTTTGCACAGAGTGTATGGTTGCATGGGAGGGTTAAAAATGAAATAATGTAAAGAAATCTGCAATGATCGAAAGGCGGTGTGTACTGCACATGTGTTGCATGACATATTTGAGTTAGCATTGGTTGCAGTTTTTGGGAAAAGGGCATGAGCCATACATGTACATTGTACCTGTATGTGACCTTGGTAATAGGCATCACAGAAATAAATGTTGGTTGTTCCTGTTCTGTTGATTGTTGTAAGTATAGTTCAAGCTTCCTCTGATGTGTTAAAAGCGGTAGTCTAGTGATAAAAAGGTTTGGCAGGTTAAAAAGGGCAATCAGGAAGTTATATAATGGTATTTGCTTTTTGGAAATTTTGTAAATTGAAAGAAGTAAAAACAAAATAGTTTGGTCTGGACTGATCGAAATTTGTCAGGATTCTAAGAAAAGAAGACATTGCTTAAACAGGCTATCAGATTTCCCCCGATATTGTGTAAATCTAACCCTACAAAATCCTACAAAAATCCATCAACTGGTGTTGAAAGATTTTGAAGGATTTAAGGAATCAGACACCGTTACATACACGTAGCACAAGGAAATTGATGGCCAATTCCTCCCAGATCACTCAAAAACCATGCCAGGAGGTTTTGCGGGAATTTAATGGATTGAAAAATATGACCTAAACCACTTTATAATTTAATATAACAGCATTTTCCATGATGGAAGTATCATTACAAAAAAAATGTGCCGTTGGATTTTGGAGGATCTAGGAACCTTTTTTGCAAAAATGTCTCAGTAGTTAGGTCAAACCCAAAGGGCTATGTTTGCTTAATACATGTACCTATCAAGTTTCAACAATCAAATGTTTTTAACACCTGTTTCTAAATCCTGTTTGAATACAATGTACATGTACATGGGAAGTTTGTTTGTGTAATTTATGATGTAACAATCTGAAGCAAGGACGATAGAACCAGTCACCTGATGTATCAGCCAGCATAAAGCCACTTTTACAAGGCTTTGAAGAAAACAGCCATGCACTTTAATCTTTAGCAATATCTTCCAGCTCAAATTTGGTTTTTGCTTTTTAAAATATGATGTAGTTGATTTTATTTTTTACGGTTTAAAAGAAAGTTAGATCTTTACTTAAATTAACACTAAATAGAAGGGAAAGGGAGGTTAAGTTGAAATTTTCTGTACTTTGGAAGTAAAAGTTTGGAAGTAAAAGTTAAGGTTGTGGGGAAAAAAACATATCAAAACCTAGTTTGCAAGAAAATATACAAAAAATCCCCCACAAGATTTGTTGTAAGGATTTTTAGCAAACCTTTTTTTTTCTTCAAAACTTGTTTTACGAAAACATGACTGCTTTTGTGGCATTTAAGCACAGCTGTTGTTTTGTGGTCACTCCCAAGTTGTTTTTTTTTAATCCATTGAAAGAAAGCTTGGCCAAAGTGCAGCTCGGGTCCAGACTGTACAATGTGTTACACAATAGAATGGCCGGTCGTGTGGTGATGAGGTCAAACGAACAAAGATAGCTTAGATAATAAGCTAGCTGGAAAACCTTGGCGATACAATATCAGCATTTTAATACGTGAAGCTCCATAATGCCCATCAGACATGGCTCATCTTTGTGTTGTACGAAGTGCAGATTTTTTTTATCAGTAGAAAAAGTCAAATATTTGACTGTGCAGCACCTTAGAAAACCTTATAAAGGTGCTACATCATGGGTCTCATATTTCTCATAAACTTCATGTACCTTTCTTTAAAAATAGACATCATTACCAGCGCCTTGAGTACCTAAATGTTGGTAGATAGGTGCGCTGTATAAGACTCGGGCATTATTATTATTGCATCATCTACAGAATTGTTGATTTTTGTAGTGTTCACTTAAATTTAAAAGTTGGGGGGCTTTTTCTTGAAGGAAATCACACATGCCTCGGCTTGCTTGTGCATGGAGATTTATATCGCTGTGTTGCTATTTATAACTCAATCTAGATTCTTGTAAGCTCTTTATAATGCTTAGGATTTATTGGCAGAAAAGACCACGATAATGTATTTTAAAATATTACACATGGACATCCATCATTTATTAATGGTCTAGGAGATTACAGGCTAGGAGTTTGGGATCATTTCTCTGAATCAATAATTAGATACCGTGGTAAATTGGCTCTGTCAAGACATTACACTTCCTTTCATAACGCTGGATTGCCCATGTGCCCTGGATTAAATTACCTATCAGATGCATTTACAATAACATATCTTTGGAGATTTCCAAAAATAACTGTTGTGCCTACACTTTTTTATGGTTTTCGTTATGAAACTGCTCATGGTCTAAAAATGGACACACTCAATCAGCAGAGAGTTAATAGCGAAAGCTTTCAAAAATTGATGATGTTGTGCTTGAGCCAGGGCAAAAAAAAACCCCAAAGGAAACGACGCAGCAACATATGCAGGCATTGTTTGTTCTAGAGTGCCCATACAGTTATATCAACATTTGTTTAGGTATAAATAGAGGGAAATTATTTGATTGACTTATTTGGTAACTTTTCATTGTGTGTTGCCTGACTCTAGGTCGGAGTCCGACGTCGCTAGAGCTACTTTTGAATTACAGGTTCGTAAAGGCGTAAAGGATCATTTAAATGATTTTGAGTGGTGGTGTTAAGAAAAGAACAAAATGCATGAAAAAACAAATGATCCTATATGTCTTTAAACAAATCTCTCTCAACGTAAGTCGGAAGGAAATGTCAACATTTTCATCCACCTAACATGCAAATTGATCAGAATCCCAAATTCTATAACATATCGAAGTGAAAAAGCTGAGTATTTTTTATCTTGTAGTGAAATGAATCTGTGAAATAAGTCTGTACATATAGACATGTATGTAATTTCATACAGTTGGTCCATACATTACATTAAACTGATCTAAAAAAAAATCTCAATCTCTAGAAATTTTGCACAATTTGTAGATTGTTTGGTTAAAGTACAAGGTGCATGAGCATAATTGAGATCCAGTGACCTGAAAAATATTTCTGATTCCAATTTTCTGCCTTGTATTGCCAACACCTGGGTAGTAGTTTATCACTGGACGAGTTATTGCGATGAGCAAAGTCCAGGGCTTTTTCCGTACAACTGGATCGATGGACTTCATATGTTGGGGGTGATTGTAATTATGGGTTGTCCTTGATCAAATCCCGCAAGATGGATTAATTCCGTGGGCTCAAAATGAGGGGAAAAAGAAGGGATAGGCTTGGGTTGATTTTATACATGTTAATGTAGACCACACGTGTGCATGTTACTGATAGTTTGCTATAGTTTGCTAAATTATGATTGTACAGTAAAAAACAATGATGTAAATGTACAGAAACGGTGAATTTTAACCCAAACCCTTTCAGATCATTCAAAATCTCGGAGGTTTTTGTAGGATTGAGGAAGATTCAGCCCAGACACTCTTACATGTACTTAGCATAGGGCTTGATGCTTTTTAAAAGAAGTACCGTACATGTACAAGGAATGTGGTTTTGGTTATTTTTTTGGTTTCTGCATAATGGAAGATTTCTGTAGATTGTAAAGAAAAGATGAAGTTCAACCCTAACCCTCCCAAACCCTTGAAAATGCTCCCGGTGGATTGCGAAGGGTTTTGAAAGATCCTGTAGGATTGAGGAAGGTTCAGCCCAGACACTATTACTTTACGCGGGGATTGATGTTGATGCTCTTTGTATGAAGTATTAAAGAATGTGATGCTGCATAGAGGTTTTTGTTGGGTTCTGATGGATTTTGGTGGATTCAGGAAAGTTCCCCACACAAAACAAACTGCACTTTTTGAGAATGCTTCCTCCAGAACTGACAAATAGAGATTAACGTTTAAGGAGCAAAACGTTGTATTATATGTAAACAATCAACTCAAAGACAAATTATTCAGATACAAAAAAAAGTACTTTTATACCTAAATGTAAAGTGTTACTAGTACATAACTTGAAGAGCGTTTGTTGGAGGAAAAAGCATTGGAATGTTGTTGACTGTATCTTGCGTAAAATACAGATTAGCTAGTTAATTAGGAGTAGTTAAACCTAGAAGCAATATTTGGGTACGTGGATAATTTTTGGAAAAAGCTTATAGTTATTCGTCAAGACTTTGACTTTTGGGATGTTAACGTAGGCAGTTCGATTTGAAAAAAGGTCTTTGTTAAAGTGTTGTACAAAAGAATCTTTATTGTTTTAACACCTCCCCCCTGCCCGCCCACTCCGCCAATTTCTACTTTTGCAATGCATCACAATTTTTTAAACTTCCTGTACAAACATGGAACCAATACAGTTGACTCTCAGTACATGTTATACAAGTTTGGTTACGACGGAATTCTGGTTGCATTGAATGTACAGTCGACTCTCGTTAGTACAAACTCTGTTAATACAAAATTCTGGTTATAACAAACATAAAGGCTTGGTCCCGAATGTGCATTTATGTGCACAATGAATGGGACTGATGTTCCTCTTAATACAAAATTCTGATATACACGTAACAAACAATTTGGCTAGGTCCGAACGAGTTTGTTATAACGAGACTCGACTGTAATTCCTTGGCTCAGCTCCACTTCTTTGCAAAATTACGACATGGGTATACATTTTTAGATCAAGCTGCATTTGTTTAAACATGAGTCAACTGCCTATAACCTGTTCAGACTGTTGCTGTTTGATAATTGTTCACATGTTAAGTTACTCTAGTGATACACTTGACTGTGAAACATGAAAGGGGAAATACAATGTGGGATAGAAAAACGTCCATGATAAAGCTTGAAATTTTAAACAGATTTGAAGATAGCAATATTGTTTTTTAATTATTCACAGAGAAATAGCTGGTTATTGTATGATTTTTAAAGTTCAATATTTGCACCTTAAAATGTTTTTTCTTTTGTTCATCATCTCTTGGTGATGTATAGTCAAGTTTTCAAACAAGGCAATTTTCTTTCACAAATTTGAAGAAAAAGTCTCACAGATACATCTTGATGGCAATTAGGCTGGCGCCCGAGCCATGGTGATCACTGCTTGTGGATTTTTGCTACTAACCATGGGAATCGAACAAAGATGGCAGCTCATCAGCAACAAAATGTCATGCCTGTAGATTTCAGAGAAAAGTCAAACAAACTACAAGAAAGAAATTTTAGCACCCTTCATCACAAAATTAACAATTATTGAAGCTGACATCTGCTCAATCCATGTTGTCAGAAAAGAACAACACCTGTAATGATTTTCTGTGGAAATATCTTTAAAAATGTAAAAGCAAGTCCAACAAATGAAAACCGACTTAAACATTCCTCTTGAAAAAAAAAAAGGATTTTGAACTCTGGATGAGAAACCTTCTTAATTTTTCCAACTGTATAGCTTCCCTTCATCATGGAAATTCACAATAATTTGTGCTAGTCTTTTTAGTTTAAGCAATAATTAATAGCACCACTCAAATTTACACAGAAATAAAATCGTTCTTGTTTTGTCTCAAATTCTCCCAAAGTAGATTGTACAGTATGTAACTTTTCAACTCACAGCTTTTCGTATGTAATGTGGTAATCAATTTTGTACATGCATAAGTATGGAGAATTTAGAGTACATTCAGAAGTGGTGATATTCTAAGGAGGGTGTACTGTTTTTATTACTAATAAAGAATTAAAAACGTGATAAAATGGATAAAAAGATGTTGTTTTCCTTTGTTTGCAACTTAAAAGAAAGGATCCCCAAGTCCTGTTAATGGAATTGACTCACTTTTTATTTTTTTTTCTCTCTTGGAAATGTGATCATGGTAAGATTTGAAACATTTTTGGGTGTCCCCCCCCCCCCCCCAGTTTCGCCGCCTCTGTGTGCATGTATAACAATGTATACCGGGAAGGTAGGACAAAGATGTTTTGTGATGATGTTCAAACATGATGAGAGATGTTCGCACTACAATAGTGCAAAGGGGCACATAACGTTGCAAAACAGGTCAACAAGTATTAAGCAATGGTCCCTGATCCTACTTGCTCAAACTTAGAAGCTGGTCTGAATTCTGACTTGATCTTGAATATAAAGTCAGAGATCGTCCATAATTTAAAACCAGCTTTTTGCTCTTATGAACTTTCAATATTAGCACTCACACACAAAGGTACAGGTTGCTGCACTTGTGTGTTTTTGTAGGGTAGGCGAACCAGTCTACAGTGAAGGAAGAATCAACGCAGCGTACACCAACCAATGAAATCTCTGAAGCTGAGAGGCTGATACCTGTCCTCAGAACAGGTCTCCAGTCTTCCGCAGAACTTCGGCCATTTTTAATTCCAAGTCTGAATCCTCAATATTTGACCTTTAACCCCGTGAAGAACCTTCCATGGGCCAGCAATTCCTTGACGACACTCCCTTTTTTGCTGGAATTGTTTTGATCCGTTGCCATGATGACAAGGAAGAAACTATTTAAGGGCAGCGTCTTGTAGATCTTCTTGATTCTTTGGTCCAGTTGTTTGAGTGTTTCCTAGAAAGAAAAAAACACAGAAGAGGAGAAATTGCTCCCGAGTAAAATCGATGCGACTTGAAACAAAAATCAAACTTGAAAAGTTGAGCAAGTTGATCTTATTAAGTCTTACTCTACAAAACTGCTTCCCTTTTGAAACAAAATCACTTCTTGGGGGTTAATACATCTCACAGACAAGATAGCCTAATTAGGAAAATGAAGTAAATGTTAGCACCTCTCATTATTAACTGGTTCACGCCGGGATTATTTTAACTCGATGCCAGACGGTTCAGGCCGTCAGCTGCGAGTGGGCCGCTGACAGATATTTCCGGCCTCTATCAATGCGTGTTTATTATCCGTCATTCGTTCCGAATACCGCAAAACCTTTGCGTGTATACACGTCATCTGATGTGAACTGGCTAAATTTCGCATTTGTGAGGAGAAGTACTCATATGGGGCATTCTATTAATTTTGGGTCCATTGTGATATATTTATGTGTCCCTGTTATACCCGACCTGTTTAATTTGTCATGCAAGTATCATTAAAACTGACTTCAAACTATTTTTTAAGTGTTTGGCAGGTATTTTGCTTTACATAATCACTCTTGGAAATACAATGCATTAAAGAATGTGTCCTGAATTTACAAAATCTTTTATCAGATGTAAAACGGAACACGAAAAAAAAAAAAATTGGAACCCAAGTTTATGGAATGAGCTACTTGCTTGCCAGTCAGAAATTATAACACACACACACAATATCTCTTATTCTGGTTGTTGATTACCTTGACGACATCTCCCTCCAGTGAAATCCCTTGCATCAGTTTGGAGAAGTTGTAAAACTGAACACAGACGAAGTCCGAATACGGAACTGACTGGACTGTTTTCTTTAACGCCTACGTAAATATGAAACAAAGGAATGATGCACTTTCAATGCTTTTGCAACACTGATAAATTCCATGTATCAAATCTCAGCTCAATTTGATCAATATTTTTTTTTCAGCTTTAGGGTAAACTTTATTGGACCAAATCCGTTTTAGGAACCCCTGTACACTGTCCAGTGAAGAAATTTATACAGCGTGTGGAATTTTTTTCAATTCAAATTCATGAATAATGAGGAATAAACACTATTATTACAAGAAGACCTGATACCAAAGATCGAGTTTTGACCAAGCAATGCACATTTTGCAATATGAACAATGCAAACTTTGAGTTCCCAACTTGCCATGTTATTCAAATTTGTAGCATTGCTCTCTGGGAAAACATCTAAAAAGCAAAAGAGCAAGTGAGGCCGTGTCCGAAATGGGCTTCCAGAGCTACGGCTACGTCTATTGTCAGCGCGTCCCCGCGTATTTTCAATGGGCCCAGACCTAGACCTAGCTCTAGACAGTTGATTCGGATGCAGCCTAATTCATGTAGATACAGACGGACATTCTTCAAGGTTCCTTTTTCTTTGTTGGATTGAGAATTACATGAAGGGAATGTCATACCTCTGAATCATTCTGACATGGTATGGCGCCCACTGGATCCTTCATGAACTGTTTGGCCACAGACAGGCTGTCTATTAACATGCTGACTCTACCTAAGGACTGGGCGCACCTGAACATGCTGCAATCACAAGGAACAATCAGCGGTGGAAAATATAAACAATGACATTAATGATAATAATAATAATAGTGGGTATTTATAAGGCGCACGTATCCACCAGGACTGGTGCTCACAACGCTACATCATTATTGCCCCTGCTCATTGGGCACATGAAACATTCCAAATACCATCTCAGCTCCCTGGGAGTATACAGCTCGATGCAGCCTGTTAAATGCAAGGAAGCTAAATCAACCACAATAACCATCTCTGCCCTCACAGGTACCCATTTACTCCTGGGTGGAGAGAGGCAATGAGTGACAAAGCGCCTTGCCCAAGGGCACACGCACCATGACCCCAGGCTTTTAGGCGTACGATGGTGTGGGGGTGTGATCGCACGCCTCAAATCAGAAGGACTGATAGTGGAAATTTATAAAGCGCACGTATCCACCAGGACTGGTGCTCAAGGCACTACATCATTATTACCCCTGCTCATTGGGCACATGAAACATTCCAAATACCATCTCAGCTCCCTGGGAGTATACAGCTCGATGCAGCCTGTTAGGTGCAAGGAAGCTAAATCAACCACAATAACCATCTCTGCCCTCACAGGTACCCATTTACTCCTGGGTGGAGAGTAGCAATGACTGACAAAGTGCCTTGCCCAAGGGCACACGCACCATGACCCCAGGCTGGACTCGAACCCACAACCTGCAGCTTTACCCGCAGACCACAAATCCAATGCCAATAACCACGAGTCCACAGCACTCCACATTCGATGAAGTCTTTGTTTGTTGTGATCATCAAAAGTCAAATCACAGCTGTGGAGCACAACTCAAATCACAACTACCAAGGGCGTGCCTTTGTCCCATTTGAAAAGCTTGCGACTTGAACTGAGACCGGAAGACATGTGATTGAATTGTAACTGAATTGTGATTGACTTTTTTTTTGGACTTGTGACGACTTCCGTTTGATTTGTATTGACTTGTGGCAGTTGTGAGGACTTGACTAAAACACTGGCAGGGCCCTCTAAATCTCATCTAGTAGCAACAAAAATATTATACATTAGTGAGATATGGGAAAATGAACATGCACAAAATGACAGCAGAGACTTTTGGGGCGTCTGAGGGCCCAGATCAATGTAGCGTCTATGACATACAGTATGTTTGCATTCTAACGGTAAAACATCATGAATTCCAGATTCAAAAGGGATACTTTGAAAATTGTGAAATCAGGAAAAATCCTGACAAATATCACCCCTGATTGTAAATGTTGGGACACAATTGCAAAATACCCTGCCACTCCATCTATGCACCTCGTAGCCGGCTACGGAGTCACGGTTGATTGCCCTCAACAAACCCTCTCAGTGCAACCTGTACGTACTAGGCCTACACATGTCATGCTCCACTGCACGTCCCACTCCGTATCCGCATAGCCGGCAACAGGGTAGTTGGTTTGGACTTAGAATTTTTTCAGCAACTCCCATTCCTTTTGTGTTGCTTCGTTCTCAAGCATTATCAAGGGGACTCCCACTTCGTAGCCGCGTAGCCGGCAACATGATAGTTTGTTTAAACTTAACATTTTTTTCAGCAACCCCCATTCCTTTTGCGTTGCTTCGTTCTCATCAAGGGGACCCCCACTAAGTATCCGCGTAGCTGGCAATGGACTTGAATTGTTTATTTCCAGTGATTCCATCCGCGTAGCCAGATGATTTTAGGGGTGTATTTCCGAGTGGCGGGGTACTCTGCAATTTCTCCAAATGTTGTTATGTTCATTTCTGCTACAGTTCAAACATTTACCTTTCTGTAGGGATAATCTCTGTGCCTTGCTTTTTGCTTCCATTGCTTGTGTACTTCTCTAAGCTACTCCATTTCTCCATCTTCAGTTGCAGGAGTTTCAGTGCCACTATGGCGTCTTCTACCGAGTCATGGCCAGTTTCTTGCTCCTGGATTGTTACGCTGAAACAAGACGGAAAATATTTGCATACTGAGCACAAAAACCATCAGTGAAGCAGCATTGAAGTTGAGTCCACTACAAGGCTTCACAAGTCCATCTCAAGTCAGTCACAAGTCCTCCAGTCCCAATTCACCTTTGACAAAGGCATTCCTTTGTTATTGATCATCAATCATCCCCTGTTACGTGCGACCGGACTTGTGAATGGACTTGAGATTTACTTGATAATGGACTGATGACCAGACTCATGATAGACTGAACTACAACACTGGAATATTCGTGTTGGAGAGGCAAAGCTTTGCAGGGAGAGGCCAAGCATTTGATGCCAACTAAAGGCGGCTTAGTGGATACTGAAAGATTTGCTTCTCCATTATTTTTTTCAGTTTATACCTTGGTATCTTTGAAAAGGAAACTTAGTGGAATGCATTTGACAGCAAAGCTTACCAATAAATGATTAAACGGTCCGTTTTAAGTTAATAATAAATTGAAAGAAATAGAAAGAAAATTGTATTTGTTTGTCTTACCCTAGGTATTTCCATGCCAGTTTGCGTAGTGCTACTCTGTAGCTGCCTGTGAACAGGTTACTAGTGTCTATAACGTGAGGATGATACAACTGGAAAACAAAATACACAAACATGTCAGATAAGTCTTGATTTGTTTTCATTATCTCCTACATGTCAAAACAAAGCCACATTCTTGAAACCTTCAGTAACGCAAATTGCTGTCTTTAGGGCATAAAAGATCTCAGCCATCACATCAGCAATTCTTGCTACATCCTTTATTAAATATTACAATTTATAAAAACGAAACTATATCTGGCCTCGTTTCTTACCTTTAATGCCCTGAGGTCATTTTCCAGAGACTGTCCTACCAAGATGGCATCTGATGGAAGAAGGGCTATGATATCTCTCTGTACGTCTTCAAGTCTGACTGTGACTGGATCTAGTAGTTGCTTGGTGATGCCACTATACCTGTAGGCATCAACATGACACAGAGATGAAACTGGCATATGGCCAAAAAATATGCCGAAGAAAAATACGTGTCCGAAATCTGGGCCGCGCTGCATTACACACAATCGTACATGCATGTACAATACACTACATGCCCAATTTCCGGACACCTACTCCTGCTTTATTTTCGATTCAAACACAATTTTACGATGAAAAAAATGGTCAGTGTTTTCATTGCATAAAATGCCCGAATTACGATTAGAGTAATGGAGTCATCAATAAAGAAGTTCACTTCTTACTTGAGAAAGTCTAGGGAAAAGTCCAAAAGACAAGGCACCGTTCATGGTGCTTCAATCATGTCCATTCAACCACACAACTCCACTTGCATTCATACATGTCATACGTGGGGAAAAATCAGGCATTATCGTCTTTCTCTTCTAACAAATGCCAGTGAAATGTTTCGCTAATGCTCTCTTCGCTATCCTCGAGATAATCATCACGATTTTTAAGGCATTGTATTTTGTTTAACTAAATTTGAAACCTCCGAAAATCGCACAACATAATGATTTTATCCACTGGATCGTTCACAAGGCTACCCGTTCCCGACTGGCCATGTGCTAGCAGACGGTACGGTGCGGTACGTACGCTGGTATCATTGCGTACAGTACATGCACGCATGTGCGACACAGAGTGATTTTTCCTTGTCGCCTGTCAATGTTTAACCTTTTGTCCAGCCGGAGAAGGCTCCGATCAGTGTTATGCCCTGTGTTTCTACCGTTGAAACACTCCAATAACGACTGGTGAAAAAGATTAAAACTACGTTCGCGATGATTTTAACGTGCCATTTCCATCGACTTTTCTTCGAAATTATGATTGAAATAAAATGACATTTTGTGAGAAAAATCCTTACTAAATCAAATTTTGTGGGACATACTGTAAAAAAATTGGAAATTTCGTTGGAAAATTCAAAAAGTCGGTTTTCCGATTAAAATCGGAAAAGTTTCATCTCTGATGACAAAGAGAGAGAAGAAACTATGCAGAAACAAAAGCTGGGCTTTTTTTAAAGTGGGGCAGTACAATACTGGCACCAGTGTGGTAGTCGAATCACTCACAATCCATCAAAATCTATCATATGTCCATCACAAGTCCTCCTGTCCCAAATCAAAGACATGCATAAATCCTGTGTAACTTGTGATGGACTTGTGATGAAGGTGAATTCAAATACAGAACCGCTAAAAAAGGCCTCTAAATTTGTGAAATTCCACTGCACAAGCAATTGTTCATTGTCCATATCTGTGAAAGTTTGCTCACACAAAACGGTATTCTGATTGATTTCCAACCTTGTACAAAAACAAAATCTGACAGAGGTACAAATATTTCAGAAAGCAAAATTACCTGTTTTAAGTCTCTTTTCTTGAGGGTGGGGGTTAAAAAATTAAGAAAAGGCCAAAAAATTTTTTTTAGTAGGTCTCTGGTAGGCTCGCGTGTCGATTTTGATCATCAATGGTTTTTTTCATTGCCGCACTGCCTCAAATTTTCGTACCGAGCACCAATGAATGCAGAAGGGCACCAAGGCAAATGATGGAGGACACCAAGGTTAATGAGGACACAAAAAAGCAAAATAGTACCCACCTTGTCTGTACAACCCAAGCTTGAATAAAAAAAAAACGCATCACCACATCAATTCCAAAACTTTGATCTGACCAGACACCAACTTTTTTTTGGCCTAAATAAAAAGGTTGCTAGCTTGTACCAATGGCCTGCCATGTTGGACCTACCTTGTGACATAGTCAATGATTGGGTTGTGTGGCTTGACCAGGCTATTGTACAATACATGGTGTTTCTCATCCACCAACGATACTCGAGTTAGCTCACTGCCTTTCTTCGTCACACACTGCAGGAAAAACACAAGTTAGCAGAAAAATATTAAACCAGAAGTGGGATTGTATTTGAAAATGTGATTCGGCTGCTTTTCATTTTGTGCAAACTGACAAACAGTGCATCTACCTATGCTCCTGTTATGTTCAAAGGACAAATGTGATTGAAAAGCATTTTCAGGTTTTGTGGCATCATTGTTTTTCAAAGTTTCTAACAGCATTTTTTATTCAAGTAAAATTGGATATTATTCTCCACAGCTTTTCAAATAAAACAGAGCCCGATTGTCTGAATTTGTTATTTATTTTTTTCATTAATTTATTAGTTTGTGAGTGGAGATTCCAGACAGGGTCAGCGGTAATATAAAGGTTTTATTTTTCTTGGGTCGGGAACCTATAATAGAGTCGGTCGGAAATGAAAACCAAAGAATAAAACAGGGACACCCATAAATCAATATTAGGTTTTGCCCTTCACTGACGTATAAACACTGCATTCTCAGAGTGTTACCTCCCGAGTGAAAATTGGAAAAAATCACTCGGATGGGACTCGACCCCACGGCCCCCTGCTTTCTAGAGCAGTTGTCTTACCACTCGACCACCGAGCTTGCAGGATCAGTTGGCTGGTTCAAATCTGATGTACATTTAGCAGCGGGAATCACAATGAAAGTATTCATAACTTGCATCGGGGTGATGTAAATCACATTATGTTTGCCCTTCACCGACGTATAAACACTGTATACTCGGTGTGTTACCTCCCGAGTGAAAGTTGGAAAAAAATCACTCGGGTGGGACTCGAACCCACGACCTCCTGCTTTCTACCATCCACCGAGCATGCGGGATCGGTTGGCTGGTTCAAATCTGATGTACATTTAGCAGCGGGTACCGCAATGAAAGTATTCATAAGATGGGATGTCCGTATTGATATTCAGGCCATTTTGCATAAAAAAAATCCAGATTTTGAGATGTGATACAAAAACAGAAACCAGAATGATTTGACTGATGTTACTGAATAAATGATTCAATCGATTCTGTTCATTAAAACAGTGTTCAACAAACTTGAAAGTGAATCTCGTCACGTGAGTGCAACAAGGTCGTAACTCCATTCTGCAACAAAGTCGTATCTCGCGCAAATAACCTCCTTGCAACAAGGTCGCATCTCGGCGTCCTTTGACTTTGTGTGTACATCCACGTTATTTTAAGTGAGATACGACCTTTTGACATTTTGAAACTCGCGTTTTGCGTTTATGTCATTTTAAGATATACGACCTTGCTGCACTGATGCGACGATCTGTCAAAATGAACATGACGTGTTTCATATCTTACCATTTCGCAATCCACACTGATGATGGGGCTCTTATCACCCACTGTATCACTGTGTTTGGTGTGGGTATACCCTGGGTCATCTGCCTGGGGGTACCTCCACATATCCTTCTCATCATCACTTAGTAGGTAGTGGGTGCGGCGGGGTGTGGCAGAGGGTGGGGTCCTAGCTCGTAAGGGCGCGGTCCTGGCTGGTAAAGGCGTGGTCTTGGGTGGGCCACCTGCAAATGTGGAAAACATTAATATTCGAACTGAATCCATGACAAGTTTTGCCTATCCCCATAAATCACGGCTGTGATTGGTCAGAACACCATGGGTCGGGGCATAATGGATTGCTTTATTTGCTGGCCAGTTCCAATGCAACACAGCAGCATGCAGAGTTGTAATGACTCGAGTCAATGACTCGACTCAAGTCCGACTTGAGTCACAAGTTTTAGTGACTCGACTCGAGTCCCTAATGGTAAATGACTTGACTTGACTCAAGTCACTGCGAGCAAATGACTCGACTCGACTCGAGTCCCTCATCAAAAGACTCGACTCGAGCGAAGGCTAATAAGACTTGAGTCCCAAAAATAAAAGCAAAACTTAGTGAAAAATATTTGCAATGACTTAAGTCAATGCCGGATTGTGTTCACGTCACGTTAGAATGTTCGCAAATAATGTACAAATTATACATACGTAGTTTGATTAGTGTCCCCATTAGTTGAATGGCGATCAGCTGGCACCCCCTTTTTATTTTCATTGAGTCAAATGTGGTGTCACCACATGTAGTAGCCCGAATGTAAAATTTTAAAAAGCCAAAAAATGACTTTCTCTCTTCAAATTTCTTCAAATATTTGTGACCCGAATTGACTCGAGTTAAATTCTGGACTCGACTCGACTCGACTACACACTGTGACTCGACTCGACTCGACCTTCTTGACCTAATGACTGGACTCGACTCGAGTCACTTCTTTAAAATGACTCGACTCGACTCAAGTCAATTCTTTAAAATGACTCGAATTGACTCAAGTCACAAAAAGCAGTGACTCGTTACAACTCTGGCAGCATGTGCTTCAATAATGAGCTTTACAAGTCATCAAAGTCATTGATTGCAATGACCAGCCAGAGATTTAAAGGCAGCCAGAGACAAATATCCAAATAATAAAAAGTTAAATAACCTGTGCTTGACTGCCCAGACGGAACGCCTTGAATTCTAGCAAAGTAGGCTCTTTTCTTCAGCTGCTTTTTACTGATTTCGATGTTGAGAATTTGATTAAGAAATGACTCCTGCTGCTGGGATGGGAGGCGGAGAATCTGTCCAGTCTGAAGTAGAGAAAAAATACAAAAACAAACAAATTAGTAACAGAGCAAATTATACGGCAGTCAGGATCAATTCCAAAAGAGCATCTATTAAAGAAGTTGTTGAATGCCGAACAAAAATTTATGAAATATTTTTAAAATGTCAAGTAGATCAATACGTAACCCAATGACATGGTTCCATTTTTGGGTTTGGTAATGCATGCCTAAATATTTCAATATACAATTTCATTTTGTAATTTATTAAAACAACAGTTATCGGTTCTTTCAGGCTAACTTTGGAAAAATCAAAAGATTTAATGCCAGAAATATTTGACATTTTAATTTTAACATGCCTTAAAATAATGAAACAGATGTCTTCAAACAATCAACAATCTTTTTTTAAATGATTGAAAAATAGTGCCATTTTCATGATGCCTAACATTGCAGAAATTGGTACAAATTTCCCACTAAGCACACATCAGCTGGAAACCAGTTAACAACATGCAGCATATTACATTTTAACTGGTAACCTGTTTTTGCTTAGTTAAAACCTTTAGCAAAGCAAGATAAATAATGAGCGACTCCAAAAAAATGGGCAAAGAACTAAAGATGGTATTTTTGGGAAAGTGATGGAGTCTGATCAGAACATGAATGAAAAATAAGAAAATGTGACATATCGGTTTTCTTACCACGTCGTAGTTTTCATTGAGATGGGAGAAGCATTCTCTGTTCTTCTGGAAGTGTTCATCTGTGACTCCATTCAAGAAAATGACAGCTACTTTGGATATTAGTACTGGTCTCACCAACTTGCAGAACCTACAAAAAAAAAATCAAAAATGAGATTTGAAGTCTGTTGTCCCAATTCAAAGAAACATACCTTGATAACAAATCACAGCGATGTCAAAATCCTTTTAGAAAGCAAATTCTAGGACTTGTGATATCTGCTGAATGTGACAGTGAATAGACAAGATAAAAATTGTTCTTATTTTAGGGAAGCGTGTCCTAAAGTATTTATTTTTCATACATCCCTTATGCTGAATCTTACATTGTTTTCAGTGTTAAAAATTAAAATTCCTTGCGCATATTTACTATGTTAGTTTTGTTCTCTATTCTTTGTGTTTATACCTACATGTATGTAAACAAAACTGTAAATAAAACTCACGAATGATATGTCTTAAACGTCAGGGTCATTTCATATGTGATTGTTCTCCAAAGAGGAAATTTTGTTGGCTATTAAACAAAACCCTAACCCGCTATGGTGTTTAGACTAGAAACCCAACAAACACAGCTACATGCAACATCTGCCAAAATGACAAGCCTGCTCAGTGTAGCAAGATCCATCAGGTCAAACGCCTCAAGGCCAAACTGCCTCAGAGTCTGCGGTCACCAAATGCAGAAGGATACAACTATGACATTGTTCAATGGGACTAGCTCTCATTATTTCAGAATCGGTCATTTATACACTGGTGTTGATGGCTCAATGCAGTAAGGTCCCAAGGATTTCTACACCTGATGCACTGTGTTGCGTCTGGCAGGCTTAGGTTAAATCGGTTTATCTGGCTTCATTTCTTTCTGGTATCTACTAACCTGACTTTGTTGGTGTTGGCAGCATTGCCCATCACTGAATACTGAATCAGATCTTGTAGGTCTTGTACTTCAACTGGTTTGAACGTCATCTTTGGGTCTTCATCATTGGTGAAGTTGTCGATGAGAAACATCTTGGGCTGTTGCTGGATAGGAAAAAACACAACACCACTTGTGTTTAAGAGAGAGATACTGCAAGAATGTAAACATAATGCCCCCTTACTAGTATGTGTTGCGTAATTCATGGAAGTTATCAGGGAATAGTTTTGGAAGTATTATCTCAGAAATCTCTCGGGAGCGGCATTCACTTTTTGTTAATGTGAGGCGTCTCCAAGCTCCTGCCCCTGCAAATCTTGCTTTGGATATTGCCGTCCAGTTTCATCATGGTCATCGGCCCGATAACAGGAAAAGACCTCGTGGTTGTCCCCCGGCTGACCAGGCTAAAGCAGGTAGCTGATACTGTCAAGTTGTCCTCAAGTGATTGTTGGTCCCTCGTTCTGATCAGGGAGGTTGGAGGTCATTATGACCCTCTGATGGTCTTGTGCAGCAGTAGTTATTTCAGATCAGTCCAGTCACTACTTGTATTTATAAAATGTGTCTTTTTAAGGATTTTCATGTCAGGGAGAAGTACTGGTAAACTTTAATCTTGCTGTCTATAAATGTTCTCAGATCTTCCTTACCATTCTGAGTTTCTTCAGCGATGTCTTGTCCTGCCAGTCTTGTTTCAGCGTCTGTCTGGTTTCATCATCGACTTCTACCTTTGCCTCCTTGCCATCTTTGCTCCTCTCTTCAGGCATATCGATAGCATCTTCATCTCCAGACAACTTCTCCACTGTCACATTTTCATTTTTCTCATCTAATGGGCTGTCATCCTGCATCGAAAATTGTTTTAAAAGATACAGTGAAATCTCTATAAGTCAAACTCTGATAACTCAAAACAACTGTTAATTTGCCATTGCCTTCAGCAGTATAACAATGATATACAACCCTGCTTAACTCAAAACTCTGCTGAAGTCAAATGTTGAACCTAATCCCTTAAGGTATGACTTACCAAGATTTCACTGTAGTTATATTTGGAGGAAGTATTTCGTTGAGCAACAATTATTTAGGTTTTGGGTTAGATGGGTTGACAAAATTCAGTAACTTTTTTGGAATTTTTATGAATATTCTTAAAATTGTTATTGCTTGGAAAAACTGAGTGAGAGGGGCTGAAGCACTTTCCACCTCCTTTGAGAAAACTTGGGTCAAATTTGAAAGGCTAATATGAAATATGCAATGACAAAAAAACACTCAAATTAGGAAGTTGAAAGAGAGACTAGACTAACAAGATTGGTAAAAAAAAAATTACAATATCAAAATTCAATCGATGAAATAAGTTGTAATTTGTACCAATTTTAAACCTTTTCAGTCAGAATTCAGTTTTAAATGGATTTAAAGTGTTTAACTTTTACTGCATCAAAAACGAAAATTTCTTAATACACAAAATGTGGAGTGCTGTGAAAGTAACATAACTCAGGTTTTCTGATAAAAAGGAGCACATAATGTACAAAAAAATAGTGAAAACAAAAGAGAAAAAAAAAATCTCGCCTTATTGTGTTTCCTCTTCTTTTTCTTTTTTGGAACCGCCACCTTTTCTTCATGTTGAAGTTGGTCTGCATCTTCGTTAGCAGTCGTTTCCTCAGTCTAAATAAATACAATATCACTAAACAGATCAACTAAAAAAAAAATGGACATCAGGAGGCTTTGTAATTTGCAAAATATTGGTAAATTTGGGAGATGGATGTAGTATGGAGTTTAAGTAGAGGGAAAAATGAAGTCCTGTGATTATAATTGCTTGACCCAAAGCGCCTCTATATTTCAGTGAAACAAACACACTTGTTATACCGTGTCTTTGATGCTGTAATTTCATTGGTCTAGAACGGCCACGTGACCAGTCTGTAAAAGCAACCATTTACTTCATATTCACTGCGTTGCATATACATTACCTCATAACTGCGCTGCATGTCAATTACCTTGCATAACTACCCCTGTGTTGCGCACACATGACGGCCAGCCCGCAACCCTCTCGCAACTGAGAAATGCAACTGCTCAGTGTCATGTTCTGCAGGAAGGCTTGCAGTTATCAAAGGTTACACTTCAGCGATTGAGTTTACTTATTGCACAACAAATTACAACCATTTATCTTTTTGACTTATTGGCATGATATAACAAAACAATTGTTGACTGCTGTGATATAGGATATGTTCTTTTTAACCCCTTCACCTCACACTCTCTGGGTTTAAAAACGCCATATCCCACATCACAGCAATCAACAGTTGTTAACATCGCAATAATTTCCCAAATGCACAAAAACTAAAGTTCCTACCTTATCATGTTTCCTCTTCTTTTTCTTCTTAGGGACGACCGCTGTGTCTTCAAACTCAACTTTATCTATGTTGTCATCGGAAGCCACTTTTTCAGTCTACATAAAAAAATCAGTTCAATAGAAAAACTTATACAACTTTAGTAATCCTTGTGGGGAGATTAAAATGGTCTTGATGACAGAGACAAACGAGTAAATTGTGACGTCAATAAAATGTTAATTAGTAACCTCTGACTGTCAAACGCTTTGTGTATGCGAGTGAAGGACATCGCATACAGTGCTCGCAACATATGTCATAAGTAAAGTATCTATTTATATGAAATCACAATAATTACTCGCAATTCGCAAAAAAAACACTAAATTCTAACCTTATCATGTTTCCTCTTTTTCTTTTTCTTCTTTGGAATGACTATTGTTTCTCCAAGCTGAACTTCCTCTATGTCTTCACTGAGTGTGATTTCCTCAATCTAATTAAAACAAGACCACTTAACACGTCAAATACAATTTTCACATCACTAGGCTTTGCAATGTAAAATCTGTTGGATATAGTATGAGGGCAAGGAATGAGATATAAAGAGTGCTGTGAACAAAACAATATGCTTATCTTAAATTTGAAAAACCACATACATGTACATACAATGATATAAAACTCATCCGAACAAATGAAAGGAAACCTTAAAATCGCACAAATTCCTCATACAATACCTTTTCGTGTTTCCTCTTCTTTTTCTTCTTTGGAGTGACCACCATTTCTTGAAACTGAACTTTGTCTATGTCTTTATTGAAAGTGGATTCCTCAGTCTAAATAAAAACCAAACCACTAAACACATTAATTTTACAAAATCTACGTTTATGGGTCATTCTGCATTAAAATGTAGGGTCCAAAAGTGTGACATTTTTTCCTGTCCCTGTTACCTTGGTACTTTGTAATTTGCCGTTCAAGTATCATTAAGGCGAATGACTTCAAACTTTTTTTTTTATTTCTTGGGTAGGTAGTTTGTTATTCAGAAGCACTCTTGAAGGTGAATGCATTAACTCTAACAATCCCCATCCAGTCAAACTCCAACACCAGGGTTTGTTGGAATCTGTTGGAGTGAGGACTGTACTAGTAAAGTGATTATGTTTTACATAGGGTCAGGCATACATGTACCACCATAATCAGAGTCCAACAGTTTATGTGTAGAGTTCACCAGGAGCGAGGAAGGCTCCACACACAAGTAACGATGGAACACGCACGCTGTACACACATTTTACAGCAGTTATCCTATCACACATGCTTGCAGCAGGAATGGTGCGTGCATCCTGGAACAGCGGGATACACAGAGTGCGATATAGACCGTGGTAATAGGTATAATATCATACTGTTGTTGCCATGGATCGACCAATCAGGACCAAGGATTTAAGTTTGCTTGAAGATATCAAATGCTATATGTTCTTTCAGTTTCTTGTGGTTTAAGCAATACCAATATAAGTTTGAACAAAGAAATTGACTGGGGCTGGGTTTGACCCTGCAACCACCGGAACACCGCATCAGTGGTCTACCAACTGAGCTATCCAGCCCACTGCTCAGACGTTTGTCTTTAAAGATATTTACATTGAGAAATTGGGAGACTACCAACGAGGGGTTGGATAGTTACTGGCACAGTGATCCAGTGGTCGCAGGTTCGAGTCTCACTCAGTCAATCAAATTTGGATAACAAAATTGAACTTAGTCTGGTTTATTTGATGAATTTTGAACTGAAATTGTATTACCTTTTCTCTATGTTTCCGCTTCTTCTTTTTGGAACCTTTACTGTCTTCAGAATTTACGTCAGGTACTTCCTCTTGTGTTAACTGAATAAATTAACAAAACATTTGTGAGGTATATAACTGAGAAACAGCAAGCGCAAATATTCAGAAGTGGAAATTGATAAAACAAATTTGACACAAACATACCTCTTTATTATGTTTGTGTTTTGTCTTTGTCTGTAAGTGGTTTCCTTGCTTCTCAGACGGATCATGCTCAATTTTGAGATATGATTCAGAGCTCTCAATGTGAAGGAAAAATAACCCAGCTAATTTTGGGATTGTGTCACGAGAAGGCACAATTCAAAATATGGCTCGGCAACTTTTGAACTGAAATCAAGATCCAAAATATTGTGTTTTCTCGAAATATACAGCATTCACAGAGCTAACGATTCATCAGGTTAGTTGTTAAACACCCGTCTTTAGATTTTGGCATTTTTGTTGCTTCAAAAAACAATGCACAAATGACAAATGGTCCATTAAAATAAGGGAAGGTTGCTCATACGCTATGAAATTTTTGACATAAACTTTCCGGAATTCGTAAAAATCCATTTTTTTGCAGGAACCGAAACGGAAGATTTTTTGTACTACATGTACTTGTACTTTACAAGAAAACATTCAGTAGCACAATTCCCGAAAGGCAAACGTCTGCTTACCAATTTAAAGACTTGCACCTTACCTCTGTTTTATGTTTTTTCTTTGTCTTCCTGTGACATTCTTCATTATCCAGAGAGTGGTCATTGTTTTGGATAGCCGGCTCTGGTGTTTCAACCTTCATGATAGAAAAATTTGACTCAGAAAAGATAACACCACAAAAGTTATATGCGAAGATGATAAAACTTAGACACATTAGCACAATTACATTGTATTTATTCCCTAATGAACACATAAGACCATACAGTGCTGTGACAGTTTAGGATGGTATGACATTAACAGATTAATCCAGAATGACACTGGACAAGCCTAGACAAAATAAATTTTCCGAGAAAGCATGGAGTTTAAATATTGAGATGCCACGTAAGAGCCAATTAAGATCATTACCATGATTATTAAAGGGAAAATACAACATTTGCAAACATCAAAAAATAAAACTACCAAATCATGTTGAAATACCTTGCTGGACTGTTAGTGAATGACAGTGTAAAGCATCCTGTAAAATCATGGCACCTGGTATACTGTCGTTTTCAAGAAAAGTGGTATTTTTGTATCAATTTCCAACGCTGATCGGCCGACCAGCGTTGGAAAAAACTGACTTTTTTTCAAATACTGGCCCCAATTGACCATCGCACTTGTTTGCAATCGATTACACACCTATGAACGGGTACGTGCCAGCTAGACTGGTTCCCTGACCTTACAATTCCCCAATGTATGTAAACTGCTCTGTTTCTTCTTAAATGGAGTCAGGGAACCAGACTACAGGAAAGTGATTGTTTTTCTTGGTTTTTATAGCATTTTTGAACCCAAAACCTCAAAAAAGTCAGTGTAACTATATTTACTATATATTTCCAACCCCCCAATTCCATCCATTTCTGAAAATTACAGCAAAAGCAAATGATGTATATTCCCTTTAAGTATTTTAATCTCACCTTATCTCTGTACTTATGTTTCTTCTTCTTCTTGGCATTTTTGACATCTTCAACTTTGCTTTCCAGAATTTCTGCACTAGCATCCTCTCCATTCAGCTGAAATTATGTAAAAACTCATTTGATGGAGGGTTTAGCCTTTCAACATTCAAACAGTTACACTAAATCTAATGAAGTTCATACATATTTGTTTATAAAGTAACAAATTCAGGAATAAATATTTTCAAAGTTTTTCTTGAGCTACTTAAAGGTTGACACTAAAATAAGAAACTGAATTTGACTAAAAAAAATTTGTCCTGTTTTCAAAAAGAACTGACTACAGTGTTCCAATAAAAAAATTCTTTAATAAAAATGTATTAAAATTATTAGCCAACCTTATCATGTGACCTCTTATGTTTCTTTTTTGGGCTTTCTACCATTTTCAGAACACAGCCTGTTGCGTCCACATATCCGTGAGAAGCATTTTTATCAACCTAAGGAAGAAAAAAAAAAAAAATCATGACGTTCGATAATATATCGTTGAAGAACATAATTTGGGCCTTTTGTGGTAAGTGCAACTGCAAAGGTGAAACTTAATTTTTGTCATCCAATAAAAAATTACTTTCACAATTTTGCTCTTACTTTATCACGCTTTTTCTTTTTCTTTTTATGATTTTGCTTTGCCACCTCGTCATTCATGACTTCACTGGGTTCGTCAATCTGAGGAAAGAAATACAAAGTGAAATTTTAAACATTAAATATGCTACATATAAAACCAAATGCATCAATAAATGAGTGATTTGGATAATGTTAATTCTTAATTTTAGGGCCTACATGTAAAATGGACAATATTTTGGATGAAACTTGACTTGACAAATTTACTTTTGTTAAGTTCCTGAAGACAGTCAGAGAATACTAACCGGAATGTCAAGTTTCTTTTCAGAACAATTCTCTTAGTTTTAGAAATTGGCGATCGTGTAGTGTAGGGCCCAGTTCATATAAGGGAACAAAATCCACTTTAAAATTATTGGACCTACCAAACTAGTTGGCGACATTCTAGATAGAGGGCAGGGTTTTGATTTTTTGAGGAAAATTTGAGGGTAAAATGACGATGACAGCGCGGCGACAACACGCGACCCGAAAATAAAGATGGCGATCACTGCGCAGTGAAGTGAGCACGCACGGCGCGCTGAATCGCAAGGCACAAACCGTGCAGGAAAATCGTGATTTCTACCCCAAGAATCTGTTCAAAATTGCAAAAAGGGTGTCATTAGAATTGAGAACAGTCTGCTTTTGTTTATAAAGGTGATTTTTGAGCAATAAAAAACATTTTTGACTCTAAAGTCTAATTTGATCAAAACAAAACAGGGGCCCTACACTTCATGATCGCCGAGAAATTATTTAAAGAATTTAGAAATTATAAGAAGTCAAACTCAAAGTCAAAACGACAATGTTGGCGCAGAACCAGACAAATATTTGTCACGGGAAAAATGTGCAAGTCCCCAAAAACCAGTCACTGCATATGTTCAGTGCCTATCCGGCAAAATATCGTTTACTAAAAAAAAAGCCGGATCCGGCTAAATATCCACTGCCAAACTTTTACGCGCCGCATACCGTACCGTACCCTGGTACCGCATGCGAAATGTGATTGCGAAGACAGTCGACAGTGCAGTGGAACTGGAAGTGAGACGTTTTATACTAGCCTACATATCATTACCTTCTGCCCCTGAACAGCACTATTTTCGTCTGCAACATGTCGTTTTCTCTTGCCCATACTCATAAAAACAAGAAAACTTCTCCTCTTTAATTAAACAAAATAAGTTACGATCGACACGTGCGACCTCACGGTAAATAAATACGTTTGGTACCCTGTCCTCGTTTCCTTTACTATGACAAAATCAATGGATTTCTTGACGCCTTGAAAGAAAAGGGTAGGGCCCAGACTTTTGTACGGCAACCTCTTCCCCAGTGCCGATAGATGGATAACAATGTATTTTGATCAGACTTTGATTTAAACCGAAAAAGTGAGTACAAGTTTGTAAATATAGAGGGGGTTTTAAACTGACACAGTGACAGCTGAGCCGACGATTTGCTGACTCTAAACGGATTTTTTTTTCATCATTGAGTGAAAATGAATCTTCAAAATTGTGATCGGCAGTTACCTCTGCTACTATAGTATTAGTAGGCCTACTATGCTAGAAAACAATGTGTAGATTCCATTTCGTAAAACTAGCAGGAGTCTGGAGACGCTGAGTCAATGAAATCCACAAAAGAACTCGCAAGGTGAATTTATATTTGGCAGTGGATATTTTGCCGGAGACGGCAAACCTTTAGTAAACGTTAGTTTGCCGGATATGCACTGAACATGCGCAGTTACTGTTTTTTTGTACTTAAACATTTTCCGGTGACAAATTTTAGTCTGGCTCCATGCCAATATTAATTATTATCGTTGTATTTTTGTATTAACAAGATGGGAATCAGACCATTTTATAATTTCGGACTTTATTTCCCTTTAAAAAAAATCCTCCAGAGCCACAAATCTGAAAAAGAAAAAGTAATACTCTGCAATAAAATGTTTGAGACATATTAAAATAATAAAAGAAGAATATTCTTATTTATTTGGGGATTGGAAAAAAAAACCTTAACATTGTGGCGGGGGTCAGGATTCGAACTCGGGACATCCCACTCACTAGAGCTAGTGCTTAACCACTGCACCAACTGTGCTGGCTACACAACTTTGGTGGGAATTTAATACATGTTATAATTCAGCCCTATCTTAAAGAGTACAGCGCCCTCTGTTGATATGGATTGCCGCCGGCAAACCTTTAGTAAACGTTAGTTTGCCGGCGTTACCTCCGGCAAAATATACACTACCTTTATATTTTAAAGTTGCGCTGGCAATTGTATTTTTTTTGTAGGCAGAGAAGCTAAACAAAATATCGACTTGGATTTTTGGACGATTTGAATAATAAAAAGCAGATATCTACATTATCTTTATCACTCAGTTTATTGCTGACGATGTTGGGAATGTTTGGGGTTTTTTTTCTCTTGTTATTTTTCCCTTTTGGAACTAAGTTTTGTTTGTTTTCTTTTGTGTTTTAATATTACGCCTAACGTTGGGCGGCGCCGTCGCCAGCTCATTAGTGGGGGGGGGGGGGCCACAATACAAACTAGGGGGGCACACCATTAGCTGGAGTTACCTCGGCCCTATATTTTATCATTCGGTTGTCATATATGACAACCCATAGGGCCGAGGTACTCCAGCTAATTATATATAATTTTTACTTGGGGGGGGGGGGGCTCAGGCCTAAGCAACTACTAAAGAACAGCTTGGTGAACCAATACATGCTGTTTTAATGGTTGAACTGAGTTTATTATTGCCATGACTAACATCTTTCCACTTTATATTTTTAGGCAACTGGGCCTACTCAGACGACGGTCAACGACATCAAATCAACAATCCCGTGATGCCAGAAGAGTCAAGAAAACAAGTAAGTCAACAGAAATAGAAAACAGTGTCCAGAATGGTTTTACATGTTAAATGAGTATTAGGTTGAACATTGGGGCAAAATACTTGGAACTGGGAGTGAGAAGGAAGAAAGCAACTGTAAAAAGTCTCATACTCACAGCAAGAAACATTTAACTGTACTAGTTTTTTCCCCACAGACCAGATTTTCTCCTACTTGATTGTAATTGACTTTGAATCAACTTGCTGGAAGGACAAGAAAAATGTCAGCCAAGAAGTCAGTAAGTAGCCTAGAGTAACATACAGTTGCGGACAATGTTTGAAACTGTCTCTTTTTTTGATAACATATTTAAACATGCAAGTAAACAGAAACCAGTATGACAAAAACCGCAGCAAAAGCAGAAACAGGAACAGCATCACAAGAAACACAATTGCAACAACAGGAGAAACAATCACGGCTATAGAAGCGATTACCACAATACAGACATAAATTACAGAAACAGTAGCAACAACAATGGCAAAAATCTGCAACAGCCCAAAACAAACAGCAGCAGCTAAATAGCAGCATAAAGCAACAACAACAAAATCGCAGCAACTGGAAAACGGTAGGAACAGCAGAAGTATTCTGAAAATGTGGGACTCTCAATACTGTGCAAGAGAGTCCCAAAACTTAAGATAGTGAAAACATACAATACAAGGAAATAGACTGGCACATGAAACAACCAATCCAACACCCCTTTAGTACTGCATTAATCAACTGTGTCAAAAGAAACACCTGGTACCTAGCTCTATTTCTACACATTCTCTATAGTCATGCTACAAGACCACTGAAGGGTCAATCTTTTCAAAAAGTTGGACATGTACCAGTCTAGTCTAAGGCTTCAAATTGAAATCACTTGGCTTGACTCTCAGGTGCAAAATGTTGAAGAAAAGTCTCCTTTAAAAATTGAATTGAGACCTCAAACTTGGCTGGTGAAATACTGAGGACGTTGTCTGTGCCTCATTAAAATTTTGGAGATTTTTGTCTGCCAAAGACTGAGTAAAGTTGGCCTGATTTTGTTTTGCATGTTTTTCTGCACTCAAGGTCCCAGTTTGCAATAGAAGCAGAAGTAAAAAAAACGTGAACAGCAATAACAGTGACAACATTTGCAATAACGGCGGATTTTATGGTCATTAGAAATTCCTTTTGGAGCTTTTTCACTGCTTCTGTAATAATAAATTTAAGCTGACTGATCATTTGATAAAAGATTAATCCTATTTCTTTGACAGTTGAGTTTCCTGCAGTGCTGCTCAACACATCCACCGGTTCCATCGAGGCTGAGTTTCACACCTACGTGCTGCCTGAAGAGAACCCACAACTCAGCGCATTCTGTACAGAACTGACTGGGATAACTCAGGCAAGCATTTCTAAAGAAACTAAACAAATTTGGCTTGCAAAAAATAGAACTTGTTACTTCCAAATTCATTTTCTCAATTACAACTCTTCTTATTTTAAAACAGGAATGTAGGCCTAGATATCAACAAATTTGAAGTCATTAAACATTTGGGGTGTCCTGTGCAATTTTTCATAAAAATAGTTTTAAAAAGTTGCATTTGAGTTCATAGATCGATTGGAACTTCCCATCTTTAGCGTTATCCATGCTGAATATCTTGTGATAGACATGTATGAGCTACCATTGAATTTACCGCACTTTATTTCAAGCGTGTCCGAATGTTGGTTTTCATTCATGTTTGCTTGTCACTTAGCGATTTGACCGAAAGTTCCAAAGATAATTTTATTTAACATCTAGGGAATTTGAAATCACTGTACATTTAAAATATGATATCAAGCAAGTTCATTTCAGATAAAGATTTGAAGTTGGTCTGTTGTGACAAAAATGGTTCAGTAAATATGATTTTTAGTGTACTGTTGACTCTATACCTTTAAAACAAACCAGAACTTTATTTTTGTCTTTTTGCAGGATCAAGTTGAGTCAGGCGTTCCACTGCGTTTCTGCCTCAGCAAGTTCTCCCGATGGCTCACAAAGCAGGAAAATGAGAAGAGTATTGCTTATAACTCTGGAGACGAAGGGAAGAAACTCTGCACATTTGTCACTTGGTCAGGTCAGTTACACTTTCATCTTGTTAAGTTTTGTCAAATTTTCTGTTTCAAAATCCTGACAGATTTAAAAAGGAAAATAGAAATTTATCAAGTCCCACTAAAATTTGAATTATTTCTAGTGTTTTTAAACAGTTTCCAAATTTTTTTCCATGAATTTCTCGCTTTTTGCCAATTAATTTTCGAGCAGAAGCTTTGGTTATGTGCTTGTGAAAATCTCCTCAATTAACCAAGTATCCAACTTTTGTCCAGAGCTCAGCAAACTGAGAGAGAAAAGTTGCGAATGTCATGTTTGGATATTTTAACGTTACATTTTTACAGTGCTAGTATCAATTGACTGTAGCACTCAAAGTTGACAATTTCTGACTAAGAGAATTTTTTTTACAGTTTTTGGAGTTGCCTCTTAAAAAAAATTACAATCAAACAAACAATTGTACTCTTATCTGTTTGGGTTCAAATAGTGTACAGTTTATTTCCACATTATAAGTCCTCCAACCTTTTTCTCCCAATATATCAGATTGGGATCTGAGTGTCTGCCTACACTATGAATGTCGACGCAAGCAACTCCTCAAACCCTCAGCTCTCAATAGCTGGATTGATCTCAGGGCAACGTACAAGGTTGGTGTCGCCCTCTCCACGGACAGGGCATTCTGCCTATTCCATTTTTGATTTTTTATCAGCTACATACTTATTTCTTAGTACGTAACTTAGAAATAAAAATTTAAAAATGACAGAAATACTGTGATGTTCAAAATATTAGGTTCTGTAACATTTTTTTTTTTTGTATTTAGAAAAGAAGTTGCCAATTGTCTTTGATTGTAATTATTTTTTTTAAATGCGCATTTGGTATTTTTTGCAATAATTCAAATCTCTTTTAACTGATATTGATGCAAAAATAAAATCAATAGGCCTATGCGGGGCAAAATAACTACAATTGTGAAATCTAATTTTGTTTGTGTTAGAATTTCTACGAGCGTAAACCCAATGGATTGCACGGTGCTCTGCAGGACGTGGGCATTGAGTTCCGTGGACGCCAACATTCAGGTGACTGCCAATATCCAAATGTTCCCAGTTTTAGTACTTCGCACAGTTTGAAAAATCTGCAGAAATAGAAATGCATTCATAATGTGGATAGTTTTCACATTCATTTGTTTCACACCGGATCAAGGTTTTGTAAACTATTGAACTTTCAGTCATAGTGAGGAATTGAACCATAGATCTCATGCCACGATGACAACATATTCCTCATCAAATACTGATGTTTGATACATATTTTTTTTAATGGGCCTTTTTGGCTCAGTTACAAAAAAAAGTGGCAAAAGTCTTTGAATCTGAACTGGAACATGAATTCTAATGTCAAGTTACAATGGCATGGCTGTACAATCCTGACCCCATGCAAATACTGCTAAACCATTTTGGTAATAAGTGAAGCGTTCTGGCAAAATAAGACAGAACTGGGCAGAGGTAGGTGTTTGCAGGCATTATGAAAAAATAAAATTCTCCTCACAATACTGGTTGTTGCACTTCAATTGGACATTTCATTTATGGCTGTTTACATTTCACATTAATTGACATGTCAAAAACTAAAATACTGAGAAAGAGGCCTTTAAAGTATTGAGTTTTGTATTTGTGAAAAGGAAAGATGCCAACTGTTTCCTTTAAAAAAAAAACCTTTTCTTCCACTCTTTTTATACTATTTCTTTAAAATATGTGTAGTAGCCATATCAAAGATTACAAAATATATCAATAAATCTGAAAATCAAGTAAAAATATCACCCCCATTTGATTTTTTGCATTTTTCTCCACTAAAGCCTGTGCCCAGTTCCATCTCATTTTTGCCAAAACGCCTTACATATGAGTAACACAATTATTTCACTTGCCAAACTTTCACTGTGATGCTGTTAGATCTTTATGCTCAGTGCCTTTCAAGAGCTTGTTAGCAAAACACTTTCACAGCATAGGTGAAATTCGAACCCACAACCTCCTGCTTACTAGTGCAGATGTCTTACCACTCGATCTATGAGCTTGCTGAGATTGCTTGCATCCAGAACATCAGAACACTATGCAATAACAACAAACTCATAAATATGTCTTGCTGTTACATTAATTCACTTGTCACCAATGTCCTTGTGTGTCGTTTGTTTTGATAGGTCTTGATGATGCGAGGAACACGGCCCACCTAGCATGGCGCATGATGTGCGATGGATGCCTCATGAAAATCACACGCACCATGCCAGGGGTAGGCCAACAGAAAGTTTATTCAAGAGCATAATTGCTTATTTTTGTATATATGAGGATTTCTGTCAAACTGATAACTGGGCTTAGGTCCTGATGAGGTTTTGCAGGTAGTAGGAAAGAGAATAACATTTTCCTGACAATACTGTTTGTCGCAGTTCATTAGCAATTTCTCCTTCCGTAATCTTTAAATTTGCAACTTTGAAAACTGCATCATTGTTCATAAGCCGTTGTCAGTGTTGGAAGATTTACAGTCTTTGGTAGCAAACGGGGTATCAAAATGTAGCTAACAAAATTCCCCAAATATCTACACAAATGACGTCATCGTAAGGCGATCAGATTCAAAATTATGACCCCTCCAGTGAGTGTGGACTTTTTTCTTTTTTTTTGCGGTGTTTATTTGTTACTAGTGAAGTGACTGAACAATAGGGAGTAGCCACAACAACCAACCACATGATTTTGCTGCACCCTAGCGGTCTTTGCCTTTATTTAAGTTAATTTGCTGGTTGTGTGTTTTGTACAGTCGAACCCTGATAAGAAGAGCACTGTTTAATACAAGACACTGCTTATTACAAGCAAAAATTTTGGTCCCAAGTCTTTTTCTTTTTCTTACTTTGTTTTCCATTACTGTTAATACAAGGTACCTGTTATGTTTTCACTTGTTTTTGTGTGGTGCTGTGTGTTGTCAATGAGGTAGGTGTTGAGAAAAATATATCACAACTATTTTTGTATTATTATAAATGGTGATATATCAAGTTTCTTCATGGTGCAGCAATAAACATTTTTGAAATATATATCAGGCAATTAACCTATGTTTGAGATTCGTTGTCCATTTGTGGTAGTGTTGTCTGTGTGTCATGCTGTTTGTGTGTCTTTTCTCTGCTGTCAAATATTTTTGTCAAGATACACAAGGCAAAATTGTTTTCACTTAATTATATTACAGACGCAGCAGCTGAAACGAAAACAGACAGCCCAACTTCCAGAACAACCAACAAAAGTACAAGTCAAACAAAACACAGGCAAAGAGAGGCAGGAGCCAGACAGCCTATGTGTGAACACACATAGGGGCATAGAGTCGGAGGACAGACTGATCAGTCACACACAGGGTATCTGTGATGAGTTTTCGCAAAGCGGCAAAATCCGAAACACGTCTTTGTCATCTTCTATTCATTTCAAAATTTGGGAAGATGCCACACAACCGGCGACTGTTCACAGTGTTATCAGACCAGAAACATCTCTCCCCAGCCTTAAAGACAATGAAATTGGCTTAAACTCCAGTAAAAATGAGGGAACAGAGTTCTTCCCGGTGCAGACAAGCCTAGGAGCTAAAATTCAGAGTGAAAACAGAGGCATGAACAAAGGCAAAACGCATGATGCAAAGCTGCAAAGTTTGAACAAAGGAAAACAGGCTTTGTTTGTTAGGAACACCTTCAATTCTAGGAGTAGCAATTGCAACGGTAATATCTGCGGAAATAAAGATGCGTGTAGCAAAAGCGATGTAGGTGAAAATGCACTCCAACATACAGCTTCACATAACTTGGTGAACAAAATTCCAACACGGGTAAAAAGTTTAGTAAACACCACCACCAATGCTGTACCAACAAGGAAGAACAATAAGCAGTTTGCTGGCTCGGCAAGAACAGGCCTGCAATCGACAGTGACTTCTCCTGCATCTTTGCACGGGAGTTCAACAAGTCCTCCTACACCCGTTGTCTTCAAAACTCCATTGAGCACACCCTTACATAAGCAGTCAGTCAAGCCGTCCCCTTCCGATGGGTTCAAAACTCCCTACGCGCCCAGGACTTGTACCACCCCTGGGTCGGGAAGTTTCAAAACACCCACGCAGCCGAGCAACACTTGCACCACACCCTCGCTCATGGGCGGCAAAATCACCCCTCCTATGTGCCAGTGCGGTCGGAGGGCAAAGAGACGCACTGCCCAGTCGCCAGGGCCGAACGTGAATCGGGTTTTCTACTCATGCGCTTCGGGGCGCAGGAGCAGCGAGGCTGGACTTAAAGACGTCACCAACTCCAAAAAAGGGTGCGGCTATTTTAAGTGGGAGTCGATGGTTTTGGCAGAGAAACAACGGTTAGTGGCAACCTCACCAGTTAATCAAGTCAGTCCCTGGTCAGCACAGAGACAGTCGGCAGTGACATCTACTTCGCAACTTAAGAAATCTGCGGCCAAATTTTCTACTTCCAAGACAGTCACTCCAGTTGGCTTTACAGGAAAGAGACTTGGCATAGCCATGAGAGCTGTGCTACGACAGCAGAACCAAGTTTAGCTGTAGATCAGGGTTATAGACTTTAATGAAATAGTCCCTTGTTGATGCAACTACATGTACCATATTGTCACTTTTCGGGACAGGCAGCGCGCATGCTGTATTCATGAAGGGCAGCCATCGGGAAAAAATGTTGCAACCTGACGCCACTTTTTTCTTCATATATCATCTCAATGAAGGTCAGTCATTGCAAAAATGATGATAAGACATGAATCTGGGACTGAGAAACATGTCCAATTTTGTTAGGAAATACCTAGAAAATGTTCTTGACTCTCCATAGACTTTGTACACAACCGCCGAAGTGGCGTCAGGTTGCAACATCTTTTCCCAGCCATCTTTCAGCTTCAGAGTAGAAAAATGCTTGAGAATACTTTTTCTTCATTTTTTGTTGCTGCATTAAAATATGGCTGTTATGCAAAAAACAGCACGTATGATGCCTTTTCCAAAACATGGCAGTAAAACTACATTCGGAAAAAAATGTTCCAACCTGACGCCACTTTTTTCTTCAATGAAGGTCAGTAATTGCAAAAATGGTGATAAGACATGAATCTAGGACCGAGAAACATTTCCAATTTTGTTAGGAAATACTCTCCATAGACTTTGTACACAACCGCTGAAGTGGCGTCAGGTTGCAACATTTTTTCCCTACATTCTTCCAAACCATTGACAGGCATGCAACTGGGAAGTCACAAAAAAAGAGGAAATTCAAATCTTTCCCAGACTTTGTACAGTGTTTTTCTATTTTCAATGGCACACATTGGAAGTCAAAAAAGAGGAAATCAGCTGATCCGAGGAAAAGTTGCATGCCTGCATTGAGGAATAAGGTGTGCAAGTAAAATTAGACTTTGCATTGGAATTGAACTGAAGGGAGCACGAGGCAAGTGAAAGGTGTATGTACTTACGTTTTGCTGATCCACATCTACAGTTGTTCATCCATTTCTTTTTTGTACTTCTCTTGAATGCCATCAAAGATTGAAAAACACAGCAGTGGCTCTGGTAAAAGCGTAGAATTTCCTCGTTTGTGACTTCACAGATAATGATATCTGCATTTACCTTTGCGAATGGTTTAATTTATACCATGGAAGGAGAGTTTTTGACTCACAGGCTGGTCTCAAAAGCTCTCTGTTGTGTTCTCAAGGGAGGGTTTGGGAACCAGTCCAGGGCTCATACCATGCTGGTTCCCATACACTGCTGTCTTAATACATTAACAATCACTGCATACCAGGGAAGTGACCAATAGATCCTTTGCTAATTTTATTTCAGCGACGAAAAAGCAAATTCTATTTCATCGACACAAATGTTGTATTAAACTCAATGCTATTCCAAGCATTCTTTATTTACAACACACTAACTGTACATGCACATGTACGTTACTACCATTTGTACTACCACAAAGAATATTTACATTGTTTTCCCTGTGAAGGTTTGAGTTATCCAGAGAATTTGAAAATTGGAACAGACAAATTAAACTTTTGCCATTTCTATTTAAAAGTGACACTGTTTCAGCAAAACTTATAATCCTCACGCAGGATTTTGGTTAATTGGGACAAGTTTTCCACCAAATTTTGCTTTCCTTACAAGATAGTTATATACAGTACATAATAATCGTCCCTATTTTTTATCAAGTCATGTAAATAATTGATAATAATTTGTAGCATGCAAAAAGTAACAAACTTTTTCAGAAGAACAGCCCATATTCCAATGTCACTTATCAACCAATTTATACAATGTATGTAAGACTTCTAACAAAAGCCAAGGCGTGTAAAAATTATTTCCAAGCAAACTTGAATCCTCTGTCCTGATTGGGCGATCCATGGCAACCAACTGTGCTACATTATACCACAGTCCATACCGTACTCCACGTATCGTGCTAGTCCAATATGCGCGCACCATTCCTGCTGCAACTGTGAACAGTTGGTGTACAGCTTGCTTGGCCCAACTTTACTGTGCATCAAGTTTGCTTGAAGTAAAATGTCAGTTATAATATGATTTAGTTTTCATTGCTGATGGGACACAACTAAGAAAGTAAGTATTTTCATATATTTGTTTCAACCCAATGTAAAAAGAACACAGTTTTTTCCAAAACTGAATTTACTTGAGGTAATAAGATTTAAGAATATATTTATTGTATTGAAATATGACGCTGTGTAGAAACACCATAAACATGTGCTGGGTAAATAAGATTTACTTTTTGAAATTCTAACGATTTCATCACATGAAGATCAAGGATCATATTTCAAAGATCCACATTTGAAATAAAACTAACCTGAAACATGTCTGAATAGATCTATTTTTTAAAATATTTTGAAACGATATTACTGTCTGACATTAAATGGCATGCATTTGTCCATTACAGTCAACTTGTACAGTTGTGTCATTTTTCATTCGTGTTGGTACGGTAAAGAAACAAGTTTACTAGTAACTTCCTTGGCATCATCCATTATCTCTGCTGTATGCTAGCAAAATACATCAATTAATACAAAATAATAACAATCAATCACTGTGCTACACCAATGCCATATATCTTGGGCAAATTGTTGGCAATTAAGCTTCCTGTATACAGTAATAGCGGTTTGGATGTATGGTCTGAAGAACATATTAAACTATGGCAATATTAGGTGTTCAATTTTAGAGTTAGGGTTTGAAATGACCAGTTGTTTACAAAAAAAACCCAGGAAGTACTTGAAACTTGGGATTTATTGGAATGAGCTCATCAGCTCCCTGTGTGTTGCAGGCCTAGTGGTCACCGAGTATTGTGATGGGATTAGCCGCCTCAAACGCTTCTATCAAATCCTTGTGGTATACATCAATCTAAAGGAGAAAAGAAGTCTTTATTTTGTAGAAATCAAAAACAGTTTGATGGGAAAACGCAACTGTCCAAGCATTTATTATTTGAGTTGTTTGCAAGCAAAATTGAAAGGAACTACCCATTTTTACATTTATCAAAAAACTGAGTATCGAAGGGGAAAAATCATTAATGAGGACCTAGTGAGGACTACATTTTTCTACTGAAGTCTGATCTGTGGTAAGCATCATCTATACAGAAAACACTTCTTAATTCAAAGTTTTCTTGGAAATTCCCAATATATATAATATTCACAATCCACAAAATTCACAGGAGAGACGGAGGGACAGATTCTTTTTTTTTCTTTTTTTATACATATGCTGGCTAGTCTCCAGTCCACTGTTTTTGTTATCTTCAAATTTCCAATTATTTTTGCGAGTTATGGCACTGTCTCTAACTCAAAGTATATGAGTTGTGTGGGACACAATTTTCGTTAAATCTGAGGCCTAAATAACATGGGTTGTCTGTTAAAACAACCACCAACGCTGCTGAATATTGGCTGCAACTTGCCCCACTCCTATGCAAATAAGTCATGGAAGAGTGAGTGTTTGTACTTACACTTTGTAGCATCTCTGAGTAGTTGGCTCTGGCAGTGTTCATCTTATCGTCGTGAACATTCTTAGCTTCGGCCAACTGTTGAATGGACACAAATTAGCCAAGTCATCAAATTAATTCTGTGCCTTCAGTCCAAACTGAAGTTTTTGTTTTTACTTGGGCCAAAATTAATATATGTGGGGAGTAGAAGGACCCTTAACGTAAGATAGTTGCAGGACATTAAGGTGACATTTTCATGCAATTTCATTTAAATATGAAGTGATACTGCAGTGTCATTCAACAACATGCATTCAATTTGTTTAATTAGTTATTCTTTTTGGGGGTGTATTGCGTAGGGTAAGCATATTTACAATGGTTATAGATGCTTTAACCCAGAGGTCGTTCTCAAAACTCTGCTTGACATACTGCATTCAACTTTAGTCTATATTATCTTCTAAGAATCTCAAAGTTGCGTTCTTTGTGCTCTTCAGCAAATTCAATTATTTTCTATAAATAAATTTTCCACTTGTATGTTTTATTCCGACCGAACCCCCAGCCCCCCCCCCCCCCTCAATTTTCTCCCCTTATTTTGACGTCTGCAACACTCTGAAAACAAGTTTTGTTTTTGGCACAAATTGATCCGCTTTGCGAGCAGACTGGCTCCTGGGCCGTAAATTATTGATACTGAATGCGGGGCGGGAACCAGCCTATCCCTCGAGAATGTCTCCTTGTCAATGTCTCATTGAAAAGTGAATAACTTTTGTATTGCTAGAAAAAATAGCAAATATAGAAACTGAATCGGGATGAAACTCGAAAGATTTTTCGGGATGAAACTTGAGGATAGTACGGGAACGCAGCTGTGTAAGTGTGGGTGGATAATGGATGTCACTGGGAAATCCACGTATGACAGGACAAGCAATGCCTTACCTGTTGTCTGACTTGGGTTTTCTTGTCTTCTATAGCAGAGATCTGATCCATCTTCTTCTGCTGCTTCTGTGAACAACTTGCAAGATTACTGCGCAAAGGAAACACGAGTGGAAAACATTGAGGTTCTCTTGTTAAAAGAAGGTTTCTCAGAATGTTAGAAGGTTTCTCAGAATGACACAAAAATGCTGTGGATATCACACGCAGATGCAGATTAAGTCAATCTCGCTGCTGAAAATAGAAGCAATCCCTCAGCAGAGACAATGAAAGCATTGTCTTGATACTTAAGTTTGTAAAACACTGATACAAAGTATTGATTGTGATACGCGCTGTATTAAATACAATCAAGCCAGCCAACCCCGGCAATCTTGTTGGTCGCGAAGTAAGACGTCTGCACTAGTAAGCAGGAGGTCGTGGGTTCCCAGTCAAGCAAATTTGTGAATTGTTCTCACTAGCTCTCAGACAGCACTGAGTTTATAAAAAAATTGGTGACGGGCAAAACCCAATATTGGAATCCCTTTCCAGTCAATAAATATTTGTTAAAAAATAACACAGGTTTCCCTTAAAGGTATAGTCCATCATTTGTAATTTGAAGCAACAAAAGTGCTCAATATCTGAAGAAAGATGCTGAACAACCAATTTGATAAATTTTCAGCTCAGCTTCAGCTGCATTTTTCAAGAAAAACAACATTCTAGGATCTCGATTTCAAATCAAAAGTTGCTGAATCATGTTTTGAATTGGGCCTGAATCCAGCGTCCGAGACACGTTCTCACTAGCCGATTGCAGCTACGCGATGTCGTGCACTGATCCGACGAATTATAGCAACCGCGCACACGTGTGCGTCGTGCCAATGCTTGCGCGCGCTTCGCCGAATAACAAAACGAACTACAAATTTGAATTTCCTACGGTGCTTCTTAAGACGCACCGTTGGAAAGGCCTTCTTTTGTTGATTTCTTCAAAATGACAGCTTGCCAGAAAGGGAGTTTAGTCCCCTTACTATCTTTCAACCAAGTATGTTTTTTAACAATAATTACGCCAGTAATACTTTTTGGATAGCTGCAAATGATGGACTCTGGCTTTAAGCTGGCCTCAGGTCGACGGAACCGTCGGTATCAAGCACAAAAGTTATGCTCACGTCACATAACTGAGAAATCGGGTTATTGTCATGGAACAAGCGGCATCTTGACACAGAATAATCGCAACCATGCTCACGTAACTCACGACGTGACAATGATGCACAATAAAGAAGATCCATAAATACACACAATCATAACTTCACACATGTGGACTACGATTGATTCCTGCCCGTCAGGCACACGTTCCATCGCTGTGTCGAAGTTGAAATTTTTCAACCACTCCGACTGTTGATTGTTTTTTAGTGTACACTGATGACAATCATCTAAATATTCGCCAAAAAAAAATTGGCGACTTCAAAGGTTCTTGACGGTCACAGCTCAGGCGTAGCTTGATCCTGAAAAGTCAGTGGCTGACTGTTTTGTGTCGTTGCAAGGTCAACGTAGGGGCAGCTTTAATTATTGATACAAATAAAATCGCAAGACACAGTTTGAAATTTTTGGTTACCTTTCCATGGCTGTGATGGCTTCTCGGATGTCTTCCTTGCTCCGTTGATGCTGGAGCTGAACCTTAGCCACCTTGTCTTGTTTAGATTCCAGCTGTCTGTTCAGCTGAGCCTCTTTAGCGGTCAGGTCTCTCAGGGCGTCCTTCTGGCTCAGGATGTGATCGCGGACCTTCTCAACTTCACCCTTGGCATCCCTGTAGAACAAGAGAACAAAATGAAAACAGGTCTTAATTTGCAGAAAATTATCAACTAGATTTCAGTAAGGGCCCGTTTCAATTCATATCCAGGATGAGTTCCGGACAAGTTGTGGGTGGAATCATTCACTTTGTCCAGAAGAAGCTCTGTATCTGTCCCAGACGTGTTTCGGGGAAATTTTCATTAGCAACTGCTTGACTCATCAATACTGATAACTTCATTGCAGGAAGATTGCGGGGAAGTTGTTCAGAATCCTGCAACTTATACCCGATACAACGTCCGCAACTTGTCCAGAACTCGTCTCGGATATGATTTGAGATGGGCCCTGAAATATCTAGTAGACTACGGGGCTGTAATTTAACTGGATCGGAAGTCTTATTACTAAACGAGCAGGGTGAGATTTGTCAGTATTTTTCCTGTTTTCAGGTTTTCTTTTGAAAATCCCTTTGAAATCTTCTATTTGTGAGATTTTACCATACAGGTCTCTATACCTATAAAGGTTTACATAGGACCAAAAATTGGTATTTTAAGGGGTGACTTTAGCAAATTATACAAAATTAAAGAAATCGTCTTGTTCTAAAGTAAGCTCGAAAAGTCAGAAAGTTTGGACTGGTATTTTGTATACCCTGACTTTTGTGCGAATGAAAGTTTGCTTCGTCACCGGGTCCCCCATAGACTAATGTGCATTTATCTGCCGTTGTTATCCTTAAGTAAATATCTTTGAATGTTGTTAAGCACATTCGTAATTGGAATAATAATTTGGCTTATGATTCTGAAATTTCAAAATAGATAACTTCTTCCTACTTTTGTTTTTCCAGTTCCGTGTTAATGGCCGTCAGCAGCTTGACTCCTTGCTCCCCTGCCTCACAACGCTCCAACATATTCTCCTTCTGGCTGCTCAGCTCCCGTAACCTCTGACCTTTCTCCTCTGTAGCCTTCTTCCCAGCCGCGATGGCATTGTGCATGCGGGCCATGTCCGTCTTGATCCGCTCGGGGGACTGGATGATTTGGGGGCGGAGCTTGTTGCAGGCTTCCCGGGCCTTGAGGGCATTGAGCTTCAGTTGCTCCTTTAAAAAAGGAATCAAGTTGAAGTGTTTTATTACAAACCAAGGCTGTGATGGAGGCAAAGCTGAGATGATAGCCACGGTTTCAGAAGTAGGTTAGACGGCTTGTTAAAGTTAAGCTGTGCCCAAATCACTTGGCTACGGCCAGCAATATTACACGAGTCTATGGGAAGTGGCTTCAGCCGCTAGCCAGTGGCTTCCATTCGAGAGAGAGTTATTCCCATTCGTAGCCAATAGACCTTTATCGTGCTGCCACCATTTCAGTCATGTTCCCTGTATCCAATAACAGTACTGAATGATAATGTTTTTTGTGCAAAAAGGAACCAGACTGTTTTTCCTTCCAGTCTCGCTTTGGTTGCGTTGATTTGAATGGGAAAAATCAAGATGGCCTCAACATGATAATGGTCTATTGATTCGAACACAGCCTCACCATTGGCTAACACTTGCCAGGAAACGTTTTAGAAATGTGACCCCTTGTTACTACATGAGATGGTTTGCTACGTCCACAGCTAAATAAGCTGTTTTGTTGCTACAACTTTAGTTTTGACTTTGAAACACTACAGTATAAAATATTCAAAAGCTATATAGCCAAAATCTTGGATATAACTCTGTCCACTGTGACTTTCGACCTAGCTAATTATTGAGTTATGGCCAATTCAAAAAAGTGCTGATATTGTCATTTTGTCCACGGTCTTAATTGTCATTTATTAGGAATGTAATGGATTTGGGGTAAGGGTAGTTTTGCTTTCTATTATTATTTAATCTATCTTTCTTTATTACATGGTTCTTGTTATATTTTTAATTTTTTTGAACAATGGTCATTTCTCCTTTTGGAAGAAATGGTAGTCCTGAAAATGACTGTTTGGTAACATCTTAGATGTTGTTCTGTTCTGCTCTGCCCTCAACTTGGTAGCCGCTTTCACGGATGCACGTTTCACCCCATGTTCTTCTTGCGGCAGTTAATATCAGTCGACGTGGACAAAATGAAAATGTGGCACTTTGTTTTTCCATTGGCCAGTACACACTAAATATGTACCAGATTGGAAAGATTTTTTTCGTTGTTGAAAGCTCATGAACTATACTCTCTAAATATGTAGAGATATTTGCAATGTACATTTTAAAAACTGTGAAGAAGAGGGTGCTTTAGGGGTTCGGGGGCTTTTTTTGGGGGGGGGGGAGGGGTTAGACACCCTGTAGATGAAAATGGCACTGAATGACATTAATCTTCATAAATTCAAGCCCTCACAAGATTTTGATTCAACCCGAACCTTACACGGTTGAACGTACCAATCTTGCCGTTTTCTCTGAGCAGCTGGTCTTGATCTGATGGATGCCCTGCTGTAGCGAGGCCTGTTCCGCTTTGTAGCCATTCATTGTCGTCCCAAGCTCGTCAACCTTGGCAGACATCTACAACGATTCCAATATCAGACAACAAACAGCTTTATGAACATAACAGTTTTGAAATAATGACTTCAATAAAATAAATTTATTGCAATGAAAACTGATCACACAAATTTGAAAATTTGAAATGTTAAACTTATATACGCCTTGAGGTAAATTAATATGGAGTTTGTTGATGATGACTGATTGAATGAATGAAAGGAAACACCATGTGGGAATACATTTCTCAAACTAAAGAGAATGGTTCTTAAAAGAACCAGAGGTATAAACTCGACGTTCCTGTCAGTATGCTCTGACCGTCTTCAGGAGAGTGCCTAAACTCTAAGAAAGTAAACAAAGTACCAAATGCGAAATTGAGGAAGTGGTACTTATGTGTTTACTTTCTTAGTTTAGGCACTCTGAGCAAGACTGGTCATGTGACGAGAGCCCATTTGGGGACATTTCCTCACATTTCCAAGATTTTTTTCGAGATGTGTCTTAGTTTATCGCCTGCGACTATCCTACCTCTTTGACGAACACTTCTTTCTCGGCTTGGTTAGCCTTGATGGTGTTTATTTGGGATTTCAGCTCATCGATGCGTCTCAGGTAGTGATCATGCTGCTCCTTCACGCTATCCTGTAGATGATCAAACTAGGGATTAATGTCTGATATGCTTAGCCAAAATCAGCTAAGAAGTAGCTACTGGACTTGTGCGTTCCAAGCCTCACTTTTAATTTTGTTTAAAATGTGGCTAACAACATTTGAGTATGTTTAAAAGGAATGTACAACATTTGCTTTTTGCTGCAAGTTTCAGAAATGAATGGATTTGGAGGATTAGTATGTTATAGAAAATATTGTTAAACTGACTTGTTTCACGGTTTGGGCTTGTAGATGCTGGAAAAACCAAGAAATCTTGTTCTTGTAGTCTGGTTCCCTGACCCCACTTAAGATGAAACGGAGCAATTAATACACTTTGGGGAATTGTAAGGTCGGAGAATCAGTCTAGCAGGCTTGTACACCTTCAAAGGTGTGTAATCATTTGCAAAGAAAATCAGAATAACTAAATATGAAAAATTAGGAACAGTTTTTAAAAAAGGCCAGTTTTCTCTAACGCTGGTCGGCGACCAGCGTTGGAAAAATACACTTTTTCTTGAAAATGTCAGCACACCAGGAGCCACGATTTTAAAGGATGTTTTAGACTATCAGTCCCTAACAATTCAGTGGGGTATTTCATGATAATTTGATCATTTCGTTTTTTGATGTTTGCAAATGTTGTATCTTCCCTTTAATTAAAATTTCTTAATTATTCTTCAGAGCAGACTGGTGTGATGAGCTTCAATTTCATTGCTTTCATTTCCATCGCAAATTCCAAAAAAAAATGAAGAGTTTATCATGCTTTCAATTTAATATGGCGGACTCGTAAATAATTAAAGTCTGTGTCTAGGTATTTTAAATACCATTTGTAACATACACTAGAGAGTTAAGTTTGGAAATCAAAATTTAGATTTTTAAAAGTTTCGTTTGCCCCAAAATATAGGTATTAAAATTCCCTCCACAATGATTGGGCATAGTTTGGCCTTCAAAATACATTCCAGAGCTTTAATGGTGAAAAAGAATGGATGGGAAGTCTCTGATGGGTAGTTGAATGGGTAGGCTATTCATGAACCATGCAAGAAGACTGCTAGAACATACCACATCAGCTCGGATTCTCTCGTAGGTCTCCAGACGTGCCGTCTTGAACCGGCAGAAGTTAGCTACTGCGCTCACCATGCGCATGGTACGCTTGGGCTCTGAAGAGAAATTAGATGTTTAATTAAATAATTACCCCCAAAAAATGCTACCGAAAAACAAACTCAGGCAAAACATTTGATCATCTTGTTTTGAAATATGGAGAGCAGAAAACTTGGTTTTCAGTAAAGTTATAGCTGTGATTATTGAACAGAGACAAAATGTGCTGTTGGGGGAAAGAAAGATGAAACCAAGTCCTTTTTTGGGGGCAGGATTGAGGTAGCTTAGGGGCTATACAATCCACTTTACAAAGTACAAAAAAGCGTGCCAAAAATGGGTTTTGTGGAAGATTGAGTTTAGAAAGGTTAAGGAAAGCTTGATTCAAAATGTCAAGGCGTTGAGGCTTACAAACCTTTCTTTTGTTTGTAAACATTGAGTGCCATTTTGCATGGACTGCCAAAAGGGCATAATTTTAAGCCTAGCTGGCGACAAAATTTGCCCAAAACAATGCATATTAATTAACACCCTCATAATGTAAGACAGAGACATTTTTTTACTAAGTCTCGATTTTAATCATGCGCGTCGATCTTTTTTTTTTCCAAAATGTTCCGCGGTAGCTCCAACAGCGCCCTCTATTTCCGCAACTCCTCAATTTTTTTTACCAAAGAGCACCAAGGAATGGGAAATTGCACCAAGCAAATGATCGAAAGCACCAAGGCAAATTATGGAGGACACCAATGTACATGAGGACACCAAAAAAGCAAAATAGTACCCCACCTTGTCTGTACAATCCAAGCTTGAAAAAAAAAAAAAGGCCCCCCCCCCCCAAAAAAAAAGCCGCGTGGCCGCGTCAATTCCGGAACTTTGGTCTGACCAGAGACCGAATATTTTTTTGGGGGGGCCTAACATTCAGAGATATGTTTGGAAATATTAATAACTATTCTCCAATTTTGCAACATTGGCCTTCCATAGTTTTGGCAACCAGTGGTAAGCGAAAAATCACCACGGGTTGACAAAGAAAGATGTACACAACACTAGGTTACCAGAATGCCAGCTAAACATCTAGCTTAAGAATATGCTTACTGGGTTTGAGAAATTGAGGGGACATGGTGAGCATTTGAAGTCAATGAAAATTTGAAGGTTTTTTTGGTAAATATACTCACTTGGACAGGTGAGATCCTTCAACTTGAAGTCGTGTACATCACATGCTGTCATGAAACGAGCCCTGCACGGACATTAAGATTAATGATCAAAATGTTAATGATTACATCAAAATTGAACAAAGTGTCCTATCCGCTCCGTTCACAAGTACCCCTCACCGGCAAAGGAAGTACAGTTGGGGGTGACCGACCAACGCCATCTTGCCCGACTGCAATTCATTTACCGTAAAGCGCGGCCACTGCGTGTACATAGTACAAATCCCCTGGTCACACACAAGGAACGGTGCGCGTCAACCAGCGAAATGTCCCGACATGGGACATCGTTGCTAGGTAAAAGGGCGCCCTCTTTCATCGGCACACGGAAATAAACGTTTAAAATGTCCTTATTCTAGTGGCGCCAGTACAATTTACTTCAATTGGTGCCTGATTTTATGAACTCTTTTGAGTACATCGCAAAAATATAAAATCAACATCCATGCTATTTATACAGAAGCAGCATTCTTCAATTAAAGAAAAAATATTTATTTGAAAAGTTTGGTGTGCATTGTGCACCCGTTCACGGATGTGAAACTGATTGCAAACAAAATTTGGACAAACTATATTCAAATAGGGGCAGTATTTGAAAACGATGATCAGCCAACCATTGTTGGAAATTCATACCAAACATTCCACTTTTCTTGAAAATGACAGCACACCAGGTGCCATGATTTCACAAGACACTTGAGACTATTATGTCTTTTAATGTTTATATGTTGTTTTTTATTGTAAAAAAATTGATGTAATTTAGCCATTGGCTACAAGTTCAATTTCAATAAACCAACAATAATAAAATAATAATATTAAAGTAAGGTATGTCATAACAATTTGGTAGTTTTGTTTTTGTGATGTTTGCAAATGTTGTATATTAACTTCAAGACTAGACGATATGCAAATGACTTTTGATCACTTTTGATAAACTGCATGACAATACTGATTACTGAAATGTCTTTTTGTTTTTCAAATTAAAAAAAGTGTCACTTACATGACCATGGCCAAGTTGATGAGCGAGATATTTTCATCGAAAAATTCTGGGTAAGAAATCTGCTGGACGGCTTCAAAGTGAGGCTGAATGATCTTCTCCTGACGAATGTTCATTTCTGACTCCAGAATTCTGCGATAGAGAATCTGCACTCGATGCGGCTGGGGGAAAAAAGTCATCAATATCAAAAATGTAATCCAAATATAAGACACAATGATGGAAAATGTGAAATGATCATCCTTAATTATAAAGATGGTGGATAATTAGGATGAGGATGATAATTATTGATTGAGGATGGGCAACTGCATCACATATTCTAAGATTTTATTGGTCACTTTTGTGTTGCGATGAATAATTCTTTTCATGGAAATTTGAATGGCTAACTCAAAGTGAACAGTACATGCAGAATTGTTCAACTTCCGGAGTGTGCCAGCATTTCCAGAGATACCTCATTGGCAACGCATGCAAACTCCAGAGACTTCCAGAGTTTCCCAAACGAATGGTAATACGAAATTTGATCAGCTAACTCACAGTGAACAGATGCAGAATTTTTCAACTTCCGGAGTGTGCCAGCATATCCGGAATACCTCATTGGCAAAGCATGCAAACTCCAGAGACTTCCGGAGTTTCCCGAACGAATGGTAACTCTTTACCTGTGGGTTCTTGAAGTCCTCCTCAGTGAGGTTCAGATCTTCAAGCTGCAGCTCCACACGCAGCCAGGCTATCAGCTCATCGATGGGAAGAATCGGGAAGCGGAAGTTGGATGCCATCTCGAGTCTCGACCGAGTCCGTTTATTCTGATTTCATCAACTAATATTAATAGTTAATGAATAGTTAAGAAATAAATGTCATTAATTCAAACATACATGGAAAGCGGTTTGCAATCAGGGAAGAGGTTGAAGTTTGATGCCATCTTATCTGCTACGTTTTATTCAGCATGACATTCAGTCAAATTACATTAACGGAAAGATTTCCATATAAAAATCTCCAAAGCCTCAGGTTAGAAAAGGAAAAAAATTTGAGTGCAAAACTGAGAGGCGAACCCGCAACCTCGCGGTGCAAAATCCTACGCTCTATTGACTGAGCTGTCGCACTGCTCGCTTAAACGTGGGGAAACAAATAATTTTATACCTGCGTGCATATCAAAAAAGTATCGTAGAGAGCGCTAAACAACGGCTGCCGTAACGATAGCCACTTCGTTGTTTTTTATTTAGAAAATTATTAGTACTTAGGCCTACAATATTTAGAACTTGAAACATATTTTTATAAACAATGATACATGTATGTTATTAACTTGTATTGCATGCACTGCAAATGGCATATAAATTGTAACAACCTCAGATTTGATGAGTGTTGCACTGCATACAGTGCAGAATTACCGCACTGCACATAATGCAATGTGGCCATTGTTGGAATGGAAGGATTGCAAATTTCGAGCATTTTGAGCAACGATAAATTTGGCAAGAGAATGTCAAAGATTTATGCACACACTGCTTTAGAAACTATTCCAACTGTTACTAGAATTTCAATGTTTACCAACCCTACCTAACTACCCTGCTTGTGGTTTGCTTATGTCACACAATAAAGCAGTATTTGTGATTTCAAACGGGGCTACTTACGTTAGCAGCTTAGCGTTTCTCTCCCCCTTTCGTATTTACCGGTCGTTCACTCTTCGGCCCTTGAGGGCGCTCTTTCTTTTTAAGGGGAGATAATAATAACACTTGTATCAGCTGAACGCGGACGAGGTTTACTACACCGCGCAGTTCTTCTATGATTAGTTTTTTACGAAGGGGGGGGGACGATGATAAACGAAATATTAAAGAGAGGTAATAGCAACAATCGTTGCAGAGAATGATCTCTACAACAACTTTCGTGCAGGCAATTATGATATGAATTATCGAGGTTTTCTGATCCGTACTTTGTCAGTCGCTAATGAATTATGGCGGGGGGCGATCTTCAACTGTACATGGTTTCAACAACCGTTTTACGTTGTAGAAGCCGCTGTTCGTATTGTAAATAATGTTACCTTGATCATACCACTCCTTTATTTGTTAAACCTAACATTCTTGAAACTGAATGATCTCTACCACCACCGACTAGGTCATGTTTAAATATACTCACAAATATGCTCCCTCAAATTTTTGATCATCATTCTCATTTACTTAATTCTTCTCAGTATAGCGTATCCAGCTTTGGATGTCGAGGGGGGGGGGGGGGCAACCGCACATCCGCGCCGAAATGTAGACTTTTTTATCCGGACACTTTGCCTCCGTAAAATCAAAAAGCGGGGGGGGGGGGGGGGGGGGGGCTGTTGAAAATAGGGGCGCTCTTCAAAACTTACCATTATTATGCAAACTGCAAATTATATACCCATTTTCACGGCGCATTGTAATGGTTTTTGAGCGGGTTTTCTTTTTGGGGATTGATGTCAGAACTCTCTAACCATTTATTGAAATAATTGCTGAACAACAAATGTTGCGAAGAAAATCCGCCAGGGGGGCAGAGTGCTCCCTCTGCCTCCCCTCTGGATACGCCACTGCTTCTTCTGTTCATTCATACGTAGGTCAATCGAAATTTATGAGACAAAACAGAGTTTCTTTTTTTAGAAACAGACCATTTCAACTAGGTGTCATATCCTGGAATGAATTCAACATCGGATTAATAGATTCGGTACTTCTCAGTGTGGTTTCATTTGTCAACAACAACAATTGGAAAAAAAATCGATCATCAATATACTTATACACCTACTTAAAACATTTTCTTTTCTGATTTGCTTAGTCAGTATTTTACATAATTGTACCGGGTCTCGCTCTTAAACCTATTGTCCTATCTTAGTCCGTGTGTAGTTAGCTGTTTAAGTTTTGTCCTGTCCCAGGGAAAGGTACAAAAGCAGTGTTTCATCTTTTTCCTTTATGTTGACATCATTTAATATTTACACTCAATTACATACTGCCTGTGAAGAATGTTTTGTTCATATATATATAATTTTCTCTGTATGAATTGTCACTGAGGATGTCAATGTGAAAATAAATGTCGAATTGATGATTCAATTTGATGGCCGTGTTTTAAGTTTGTTCCCCCACGGGCGTAACCCTTCAAAATAGCAACCCATAAAAATAACAGAATTTTTAACAGCGTGGTAGAATTTCGAAATTGTACATGTGTAGAACGATAAGTGTAGAACCTTTTATCTCACAAAACCGTCGAGTACAGTCGCTCTCCCTTTGATTTGTTTTGAGTTTCACCCCTAATTATTTTGGGTTTTTTTAATTGCTATTTTGTTCAGCAATATAAAGTTTATTCACCTTGAAATGAGACATCGAGCAAAAAACCAAAACTTTCCCATGCACGTTATGGGATTATTACTTCTTCGAATAATTAGCGGCACGAACAAAATATATTTCACACATGAAACTTTGTGCATTATGAGCGCACATGGGCGGAGAAACCGGGAAGGGGGTACCCCCCCTCCCCCCGATTTACCCAAGTGTCCCTCTTGTGGCCATAAATGTGCCCCCTCGAGATAAAAACAAAACTTGCCCTAAAATTTGGGATATTTGTTTTCAGCAACCATTTCCCAACATGGTATAGGCCTTGAGAGTTCTGATATGAACGAGGAATATGAAAACCGTACCCCAAAACCCTTACAATGCGCTCTGGAAATGGGCACATAATAGGTATAGTTTGCATAATGGTCGGTTTTGAAGAGCGCCCCCTATATTGGAAGACGGTACCAGCACCCCCCCCCCCAAAAAAAAAACAATTGAGAAAATGGGTTGGAATTTTACCCAATTGTTCGTCAGCAAACCAACTGCCGACACTCTTGGGCAAATTCTTCCCAATAGTTGGTAAATTTTTACTCAAGTAACCCACGATGAGGTAACTTCATTACTTCACACCAAAATTGTGCAAATAACATTGCGGAAATGGGCATGCCAAACTTTTTTTTTTACAGTGGACGCAAAATAAGGAGCATATTTTCTGACGGTTGAAAAATATATATTAAAAATATATTTTACAAAGTAGTATTGTTTAGATTTCCATTTAAATAAAACATGCAAACTGAAGCTTCGTTGGGACAAAAACCCCAGAAATGATTTGAGACGTCCTTAGAAAGGTCCACCTTAAATCTCTCGAATGGAATGCGAAGCATGGCTGGGCGGCTGCGGAATTGTTTGCAGGATCAACAAACTGAATAATGTCAGAACTCGCCATAGACCTACAATTATTATACACCTACGAATCCAGGTGCTTTTATTAAATATTAACCAAAGTAATTGTGATCAGATATTTGACGTATTTAATAAGTTCACCTTGAATATTTCGAATGGAATGCGAAAGCATGGCTGGGCGACTGCAGAATTATGCACAGAATTCACAAACTGAATAATGTCTGAACTCGCAATAGGCCTACAATTATTATACACCTACGAATCCAGGTGATTTTATTAAATATTAACCAAATTAATTGTGATGAAATATTTGACGTATTTAATCAAAAACGAAGAATAATTCAATTACGTTGTATATAACTTAAGTAGGGCCTACGTGCATACGTATGTCTACAACATACATTTTTTGTATTTCAGTGCATCTAAAATTGAATAGACTCAGCAAATTTTCAACTAATTTAAAATTCAGTTACATACCTTTGAATACAATATTGAAAGCAATGTTCAGGACTGAATTATCTTTGGGGAAACAACACAGAAAGTGAGAATGCCGGTCCATCATTTTATTTTCCTTTGGAGGAAAAATGTGCCTCAAACACTGGCAGGTGCAAAAGTCATATTTAATATGAAATAAACAAAAGTTGTAAGGACAATGCTGTGAATTACACTTGTAACAACCAATACTATATCTATAGAAATGTGTTCACTATTCAGTTGTTATACCTATCATAATACAAGCCTGTGATATTTAGTTTGCCATGAAGTGCAATCAATGGACTCGTCACAAATTGTGTGGACATTAAAATGTACCATAATTATATACTCATCAATCAGTAATTATTTGCAAATATAAAAAGGACGTTATCAGATGATTGAGATAACTGAAGTTAAACCCTGGCTGGATAATACCTCCTTCGCACACTCCATTTCATCAGTAAGAATGTAATCTACATCCAGACAGGCTGCATCATCAGTGCGATAGTTCAATTCAGTCAACAAAATGGAAAACTTCCACAGGCCGGTAAGCTAAGAGTATGTGATCGTGAGCAACGTACGTTCAATGATTAATAAGATGGATTTTCCGTCGAGCTGCGTCTACGTCGATAATTGACAGTGCGTCCTGTTGGATATCTCGTCAATTTGCTTGGCGTGCACCAGTGTAGACTTAACACATTTACAAAGTGTACGTGTAGGTGCAGAACAAAACAAAAACAAAAAAATTACGGTGAGATATTTACAGTGAAGTCTGAACTTTGTTTTAGAAAGCCACGGTGAGCAATCCAGTCCGAAATGCATCAAGACTGGGTGCAGCATGTGGCTGGGATGGAGTTCCAAAGTGGGATTGTTCTGGGCATCAATGAATACCTGATGTAACTTCAACATTGGTTTTGCCCTCAAGTTGGTTTTGCCCTCCATCGATGTATTTTATAAACACTGTATACCCAGTGTTGCCCCGAGTGACTGTGAGAAAGAAATCCACTCGGTGGGACTCGATCCCACGACCTCCTGCTTACTAGCGTAGACGTCTTGCTTACTAGCTAGCGCAGACGTCTTACCACACGACCACCGAACTATTGCCAGGGTGGAATTTAGAGGATCATAGATCTGGATCTGGATCCGGATAATTAATTGGCAACGCCTCCTCTGGAGTCATCAAGCAATGGGGGTAAGGGTCCGTTCTTAGACGTGCTGGCTCATGTGCCTTTTCAGTCTTTCTTTGAAGGATGGTATGCTTCGATGACAGCGGAGCTTCGAAGGACCACAAGGTACTATTGATAAAATGAAATTTGCGTCGGGTGATGTAAATTCAATAATGGATTTTGCCCTTCACCGACATTTTTTTTTATAACACTGCATACTTGACTCAAGTCTGACAGAATACCAATCTACAACTCTACACATCTACTCTGTTTTCTTTTTATTACTCTGTGTCTTTTTATTAGCGTCGACTGCTTCCTCGCCTGGTCCGCCTACCCCAGCAGCAGGCTAGCTTCTTGACTGCCTCTAGGTAGAGGGGGTTGGCTATGGCGTAGCAGAACGGGTTCACGGTGCTGTTCACGTGAGCGATGTACACACTGGACTGGAGGTTGAAAGATAGTAAATAAAAAAGATCGATGACTTAATAAATCAATCCATAAGTACAGGTGACGACAAAATGTGTAATCAAGCCCTCAAAAGTCAATCATCAGTCAATCGTAACCAATCACAAGTCGACCGTAAGTCAATCACGAGTCGATCGCAAGTCAATCACGAGTCACTGCAAGTAATTACCACAGTCAATTAGTCAATCACAATTCAATCACAAGACATATCCATGCATCACAAGTTCTGTGATTAATGTCATCACAGGTTGATGACAAGTCAATCGTAAGTCAATCACAATTCGTAACAATTTACCATAAGTCCCCTCGAGACAACGCAACAATTCAATCATAATTCAATGCCAATTATCGATGTTCCCCTCGAGTCATATCGCACGTTCTTTCAAGTCATCACAGGCCGATGACAATCAATCACAATTTCATCACAGGCCATCACAATTTACCACAAGGCCCCTCAAGTTATTGCAAGTCAGTCACAATTAGGCAATCACAAATGAACTTCAATTATCGATTTTCTACTTCAGTCATCGCAAGTCAATGGCAGGTAATTCAAAAGTCACTGGCAGGTCATTGGCAATTATCACAAGTCACTTCACGTCATCCCAAGTCAATCCCAAGTCAATCCCAAGTCAATAATCCCGGGACATACCGTTATTTCGTTTTACCGTTTTGCATTTCCTCAAAACAAAAACAGTAAACAAACCATTGACCGTTTTGTCGTTTTACAGTTTTGTAAAACGGTCAAACGGTATTAAGATATTTACGGTTTCTTTGTTTTATAAGTTTGATAAAATTCATTACAGCATATCGGTCAATGATTTTTGTTTTAAAGATTTACACAAATAACTTTGAAAAACAGCAAAACGGTCAGTATTGAATACAGACTGTTTTTTTTATTTCAGTGTCATAGTGAGCAGTCCGTAGTGCATTTTGTGGTGCTGGGCAAGGGGGATGGAATCCCGGGACATACCGTTATTTCGTTTTACCGTTTTGCATTTCTTCAAAAACAAAAACAGTAAACGCACCGTTGACCGTTTTTTTCGTTTTACAGTTTTGTAAAACGGTCAAACGGTATTAGGTCACAAAAAACAATGACCTTTTTGTTGTTTTTCTTGATTGTTGAAAGCGATAAACGGTTAGTTGCTTCATTTTCAGAGTGTTGTTTTACAAGAACATGACAATGAAAAACGGTCAATAGTCCTGTCGACCATTTTTTGATTTAGGTTCGGCAATTAAGCAATGCACCCAGGAATGTTAATGCGTCCTCATGGGATCGAGTCATTGCCTGGGACCCAAATTACCCTCCTCACATTTCGTTCTCACGACATAGTTTTCGAACTGGCTAGCCGCGCCGAACTCCAATTTCCTTCAAATATCTGCAACTTCTTCAAACGTATTACCATCCTGTATCCATTGTAAAAATTAATGTCCCCCCTTGAAGTTTTCCAGCGCCATTTTTGCTTGCAACTCTTACTAAAACTAAAAGCCCCACCAACTGAATCGCGTGAGAAGGGGGTCAGGGTCACGCCAGGAATCACACCACGCATTATGCCGAGGTAACACTTTTTCATGTAAAGCATGGTCCCCCTCCATCCCCCTTGCCCAGCACCACAAAATGCACCACTGACTGTTCACTATGACACTGAAATAAAAAAATAAACAGTCTGTATTCAATACTGACCGTTTTGCTGTTTTTCAAAGTTATTTGTGTAAAACTGTAAAACAAAAATCATTGATCGTTATGCTGTAATGAATTTTATTAAACTTATAAAACAGAGAAACCGTATATTTATCTTAATACCGTTTGACCGTTTTACAAAACTGTAAAACGACAAAACGGTCAATGGTTTGTTTACTGTTTTTGTTTTGAGGAAATGCAAAACGGTAAAACGAAATAACGGTATGTCCCGGGATTGGATGGAGGGGGACCATGCTTTACATGAAAAAGTGTTACCTCGGCATAATGCGTGGTACCACGTGACCCTGACCCCCCTTCTCACGCGATTCAGTTGGTGGGGCTTAAGCGTTGCAAGCAAAAATGGTGCTGGAAATCTTCAAGGGGGGACATTACTTTTTACAATGGATACAGGATGGTAATACGTTTGAAGAAGTTGCAGATACTGAGGAAATTGGAGTTCGGCGCGGCTCTTAATTCACTATAGGCAGTTCGAAAACTATGTCGTGAGAACGAAATGTGAGGAGGGTAATTTGGGTCCCAGGCAATGACTCGATCCCATGAGGACTCATTAACATTCCTAGGTGCATTGCTTAATTGCCTAACCTAAATCAAAAAATGGTCGACAGGCCTATTGACCTTTTTTCATTGTCATGTTCTCGTAAAACAACACTCTGAAATGAAGCAACTAACCGTTTATCGCTTACAACAATTAAGAAAAACAACAAAAAGGTCATTGTTTTTTGTGACCTAATACCGTTTGACCGTTTTACAAAACTGTAAAACGAAAAAACGGTCAACGGTGCGTTTACTATTTTTGTTTTTGAGTAAATCCAAAACGGTAAAACGAAATAACGGTATGTCCCGGGATTGACAATCCCAAGTCATTCACAAGTCATTCACAAGTCATTCACAGTAATCATAAATCAATACAAGCGCTCTCGAGTCACATCCAGTCTTAGTGACAATACTAACCTATTCGCAAGAGGCATTTATTTTTTATTCCTTGGCAGATCTATTATGACTTAATTTTTGACTTGTGATTTGAAATTGTGATTTAATTTGTGATTGAATGATGGACACGCCTTCAACTACGACTCTAGACCAGTGTTGTAGGTCTCGAGACCTGTCTCGGTCTCGGTCTCGAGACCACTTTTTGCTGGTCTCGGTCTCGGTCTCGGTCTCGGTCTCGGGAGCTGTGGTCTCGGTCTTGGTCTCGGTCTCGGTCCCCTTTGGTCTCGATATTTTGGCTGGTCTCGAGTCGAGACCAGCCAAAAAGTGAGGGGGCGGATTTCGTTCCGGCCCCAGTTTAGGATTAAGTAGGGAATCAGTTGAGGGCAAATGTGACTGCAGTGTAATGATGATAGACATGTCTCTCTTCACTTTCTAGTGAGTGAGGCATAGTCAAACAACCATTGCTCCTTTTCTACTTGTAAATTACTAAAATATTCAAGTATTATCGCCCGGCATAGTAGCCGATGCGGGTGATACGCTGGTACAAAACACAGAGAGGTGTGCGCACTGAACCATGAATCCTAAAAGTACATCTCGCCCACCACATTCAGTTTGTGACAGCGCCCTTTTATTGTGTCGGCCTCATTCTCAAATAGGCTAATGGCGATGATGACGGCTGGCAGATTAACAGAAGATAGATCAGGCAAATATGGTTCATCAATCTTCTATAGTGTATGTAATGGTATTGACATTATACACAAATAAAGTGGCATTACATTTCAGCCTAAGCCAGGCCTCTCTGGCGACCACCTCTCAATTTTTGGGTCTACATGTACAAGTTATATTCCATGACTGAAATTTTAAAAATAAATCAATATTTTCTTGCTCCAAATTATTTTTTCATCAGGTTTACAAGGAGGTCCAATGTAAAATTAAAGCTGCTTTTAAATATCTGTTAGTAGTCATTGCTGAAACCAAGGGGTGGCTGTGGAGTTTTGGGTCCTGTAACAGTTTAGTTTAGTTCCTATAACAGATGAAACATCCACCTTTAAATTTTTACTTTTGTCAAGTTTCAACATCGCAAAAAACTAGTACAAATTGCCGTACTCCTAAGTTAGAGTTTCTTCATCATATTGACACTTTATAGTAGTTAAACAATATCATATTTAAAAAAATATGCTTTTAAAAAAGCATATTATAAAAAAAATATATCGAGTTCATCAAATTAGGTTTTCCCCTTCTTTAAATTAGGTTGGTTCCCTTTTTTTAATTGATTGTGACAATAACAAAATATGTTGCCATGTTGTAATTTATGGTATGAAGCAAACATGACGAGCACTCGCATGACACAATTAAGCAGGTACAAGTGATACCTAGCTTTCAATCACTTCCTTCACATCCCCATCAACATCAACATCTCAAGGACAGACTGTTCAGCTGTAATTAGTGACTTGTTTTTTTATTTAGATTATTGTTATTTATTATCCGCGGTCTCGGTCTCGGTCTCGGTCTCGGACCATTTCGGTCTCGGTCTCGGTCCGCCTTGAAGGGGTTGGTCTCGGTCTCGCAACTTAAGGTCTCGGTCTTGGTCTCGGTCTCGGACTATCCGGTCTCGACTACAACACTGCTCTAGACACAACTAAATCACGGGAAAATCGAGGAACTAACACCACCCCCCCCAAAAAAAACCCCCAACAACAACAAAATCGATATCTATAACATGAAATCAATTGAAATATGGACCTCCACCAATCCACAAAATATAATCAATACCAACTCAAAGATTAAGAAGTGTTTCCACCTCTTTTTTTGGGGGGGGGGGGGGGGGGGTGCGTATAACAGGCTACATAATACGCCTGAAACGGGCCTTGTGAAAGACGTTCTTAACCCTAAAGGGGCCGGGGGCGGAATCCGCCCCCCCCCCCCCTCAACGAGCTGTTATGACTTTTTAGCCTCGAGCTTTGCGCATCTTTTGATACCAAAAACATAAAAATCGGACCACGGGTCGCCGCGAAGCGAAAAATTTTCCGGCGCTACGCGCCGTGAAAACTGAATTTTTGCATATACGTCGTGTACACAGAGCAGAATTGCCATTCGTACATATGAATAATTAATTAGCCGTAATTCCAAAACCCTTTGACCTATAGTCATGAAATTTCTTGGGTATGTTTAGGAAGAGTTGCTCTATGCATGTGCCGAGTTTCAAAATTTTTCGTCACTCCATGGCCGAGATCTTAGGAGGGTTGGAATCCGCCCCCCCCCCCCCCCCGGCCGAGAGATGGTCAAAATAACCCGGCCCCTTTAGGGTTAAACAATTTGGACTCTGTTCATTTCTGTGAGTTAAACATTAAAAAAGTGCATGCCTGGTCAAAAGAGCAAATATAGGGCCTACGGTAGTTTTAGCGTTGACTTGATTTGGTAAACAAAAAGTCATGTCCCAGCGAGTCGAGTAATGAGTAAACGCATTAGGCCTATATAGATGGTAAAATAAATTGACAGGATAAATAACTTGATGAGACATCGCGCAATGGCCATTTAACGAGAGTCATCGTTCAGTTATTAGGCCTAAGGGGGCACGGTGCAAGCATTGTCTTGTATATGCATTTCTTAACAAGTTGTATTTTTGTTGGTATATAATATAGAGAGTTCATTGTGTTCAAATGGGCGGTGCACTGTAATTGTGTGAAGTTCTGTCCAATGGTGTATTGAATCACGTGTACTTTTGCTTCTGCACGTTATGAAGTAGAAGAAGTAAACTGGTATTTTATTGTAATCTTGTCTGCACAATGCTCGAATAATTGTCGAGAATCAAAGGACAAGAAACTGGCAAAATACAAATCCTTGCACCTTAATGTTCCTTATACTCAAACATAAAAAAGCACGGCAAATTATAATTATAGCTGCAGTTTTGTTTTATTTAGGGAAAATAGCAACAGCAGAAAATTACCGTTGCCTGCATACTAAGCTTAGAGTGCACAAAAAAAATCTAGACCGCCAAATTGTAAATCTAGATTTGACAACTGATTACTGATAAAAGTTTGTCCTTGCATGCCCAGGAGAAGATGACCCAAGACCAAAATCTAAATTTTTAGACAAATTTTGAAATGATAACTTTGGACTTACCTGATAGAGGACAAGAGGTATGCATGTTGGGCAAAGTGCATAAATAATGACGAGAATAGACCACGGTATAGAAGAGACGATAAGTACGATAAAGATGAGTGTCAGGGTGCGAGTCGCACGGGTACTCTCCCGTCGGCTCTCCCGTCCCTGCCCAATGACGCTCGGTGGAGGACTCCGGGAATTGGTACTCCCGTGTTCTGCTTCGAGTGCATCTCCTTGAGCTGTCATCTGCTTGTCGATAGAGTCCAGGATCGGCAATTGGCTTTTGTTTGTGGAGTGAAGGTGAGATGTGTTAAGAGGGACCGGGGTGTTTTGGTTTCGCTCTGTCGTGTCATTTTTGAAGGTGTTTTCGTGGGTTGTCTCTTCTTGGTTTGGCTCGAAGCCGGGGTTTTCATGATCAAATGTGGGCCCTGCGCTGGTCGGAGCTGGGTAGTCTTCTTCTTGTTGATTTTTGGATGCTTGCAGGCTGTTGTTTGGGACTTTTTCCGTTTGATACCTGGTCTTGTATGACACGGTACTACTTTCCAACTCCTGCATCATGACAGGACCTTTCTTGTGCGACGACTTTCTCTTGATGACCAAGTAGATGCGCAAGTAGAGCACCGCGATTATGGGTGTGGGGATCCAGAAGAAACAGACCGGGGCCAGGATGGTGAAGACCAGACTGTCCACTACGTACTGCGGGTAGCAGAATCCGGGTCTGATGCGACGGACGCCAACGATGTAAGGCCAGAGAAGGCACCAGGGGAGCCAGAGGAGAAAGGGAATGATGTAGGAGATTGAGATCATGAAGATGGCGTGACGCAAGGTGCGCCTGCGGAGATGCTTCAAGGGATGGTAGACGGCCTGGTACCGATCGGCAGCCAAGACCAGGATGGCCAGAAGAGAGATATGAATGAACACATGGTTGAGGTACAGATAGATGTCACACAGAGCTGAGCTGAAAGGCCAGTAGCCCAGCACCCAGTAGACGGTATACAGAGGCATGGTGAAGACCCCAGCTATTAGATCAGCCAGGGAGAGCCCCACGATGAAATAATTGATGTAGGTGCGCAAACGACGCTCTACGCAAAACGCAAAGAGCACGAGGAGGTTACCTAAGATTGTTACGAGGCAACAGAGGCTACTGAGCACAGCGATGATGATCTGGCCCGAGTTTAGAGACATTCCTCCCGCGGGCTCAGTGGGGAGAGTCGCGGTGATGTTCACGAAGTCGTACTCCGTGCCGTAAAAAGTAGAAATCTTGAGTGTTCCTGACGCTTGTTCCATAATGTCGGTCGTGTACCAGGAATCGATACCCAGTATCGGATCCGTTGACGGAGAGACCTCAGTCGTCAACGGTGAAACCACGGTGAAATTCAGATTCTCGTGAAGGATATCTGTGGTGTTGTCCATGTTGTGCGATGTCAACCCTCAAAACAGGAGAAATTACCCGACGGTCTTAAGCCGACGATAATGTCAAGTCTTCAGTCGTGATTAAAATTGTCGTTTGTACTTTCTTCGGTGGCCGCTTTGCGACAATTCTATTTATAAATGACTCTCGTCACTGATGACACGACGCCGAGCTCCCACCTCACATGAATTGCCTTTCAAACTGAACGGTCTGAGATAGTACATACGCTCCTTGTGAAACATACAACCAAATGCTATGGCATCCACTTCATCACTGTCGAGCGAGGGCCATTTTAACCGCTAGCCAGTTTCTGGGAAGTCACATACGATGTTGTGGATTCGAGACAATGATTCGAGCATTGTGCAGACAGAATCACTGCAGAAGCAAAAGAACACTTAATTCAAATACACCATTGGACAGCACTTCACACACAGTTCACCGCCCATTTGAATGCAATGAACCTTCTGTATAATGCCAGCAGGAGTTGTCACCGTTTAGTGCAACGATGTCTCCATCATTATAAAATAAAACCCTTGTTTTGTGCGAAAAAAATCCACAGAAACTGCCTCAACCGTCACCGCGACCCCCTTATTTATGCTAAATGATGACTCTCGTCAAGCCGTTATCGCGCGTTGTCTCATCAAGTTATTTATCCAGTCAATTTATTTTACCGTCGATGCGTATGATCATAACTCGCTCTTATACCAAACCAAGTCAATAATCAAACAGCCGTATATGCTCTTTTGGCCAGGCAAACTGTATTTTGTTGATTTTAAACTCACTGAAATGAAATAGTCAAAGTCAATGAAACGTCTTTTTACCAGGCCTGTATCAGGCGTAAGATAATAGCCTGTTGTATACGCACGCCCCCTTCCTCCAAGAGTGAAAACTATTCATAGGTGTTTTGCGAGTTGGTAGTGATTCAACCTCGTCCCCAGTGCTTACTTTATTTCCAACGTTGTTTCCAATAGTAAACCCTGGATAGGAAACTTCCTTCCTGCATCCTGATTCGATACCGCAATTGGCTAGAAATGGATTTACATCGTGTACTTGGTGTTGTTGTTCACAACGTGCAGGACGTGTTTTCGCGATCATTCGTCCACGCCTTCTCGAAAATATTCATTTCCTTTCCTGTTTGTTAATATTAATATGAAATGTGATACTGCATGTTGTCTCGTTAAGATCGTAACAGTTTAATTAAAATAAAATCATGTTTTCGTAACTCACGCCATGCTCGCGCTGCGACGAATTGATTCTGTTTTTACCCCAGACACCGCATACAAAAATACACGCAAATGTAACGCACAGGCAGGCACAAGACTACTCCTAATTTGCCTCCTTGTCAAAAAATCTAGCACATGCAAATGATCCAATACCAGGGTGAGAGAGCAGGTAGTGGTGGGCACGTACTGCTCGACACCCTGGGGACGAGGTTGGTAGTGATTTTATTTTGTGGGGGGGGGTCCATTTTCTTTAGATGACATGCGATTTGACTTTTGAATTACCTGCCATTGTCTTGCGAGGGGAACATCGATAATTGGCAATGACTTGTGATTGAATTGTGAAGTTACTGGAAGGAACTTGTGGTAAATTGTTACGACTTGTGATTGACCTGCCATGAGCTTGTGATTGGATTGTAATCGACTTGAATGTTGTTGACTTTTGCAGTGACTCGTGAACCAATTTGGGTCTTTACTACGTTCTCATAATTTCCCAGTTACTTATATGCTTTAGAAAATGTAACTATAGGATCCCCAAAATATGTTTTTGAAAAAAAAAAATGTATATATATACCCATACAAATATGGGAACAAATATATAACACGGCAAATATTTACAATTCATGCAAATTAAGCACCCTTCTCAACAGAGAATTTCATGTGTCACCCCTCCTAAATATCTTCTCCATTGGGCTACAAGAAATTACCTGAAAAGTTTGGTGCTTTGGACCGGTCGGTCACGATCTTGTCAAAAATTGAATTAATCCACCCGACTTGAAGGCGTCCATGACAAATAAGTGCGATTGGCGTTGTTGAATCGAACTATTCACAAACCGTTACTAATTTGAAGAGAACTCCATTCCGCCGGCCAGTCCTCTCCATCCACCTGAATTAACTTCTCAAATCAAGCATGCTTTTTCTCTTCCGATCAGGGCCAGATTTTATAGCGCTGCTAACCTCAGCTGAGCTTGTTCCGCGCTCACTTTCACCATTTTGTGATAACCGCGCTAGCAGAAAAATTCTGCGCTAACCCTGTGATGATAGAATCCTTATGGATGTACGCATGACATAAGCTAAGATCCTCGCCAAGCGTGGGATTTTCTGCCACAGTAAGCAGGGATTGTTCGCAATAACAGTAAGCCGAGCCATGAAATTGGGCACAGGAGAACCAAATTCCACAGAGCAACAAAGCCGATTTTAACTAAATTAAGTGCATGTTCAGCAGAAATCACCCGGGTATACCGGTCAAAAGCACATCGCATGATACTTTGGCTTTACAGTTTTTCAGGAACTGATAATTTCAATTAACTGCATCCGACGTGAAAAACTACTTTACCCAGACTGTCATGCATATTTTACGAACAGTGGTGCTTGTCCATTTTGGCTGTTGATTTTTACCGAGTGATTTCATCCATTCAATATCGACGTCCATTTGGGCCAATCAATCTTCACTTTCCGCACATTAGTGGTGTGTGTTCAATTAGGTGTGATGCACGAGGCGCAGTTCTTTCTCGTGCCACTTCAGCTTTTACAGGCATTTTGTTTTTCTTCACGAGACAAGATGCATTTTGCTATGCCGTTGCGAAAGACCAAAACCGAATTCTCTGCTTGGATAAATCTGTTTTGACCCTGGAGCATGTATAATCAATAAGTGGCAAGTTTTGTTTTATTCAGCGTGAGCCTTTTAACGGAGAGAAAATTCCTGTGATGGGAATTGTCAATGATTGGAATTTTACTCCTTTAAAAAGAAAGATCTAAACTCAAGGCCAAATTTCGAAGAAGTGTTCAAGTAAAGGAGTATTTCGATTTTGTAAAAACATCAGCTAACCATAGTGTGCATACTTTGATTTGTTTTCTTTTTGTAAGACTTTCCTTTGGAAAAGTAAGAATAGATTTGAAATGGATTTATGGAATGACAGATTTGTACTTCTGTAGGGACAACATCACATGGGTGAAGTAAAGAAAGAAGGACAAATGAACCGATTCTAGCCGAGATTCTGCCCAAAGAATGCCTCATAGTTTCTGCCCACTAGAGGAAACTCTACTACACTTTGGACATCTGGCCAGGGGAAGTGCTGGGGAGTTAAGAGCAACAATTCTAGAAGGGTATAGTGGACTGAGGGGAAACGATCAAGAGGCCGAACCAAAGCATGAGCAGTGCGAGCGGAAAAGTTCTGTCCAGTCAGCAACCTCGTCGGACAGAGACATCGTCGTGGTACGGTGTTGCAAGACTAGTCAAAGTAGCCCGTCAGCTATTGGCTAAAGTTGTAGCATGTGGACGCTAACTTAGAAAAGGCTGCCTCATTTAAAGAGTAACTTTAGAGGCCCTTTTGGGGGATGGAGCGGTCCAAATCAGGAAAATGACGTACAAAAGAATGTCGGTAATAGTCCAAGCAAGTTGTGATTTCTTGTTGGTGGAGGCTTGTTGTTAAATTGAACCTAAGAGGCGATTGCCGCTATTTAGGATGTGGCCGGACTGAGTAAGATTATGGGACAACCCCGAAACATAACGGTTCAAAATTCCATATTTCTTGGAAGCACTTTCTGTTTGAAGCCTTTCGTTAAGAGCAAACGAATAGGCCTACTAGCGAAAATTTCATTTTACCAAAATTAAAATAATATAAAGCTCTTCATTTTACCAGGGCAGTGGAAATTGACCCGTTTGAATTTTGGGGCCGATATGCCCTATAAAAGCGATCCGATTCATGCCAATCAGATTCCGTTTTACCCGATTTTTAAAACTTACCTAAATCAGACGAAAACACTTTTTGGCTTTAGAGGCCACGACACAGTTTTGTGCAGATATCCATCGACGCCCGTGGTTGGCAAATTTTTGCATTAAAAGAAAAACGTGTGCCCTCAGTACTACAAAGGCGGGGGGGGGGGGGTCTTGGTCTTCGTTTATTAGCAGTTGTTGTTGTTAATTTAGTAATTTCACATTTTCCATGCAGCTTGTTTGCATTGTGCGTTTAAAACGCTGTGAACCTATTTCACGTTTTGTTTTTAAGCAAGATAGCTTAGGAAATTATTTGATGTTTAGCACGACGACCTTAATAAATAGGCTCTAGAATTCACCATGTTACTGCCATATTATACGAACCCTTCCCGCCCCAACAGGCATATTGACACTGCTCAAAGCAGTGGGTGACACAGAAATTAGAATTTGGATTTCTCGATAAACATTCGGAATTAGTCCTTGCACTTTGTATTAGCAATTTCGGTGTTATATAGGGATGAATTTTATATTTGTTTTTGGGACCTAGAACGGGGCTTCAGCCAGCTGAATCGTGGTAATCAAATACACATAAGTTTACTAACGGTTCATATGAACTTTGCTTGTACGAGTTCGTCATAGGCATGTTAGGCGGGAAGTTTGCAAGCTTATTCTTCTGATATGTGAAAAGTGGAATGGTCAGTGGCTAATTGATGGGAATCGTTATATAAATCGAGCCAAAGTTTGACAGTTTTCCTGTACCTGTTACCTTGGTACTTTGTAATTCACCACTCTCATTAAGTATCATTAAGAGTGACTTCAGACAATATTTTATTTGTTGGGTATGTAGTTTGCTGTTCATTAGGGCCTATCACTCTTCGAGGATGATTGCATTCGAATTATAAATGTCAAATGTAACGGGGACAGGAAAACAATGTAACGGGGACAGGAAAACAAGTGGAACCCAAATGTATAGAATGACCCATAGAAATGTGGATTGTGGAGACTCTGTAAGAGCAGAGAACAGCATTCAATGAGGCCGGGCAAGAACTCGCGATTTCGACGAGCCAAGTTTAACTTGGCAAAAATCTTCGACAATCCCAACTGTGATGCCAGAACTTTCTTCTTAGTGGTTACACACCTATATTCCGACACCCCTGTTTCGACTGCTCATATTCCTATCCCTAACCGGGGGTAACACAATGTTACTCATGATAGGGATGTCGGAACATAGGGGTGTCGGAACATAGAGCAGGCACCCTCCTTAATTAAGTCAAGTCCTCAGAATCCCTCCCAAGTCAGTCTTAGGTCGTCAAGTCCAAGGTCAAGTAACAAGACTATCCAAAATGAACTTATGAAGGACATTTTGTCATCACTTTGTACCGTTTCGATGTCACGAGTGACTTCACTTATTAACTTGGACAGATCTGTGTTTTCCTCATAGTTTTCATCATAAACCTTTTGGTAAGCAAAACTTATAGCTCTTCATAAGCTTCACGAAGAAGCTCGACGAAATTAAGCCAAGAGTGGTCAAGAAAAATGAAGGCAGTCCACACGAGGTTCAAACAAAACACAATTCAACAGCAATGGACTATCAGAAATAAAGATTTCAGCAACACACATCTGGGTTTACACGCCCATTTTAGTGTCTGGTTTTAATGGGACACTCCATAGTAACATGACAGAAAGGGAATGTTAGACCATTATACTGATGCACAACACAGCCAAATATGCTTCTACTTTAAAGGCTAAAAACTAAGGGCCCACTGAAGTACTTAATCAAGGTGTTTTCCTCCGCAGAAAAACCCTCCTAGCTCTGAGAAATTAATCCATCCAGCAGACAGCATGTGAAGCCGTGTGAAACTCTGCAATTTTATCTTTGTTTTACTTTTTCGGCTCAAAACAGCTCAAAATTATTGTGTAAAAGTGCATAAACTAAAAATTACATTACTATTATTTGTATTATTACTCTTCCTCGTAGGAAAAAATGTATTTGCTAATTTGGACTAGTAGTAGTAATACAAGATTATGTCAAGAGTAACTGATTACTGTGCAAAATAATGAGAACTAGCAAATTAATAATCGAGCGTGATTACAAGATATGTATGCATAAATTGCACGGCGCTTTAAATATAGGGCATGGCAGTCCACATATCTCAAAAATTGAGACAAAACCAACAAAACATGTTTGTCTCTGAAGACTCAAGCAGCTCAAACAGCTTAAAAATGTGGACTCAACATTCACTAGTAGAATAGAATACAACTGTAAAATTACAATTATTAATCCAGAAAAAAAAACAGAAGAAAAATTGTTTCTCGTACATGTTTACATAACCTACTGCACATAATGAATTTATATGCTTAGCCTGTCATGAATTACACTTTTAATTCATTAGGAATATCCCCTTTTTGAACATCTGCGATCTAAGTTTCAAACGTACAATTCGCAAAGACTACGCGACATCAAAGACCACTCGATAGTACAATGTAATTTTAATTACAGTATTTTTTTTCCAGTGCTTTTTATCACCAATAAGCCAAATATGAACACCAAACATGTATGTATGAGAATACAAATTGCTCTAGATTCTTGCTTTCAGTTTTAAAACCTAACCAACTACCATTAACTACCTACTCGTACGCTGTTGTTGTTTTTGGTACTGAACGACTTTTAAAGACAAATTTTCTTACAAATGGTTTCTTTAATAAGGCAACAGAAACGGGTGAGATTAAAAACTCGTGGCACTTTAAGACATGAAAAAAAAAAACCACTGGAAAAAGAAACGGAAGTGATTGAATTGAACAACAATGAATGAAAAACTGACAATGCCAGAATTCAAAATCCACAGTACCCTTCGGCTTCAACGTTTTGCGTTTAGTCTGCCACAAATATACCTACGTTTTTAAAGCTACGATGTCATCTAAGCTTGCCTATTACTGATGTGTTTCACACGAAAACCTCGCACATACACCCCATTACACGCAATATTTCACACTATAAACAATCGAGGGCCTTGTGACGGTGCACAAACGATTTAGTTTGACAACACCCTCACAAAGCTTCCTTTTCTTAAACAGAATCGCATTTCATAGTTTCCTTCCAACATCACAGCTAGCTTTTCATCAGCCTGGTACATTTTTAGATCTGGAGTAGAAATCTGGGGATCGGTTCAAAGTCTCGCAAAATGGTAAATTAAACACAAATATCGTTATCTCGCTTTACAGATATTCAGGAAGTCAGGTTTCAAAACTTTTGTATCTCAAGTGTGTCCACAAATAATTCACAAAAAAAAAAAAAAAAATTAAATGTGCAGTCCTCCAAATATTCAAAACATCTGCACAGTCACGTTAGGGAAAGTGGCCTGGATATTGACAAGGTTGTAAGGAAAAACATTTGGCCCCTCAGTTTCCTGACTTAATTGTAAGAAATTTGTTAAAAGTTCATGACTTGACGGCAAAAGCTTTTACTAGTAGTACTAAAGCTAACTTGGGAGTCACAATGAAATTTCAGACAAATGCACACTCCCACGATCTCTCATGTTATTTATTTAATTTTTTTTTTACACACAACAAGCACAACAGTAATTGAAATAGCAAATGTTACAAGTACTACGATTTTTCTTGTATCAAGGGAATACAATTTCTTTAAATTCACAATTTTGTTTTTAAACAGGTTCATCAAATTCTGACCTTTTACAATTCAATTTAAATGCTTCAAGTAATTGTATTATCACGTATGTGATTTTCTCTTTCCCCACAGAAGTACAAATCTGTCATTCCATAAATCCATTTCAAATCTGTTCTTACTTTTCCAAAGAAACTTCTAACAAAAAACAAACAAAACAAAAAAAAGCAAATTTCATCTAGTACTACAACTTGGCAAATGCAGTTGTCCCAAAAATTCTCAGTTCGCAACCATTTTCAGCTCTGAATCACGCAGTGCAATTTTTCGGAAAATGGATAAAATCCAACCTCAATATATCCTTCAGCTTGGAGCTATTTTAGTACTATCACAGAATGCTTTTTAAAAAAGCTTGTCAAAATTCCCTCACATTTTGTAACACTACACAGTTCTTTTTTTCATGCTGATTAACAACTATTACTGCAGCCATTTACCTGAAGTCTTTACTTGCTCACTTCTCTGCGTAAAATCTGATTTTTTTCTGGTTTGAATTTGAAATATGACAACGGGCATTCACAAAGCCGCACGCGTATGAAGAGATTTGAACGTCCAATAAGTTGAACAAAAAAAAGAAGAAAACCACAAAAAAAGTTAATTTGTAAACCGTTACTTGATGATGCTAGTTCTACGAGAAAGGTCGTCCCACGATGCTCGGCGAACAAACTAAAACCAACGTGGTCCTCAGTCAGTGTCTTCTCTGATTTGAAGCTCTACGACCCCCTTTCTTTCATGCCTCTGAAACGACAAACGCAACATGGGAACAACTAATTAGTGGTTTGTCAAACAAATACTTTCACAGACAAAGAATTTAAATAGACAACCAATCTGCAAGTAGGTCCTTTTCTTAAAAACAACACCACCATTTTGGAGTATAAATAGAAGTGTATGCACGATCTGGTACACGGTACCCTGTGGAGACATGTGCATAATAGGGAACAAAAGATTGTATACGTCTCCACAGGGCAATTTCTATAGATGAATACGTCTCCACAAGGTTATCACGAAAAAGATAAATGGATTTTACTCAAAAACTAGGAATTTCCAAGGTGTGTTGATCTGCCGCAAATTGAAGTATTTCATGTAAGGGATATTAAGTCCAAATTTCAGCCAAGGAAATAAATTCTGGTTAAAATAGGAGCATTTTGAATCTACACTTTCAAAGTCGAAAACTTTAGTACACGAGAACAAAGAAATGACTCCACAAGGATACAAGTACCAGTTTGCATGTTATGGACGTACGTTTCCATGTTGCTATACTATTCAAAACTTTTATAATCTTTCATTTTCAGATTGAAGTCAAAGTCCTCAACTGCTGTTATGAATGGAAATTTTCCAGTGTTTGTACCAAGAAATGTCATTGCTACAGTGGCTTCTTTTGCTGAAAAAAAATGTGGCCAATTGACATCTTGCATTTGGCAGCCATATTTGAGGTGCCCAAAAGAGGTCTTCTCATGCTTATCCCTGTGGAATAAAAGCACACACCTCCAAGATGGCTGCAATGCAAACAATCTTTTCCTGATGATTTTACAAAATCAAACACTTCTATGCTGGGACACTTCTTCAAACTTTGACCTTGAGCTTAGATCTTCCTTAAATGCCAATTGATGACAATTCCCATAGGAGTTTTCTTTCTGTTAAAAGGCTCATGCTTAGTAAAAAAAACAACTTGACAATTATTGATTATGTATGATGCTCCAGGGTCAAAAAAGATTTATCCAAGCAGAGAATTTGGTTTTTGATCTAGCACAATGGTGTAACAAAATCGATCTTGTTTTGTGAAGCAAAATGCCTGAAAATGCCTGTAAATGCTGAAGTGGCACAAGAAAGAAGTACATTGGGCCCATTTCATGGTAGCGAAAAATGCCTTACTGTAGCTGAAAAGTACACGCTTTAGCATATGTCATGAGTTAGTGAGGAATTTGGCTATTGTGCGTGCGTACATCCCATATGGGATTCTGTGCTGCCAAGGTTAGCACAAAATTGTTCTGCTAGCGCTGTTAGCGCAAAATGGTGATCCTGAGCGTGGAATTCTTTGGATAGCAGGGCTACGAAATTGAGCCCCGATCTGAATAGAGAGTGTAATGGCCGGCAAGTAGGGGAATGGCCGGCCAGAAGGGGAATGGCCAGCAAGTAGGGCAATGGCTGGCTAGTAGGGGAATGGCCGGCCAGTAGGGGAATGGCCGGCCAGTAGGGGAATGGCCAGCAAGTAGGGGAATGGCCAGCTACTAGGGGAATGGCCGGCCAGTAGGGGAATGGCCGGCTAGTAGGGCAATAGCCAGCTAGTAGGGCAATGGCTGGCTTGTAGGGCAATGGCCGCTAGTAGGGCAATGGCCGGCTAGTAGGGGAATGGCCGGCTAGTAGGGGAATGGCCGGCTAGTAGGGGAATGGCCGGCCAGTAGGGGAATGGCCAGCTAGTAGGGGAATATGGCTGGTCAGTAGGGGAATGGCCAGCCAGTAGGGGAATGGCCGGCTAGTAGGGGACTCGCTGGCTAGTAGGGGAATGGCCGGCTAGTAGGGGAATGGCAGGCTAGTAGGAAAACGGCCGGCAAAATGGTGTTAAAAATAGTCAGGGAAAAAGGCTTCAAATTAGTAAGAGTTTGTGAGATAGTTAGATTCAGAAATGTCAATTGGTTATCTGTCACGGATGCATTAGTCAGTAAACAAGCCAGCACGATGTACTACTCTGCTCTGCAATTGGTTCCTACTAAGATCCTATAAAGTTAAAGGACAAGTCTTTAGGGACCAGCCAGTGACATATTTCAATTGAGTATTAAAAGGTGTATAACGCTGAAAATGTATTATGTTCATCTTGAAAAAAAAAAAACTTTCCTGGTTTTAACTGAGGCATGCTACAGTCAAGGGCGGATCCAGGGGGGGGGGGGCCAAAGGGGGCCATGGCCCCCGCCAAAACAAAACCAATTTTTTTTTTTTTTTGTATGTGACATCGCAATAAAGGCAGGCAATGAGTACACCACCATCTTTTCCTCAAAAAAAATTGGTTAAAGTGGTCAAAAATTGCCTCAGATCGCACCACAGAGCACCTAGAATCCAAAAATTTTCGGGGCCCTTAAGCGGCCCCAAACCCCACGCCGTAATTTTTTTACCCACTTTTTTGGGGGACCAAAATTTTTTTTGGCCCCCCCCCAAATTGTGTTCTGGATCCGCCCTTGGCTACAGTTTGCTTGTAATAGGGCTCTCTCATTGACTTTTGTGACCCAACTTACATCCGGGTATCAGAAAGTCAGCGTCACCGTTTGTAGAAGACAAAGATCGTATAGTGCCACGCGCAGAAAGCATTAGGCAAGCCTTCCAAGCTGCGATGGATGGCAAAAACTGTGACAAAAATGCGGAGCCAATGCTTGGTAAAAAAGCACAGGTAGTGGCCATTACGCAATTTGACAAAGAATGTGTGGTAATTTCTCAACTAAACGTTTGCCTTCTGCAATGGTTTCAAGGGGAAATCGGATGGTCACTTGGTATTTGTTGCTATGGATATCAATGTCAATTAACCTTCCCTAAGATTAAAGTATGCATGAAATTAAATATTTAGGCCTAAAAGAGGGGGTTTCAAATTTCTAACCACACGCCTAACAAAATATTTGCTGCTCTGCGAGATACGTATACTGTCTTCCATAAAAAAGGATTTTCTAAATTTTAGACCAAACAGTCACAAGTTTTGGGGTCTTTAATTATGATAAGAACATATCTTTAAAAGGGGAAAAAATTCATACAAGGGTACAGATATGTAGGTCTAAAATTTTGACCCCAAAAATATTGTAACAAAATAAGCAAACCAGCTGATTAATTCTACATTTCAATGGTCAATTAAGTTTTCTAGTCTCGTTTTCAAACCTATTCATGATCCAAGGAGCTATGGGAACACACTGGACGACCTTTCACCCTATCTATGTACAACACAGGGATTAAATTGACACTAGCAAGAACTCTGCACTTCCACGCGAGTCTGTCGCTCTAACCGGGTAAACTCTCACCCTGGATGGGACCAGGATTTAGCCCAGGGCTGAGAGACTGTACCTGTGTACAATCTGGTGCCACTTGCCCATCCTTGATCGGAACTGGTGTCGGTTTTTGAAATTTAGAAAAGAAAAAAAAATATGTGGATAAAAAATGCAAATCTGTTGGTGCTGGCCGAACGCCCCGGCACAACAGTTGTGTTTCTTTCTTTTTCAGGCAATTTTTGTTTTGTTGTCGCTGGATTTACATCCAGATATATTTGGTCTGCGAACTCTAAACTTGTTGGAGAATGTACCACGCTATGCAGCTCGCTGTTCATGTAAAATATGAGCCTCCACAACCAAGTACTGAATCATAATCATCTCTATTCGCATTTGGGGTCATCACTGAAAATCCAACGACAAAACAAAGAAAAACATAAGCCAAGGCGAACGGTCAAGCCAAGACAATCGATTCTTCCAAGGCATTCGACCAGCACAAACTGATTGGCATATTGTAGCTTAGCTGCATGAGGTGGCTGTTCGGGCTTCAAACAGTACGTGATAGTGCATCGAATGCGGATAAAGTTTGTTAGCAGCTGAGCATCGATCATCGGACACTAATGTCGAACCCTTGACAAAAACTAAAGAAACCCATTTAGTTAAAAAAGTGGCCATAATAACCAGGTTTCATTCATCTAAGTGGTTACCTGTCAGCAATTTTGGACCAATTTAGTGGCAAACTTTTTGGGTTAATACTGGCATTTTTTTTCTTTTCTTTTTTAAATCTTAGCTGGAATAGCGGGCAGGACTGTATTTGAAACTGTATGTTAATGTTAGACTTACGTTGTTACAGTGTCACAGGCACACACAACAGCAAACAAGATAAAAATTAAATCAGATTAATTAGTAGGATTAATTCACTACAGGACAAATGAGCATGTTAAATATTCACAAGGCATGCAAGTAATTAGAATATTAAATAGCATAATCAGCATTAAAAATCAGAAGCCTTCCACTCAAAAAACAAACACTGCATGAAGAAAAGAAACCAGAAAATCTGCTTAGCAATCATTCCCATATATTTTTCACAGACATTTTGAAAAACTTATTTATACTCTATTCCTTTATGTTTCAATAAAAAAAAATATGAAATGAAAAACTTTCTAATCAATCAATAATGGATCATACACCAAATTTGTGCTGATTTTGCAAAGTCTACTTTCTTAATCTACTTGAGGGTTGTACTATAGGGAATTTTTTTATCAATTGCAAAGTACTTCATTAGTGAAATTGGGAAAGATGATTGCCACACAACAATGCAACAATGTCATGTGTACTAAACCACGAAATTTATTAATAGCATTTGGGAAAGATGCTCTTGCACTTATTTGAAGGTTAATGTTGAGTATCCCTACAATGTCCAGATTGATTAAAGTTCTCATCCATGTTTACGGTTCATTCAATTATTTTTCTCACGAGAGAAATCTATCTCCAGAGGTTGGTGGCAGGGGGACTGGCAATTTTGTCTGTTAGGATTCAAGGTCTCATTTGGATAATTGATGTAACCATTTCTGAGCTTTTGGAACGGAAAGGGAATTAATGTAATTTCTGTGTAGTCCGTTATTGCTGATAATCATGGCAGAACTGGTAAGTGAATTGCCGAGTTTCATAGGCAGATTGGGTCAAAACAAAAACTTGATGTAAAAAAGAAAAGAAACAGTTTTGAAATTCAGTTGTAAAACGAAAGTCTACAAGAGGCTATAATTTAAAGAAAGATAATTTAGCTAAAAAATAGCGATTATGCATGGATTCCAAGGAAATAATCGGATTTTCGTAATATAACTTAGAAAGTAACGTAAAAAACCCAACGGTATCTATAAATTTGTGTTTTTTTTAAGTATCATGCTTCAATCTTAAACTAGTCTTCACAAGGCCCAAGATCTTTCTACGATACGAGCCGAGTATGTTACCGTGATGTCACATACAGATAAAGATATTTAAGCATTCAGGGTTTAACAATTTTTCTAAATGTCAAATTCCCTAACAAAAATGCAGCTTATGAAAACAGTTGTGTCTTTATCTCTTTGATAACAGAATTAATTGTCTAAATAAGATGTACTATCGATTAAAAATACATGTATATAAACTAAGATACCCCTCCCCAAAAAGGTCAGTGCTAGTGCTACATACTACCAAGTGCAAATGATGCAGCTGTAGTTAATGTTATTCAACCCATAAGCAACTGTACTACATTGTATCACATTGTATAACACTGTTCTACATTGTATCACATTGTATTACATTGTATCACATTGTACTACATTGTATCACATTGTATTACAATGTGTTTATTATCACTAATCAATCCATAAAACCACTGAGCGCCCAGGAAGTTTTGGGCAGCACAGGGGGTAACAGGAACAGCGGTTAGTGGCCGTACAGTGTCTTATGGGTTTCAAGACGCGCTTGAAACGAGATAGTCAGGTTTTTGAAAACGTAAAATGGGACTCAACACTCATGCCAAGCAAGCTGGACTAAAGGTCATTTCTACCGTTCTCAATCACACCATGCTGAAAAGCTAAGTCTTCAATGGACACCCCCGCAATTCTTTGCCATTTTTTTGATACTAAAAATTAGTCCTCGTTATCCGAGTCCTTCAAAAATTGATTTTTTTCCTCATGCTCTCAAGTTCAGAATAATTGAGACATTGAAATGCATATATCGCGCTGAACACGAACACGAACACAAAAATCCATCATTCATGGGTAAGTGGATATGCCAAAAACTGCAAGGTTTCACTTTTTCCACCACCGTGATTGTCATAATTATGATGGCCAAGGGCAAAGACTTGATAGTAAGGTACCAGTATGCAATATGACAAGCCGAGCAGTTGATGTCTATTGTGACATTTTATCAGAGACACAAAAGCTTTTGATGTGCGCAAGGACACAAAGAGACGTGACTTTATTAGACTGAAACTCCATCAGTTCAGCAGACTGGCAAAAAGAATGACAGAATACAGACCATTTACCCCCGGAAGGCCAATATAATTAGCCTCAAACATTACGCGAAAGAACCGGCTAGTTATTGATGGTGATATTTATAGTTAAAAAAACAATGAAAAAGGATTGCAGTTGTCCATGAAGACTACCTAGCCTGCTGCCCCAAACCAAGCAGAATACAAACAAATGCACATACACATTCCCTGGATGAACTTCAGCATACAAGCGGGAACAATGGGTCTGGCATCTAGGCTATTTCCATCTGATTTCTGTTTCTCACTTTTTTGTATTCTTGCAGTCATTTATAATTTACCCGGTTTTTATTGAGAAAAGGTATTCACAGAAATATCTGCCTTGATAGAACACTAAATTCTTCAATAATCTTTCATCTGCTTTGAAGTACAATGAGAGTTGCATTTGCTACTTCAGCTTATAAGAGAAGTTTTGAAATCAGATGTCAATTTTGCTAGACGATGAGGAAAACTACTCAAGTATTTATACTTAAGTTTGAATGACGCGGAATGGAACGCCAACTACAAAAGCAGTGCTAGGCAAATGTTAGGCTACTAGTACAAACACAGCATGATGGGCTTAACCAGTCAGAGAAGAAAATGAATCCCCAAAAGCTACAAAATGACCAATTACGACAAAAGTGTCAGACGTTCATGACACAAAGTACAATTTGAAAATTTTGAGCAACTTTTACTTTCATAATAGCCATCAGACATTACTTTATATTCTAACATTGCAATGAAAAAGAAATGTGGAAAACTCTTTCGTTTTCTCTGTAAATTTTTTCCCACCTTTTCAACTTTTGAACCTTTGTGATTTAGTGGTGCACTTAAACCAGTTCCTGCCGGAGGCCGTGTTAACGTGCTCAACTTTAGCGGTATTCGGAATAGATGACAGATAAAACACACAGGGAGCGAGGCCGGAAATATCTGTCAGCGACCCGCTCGCATTGAGCAAGGCAGGATATATGAGTGTGCTGCCTGAGGGTGATGGCTTCAACCCGCCCGGCATTGAGGTCGAGTGAACAATAATCCCGCGCCTCGTTCCGTTCTTGTCAACATAATCCCGGCGTGAACTGGTTAATGAACAATCGGTAGGTGGAAAACAGGATTAAATTTTAGCACATTTTAGCATAGTCTCTGACTGGTTTTTAGCAAGCCCTCTGCGCTACTGTTAACTACTTTTATTCATTAAGACTACAATTGCACTCTTCGTCTACATTTTAAATTTCGCTCTATTGCATTCACTACACTTTTCACTCGGCTACTGCTCTCTGATTGGCTGCGTCAAGAAACTTAAGTATAAACAAACAAAAACAAATCACCCTTTGAGTGTCCTCCTCCCCCCAGACCCGGAGAAGGAAAAAAAAAGGGGGAGGAGATAGGAAGAAGGGGGCGGAAGCCTGGAGGAGAGACTAGAGGCTAACCTCATCAGCAGTGTGGTTTACCTCGGCCGTCGCGTCCCCAGAATGCACCTCACCGGCTGCTGACACAAACACGGGATAATAAACAACAACAACAACAACCAAGGCTACGCATCATGTCAAAAATAAAAACGATAAGCAGAAAAACAGACAGCGAGAGGGACAGACAGTTTTGCAGCATGTTTGACAAATTATGGTCTGTAGTTTGATTTTGTAGTGTTTTGACCGACTGGGATGTTTTCATAGAGAATAAATCATTCTGAAGAACACCGAGTACCATGTCAGGTACCGGTTCCAGATGCCAGGTACCGGTTCCAGATGTCAGGAACTGGTTCCACATGTCAGGAACCACTTCCACATGCCAGGAACCACTTCCAGATGTCAGGAACCGGTTCCACATGTCAGGAACCGGTTCCACATGTCAGGAACTGGTTCCACATGTCAGGAACCGGTTCCACATGTCAGGAACTGGTTCCACATGCCAGGAACCACTTCCATATGTCAGGAACCACTTCCACATGCCAGGAACCGGTTCCACATGTCAGGAACCGGTTCCACATGTCAGGAACTGGTTCCACATGCCAGGAACCACTTCCACATGTCAGGAACCAGTTCCACATGTCAGGAACCGGCTCCAGATTGTGGGATCGGGTACCCGTAACCAACTTTATAAATTACTTAGTAACTTCTCAGATAGCTATAAAGAAAGCTTTTGAATGCTATTTGTATGGAATTTTCAAAACGAAAATCAGGCTCCATTCAAAACCAAAAACAGATTTCAGGTTTACCAAAGCTTACCAAAGTTGCAAAGTAAACATGAAAGCTTTAAATATTAACTACATGTACAGTACTTCCGACAACTTATGGGATTTCAATTTTGGGGTTGGTTTACTTTTACGGGTACCCATGTTTTTACTTCAATAAGGTACCCGATTCACGTACTACCCGTAAATTCACACCACCACTACACAGGCTTGTTAGTACGGAGTGTCATTGTCCCCCGTGTGCCCACCCTCAGGTACATACATTTCAACTCTAGGTTTATCCCCCACTTGACTGGGCTTTAAGAATCCATTTTACAACAATTGTTACCGTGTCAGCACCACTACCAGGACGACCGTAATTTGTCAAACTGAAGTTTAGACAAAGAGACATGCATACAGACATATCCAAACTGCATCCCATGGCCAACATACAGTATATAATCCCAGCAAAACACTGTTGCAATGAAACAATGAACGCTGGCAGCTAGGCAACTAGCAGGAACAACACTCAACAACATCACATCACTTTCATTCAAATCAAACCCTCACAACCTTTAAAACAAAACAAAATTGGATTAAAGGCCCAAATACTGAGATCTAAGCATCTGCAGACAAATTACATCTTTGTGTGTATATCTCTCTACCATTCCTTAGATGATGAGATTTGAAGGTTTGCATGGTGGAAAGATACTAAGACAAGATAGTTTGCGGTAGCACCATGTGAATAAATCTCTGAAAAGAGATTTATTCACATGGTGCTACCACAAACTTATCTTGTCTTAATTCCTCAGATGATTTTTGATAAACACTTATTGTAAGCATGAACTTGATTGACAGACATCCCAACTGATAACAAACTTTCAGGTTGAAAGCTCTCCGCCTATTAAGGCGTTATTTTGGGGCGACATTGTACAATAATACGGCATATGACTCATCACCACAAAATGAGCATAAAATTGGATTCTGCTGACCAAGAGCTTCCCAATGATATAATATTTGGGGGTACTGAGTTCAGTAACAGATACTGCCAACTTAATTGAAGTTGAAAAAGTGGCTTTTGACTTGAGGAAATGGCATTCAAAAATCCTGCTTTTGAAGATGAAAATAGATGTTAAAGATGTTCGGTAGAACCAAAAATTAAATAAAAATTAAGGTAGAATGGATTGAGGTTCTTAAAAAGAAAAGAAAAAAAGACCATTTAACTCTTGCAACTTTTCGCTTTGTCCCACTGTACTGAAAAAAAAAGGCAATTTCTGACTTAATACTCATTTTCGTGGTGACGGGTCTCATACATGTATTTTTGCATCCCACCATACATGTATATCAAGAGATGTCCCATGAGTGTGAAATACAATGTACATTTACGGTAGATCGTTTTTTTTTCCCCTTTTTCTGTTGTATAATCAATGTCACATGATCACAGCATGCAATGTTTTGGTGGGTTCATCTACACAGACTGAATGAGTTAACTAACATGATAGCTAAGATAAAGTGCAAGTTAAATTTAACTCTTATGCAGTACATGTATATCTTTGATGGACCTACAAGCTACTGGATTCATTGCTTTACTATAATCTTGATGTACCAGTAATGTTATGGTTCAATATCAAAATCCACTTGAGTTTAATTTTTAAGTTAAAACAAAGAATTTGACTGGAGTGGGTGTGAACCTAATTGCTGCTCCGGTCCTCTATCATTAACTACTGATAAAACTATCCAGCCCTATGTCGGCCGTTCCCCAATTTTTGTCAATTGTCTTTGCTCCATTTCAGTTTATTCAGAAAAAACAGTGAATGTTTTGTGCACTAATTTCTGCAACTCTTAATAGGCTAAATCTTTGTGGAACTGTACATCGTTCACGGTCACCAGTACCAATACTCTGTTCATATTGATGACATACTGGTACGTGTAATGGTCTGTCCTGAATAAGATATTATGTCATCAAAAAATGTGCATCTCCAGACAATGCAGTATTCTTCCAATCTACTAAACTATGAGAAAGTAAAAAGCTCTTGACTACACAGATGCATGTGACGTCACATGAATTATGTTTCAACCAAAACACAGTATTTCGGCTTCTAATGTTACATGACTAACAACCAAACCAACCCCCCCCCCCCCCCCCCCAAAAAAAAAACCAAACAAACAAACAAACACATATTCTTGATCAATATTAGCTTTTGCCCTTCACATATTCTTGAGGTAACTATCAGCAACACATCTGGCATTTCAGTAATTCTGCATTACACACTGCAGGGTAGTTTTGTGAATAAAATGAATAAAAAAATGACGTATTACCTGAATAAAATAGCCGAGTTTACCCGAGACACGCGTTAATCCAACAGACCAAAAAAATCCGTCCCACAGAATTTTGGTCAACATACCCTCCCCATTTATCCCCCTATTTATCCCCCTCTCCTTGGGTTGACCCCTATTAATTGTAGCGGTCTTTGGCACGTTGCTTCAAAGTCCCCCCCCCCCCTTTGCAAAAAGAACAAAACATGACTGGAGCAAATATTAAAAAAAACAAATTGTAAATAGGGTGTATTCACATCAATATGAGCATGTACTCAGACTAATCAAGAATACCATTGAGACAGCAACATCCACTACCGGTACAATGTTAGAGAAAAACACGGTGTCGTCCCTATGGTGCTTTCAATCTTTGTGTGCGTTTCAAAAGCGTAGCTAGGCCTTCAACAGTAATTGCCTCAAATCTTTTGTGTTATTTTTTATTGTCAATATAAGTCGGTCAACAAAAAACTCCCTCCCGCCTCCAAGATTAATTTCCTGCTGTCCTAGGGAGTCCATTGTTTGGGACTTTCCAGTCAATGTCAGCATGACAGAACAAACACAGAAGATAGGAACGTAACAAAGAAGACTTATTACAAATTACAGAACATCAGCAGACATTTGAAAGACATTTAATTACGCCCAAGTACAAGGTCTTGCCAAATTGCCTAGATTCTCTTGCGAGGGTATCCTGTTTTTCCCTGTTTTTTTCACAGACCCGTGACACTGATGCAACGGAGAGAAATATGAGGAACTTTTAAAATTATCAAACTGCCAGTATTATACGCATTTTGCAAATGCGATTATAATTAAACTTTTTCTCAAGGGTGGTTGTCTCCTTAATCAAGAACGACAGATTAAAAGAAAGTTTGCCACGGAAGTCAGGGGAATATGTTTCAGACAAGAATATATTTTAAAAAAAAGAATAATTTAAAATTTGAAGATATGGTTTAGATTTATATAATCTATATGCAATATTCTAGTTCCAACTTGACTTTCTGGATAATGTCAGAAAGAGGGGAAAAGTTTCAAATAAAAAAAAATTGGCACAGAAGTCTGGGAAATATGATTCAGACAAGAATAACTAAATATTAGAAAAAGATTAAATCTAATTTTCAAGATATGATTTCTATTTTACATATGATTGGTATACGGCACTATATTAAAATAGTAATGTCTTAGTTCTAACCTGACTTTCTGGATCATGTCAGAAAAAGAATTTAAGAAAACACATGTAGGGACTTTTCACAAATGATCTGACAAACTTATGAAACAAACTGTTTCGCCTGAATGTTTGTGTGTTGAAAATTTTTCACCCAAGAGACATTTTAGATTTCAGCATCTGCAGCGCCATGTACTTGTATTCAACCCCTACAATATTTGTCTGGAATTTCTTCCCACCAGTTGGAAGCATCCGACATACATCAAAATTCAAAATTCAGCAGGAAACCAATGGTTTATCCTAACTCTTAGGTATTTGTGCTAGGATGTACATGTAACCCCGATCCTGCAAAATCCTCCAACTGCTTTTATGTAAAAATTGCATACAGCCTCAATCCTCCAAAATCTTCTAGTATTTCTTGAATATGGTCCTTTGACTTTCGAGGGGTGGCCACTGCCTCAATCCTGAAAAAACTTCACCAATCACTGTCAATATAGTGAGACAGAGCCAGTAATATCCTGGAGCAGTGCGGAGAATTTCAAGTATAATCTAGGCCTACATTTATGCACGGTTGAGCATAAACAACACAAGGTCTGGCCTAAGACCTTGACACAGTGCATCCTCCAAAATCAGCCACACATTTTTGCCATATAGCCTCAATCCTGCAAAATCCTCCATTTGCAAAGAGGATTTTGGAGGATTTGGGAAGGTTAGGGTTACAGCTTTACAAAACCAAGCCATTAAATCCCTTACCGGTATTAATAGGTAATAGAGCCTAAAGTCAATTCCAGTCCCAAATTCATCAAATATCCAGAAAATTATAAGATGTTGGATTTTTACTGATTAGGGAAGGTTAATTCAATCAATCTGGATCCGTGCTACAGTCAAAAGTAGTTTTCTATGATCATCATTTGCCTTTGGAAAAAGATTCGGTCGGGATCAATACTTCTGGGCCTCCTTACTTCTATGGTTTTAAAACTAAAACAGAAAAAAGATTCACGTCTGACTTTCACTACAAGGCAATTCACTTGCCCTGCTCAGAGTTGGGAAAACACAAGATGAAAAACAAAACAGGACTAAGACTAGTAGGGACTTTGGAACTGGTGAAACTGTTAGCCGTATTAGTAGATTAACGCTGGTGGGATGAATGGAATGAGAGGTGTAATATTTCTTACCTTGATCATCTTTGCTGTAAACATAAAAATTAAAAAGAAAGAGAAAAGAAAGACAATGTTACTGACATGAAACAAGATTTATTATAGTGTTATAAGATCAGATGGGAATACAAAAGCACCCCCCCCCCAAAAAAAGAAGAAAACTGCTAAATTTCATATGTCTCCTACAATTTACCTGGAATTTTGATGGCATCAGCTTATAAAATTGTGATTTCAAGGTTTTATGACATATTCCAATTTTTCCCGACCACAATGGGGTTTTACAAACTTCAGCCTCATCTCCAACGTCAGCTTCTATTCCAAGATTTTTGATAGACTTGATAGACGCGGGATAAATAGGCTCAAAATCTGGTCCATTTTCTGCTACATGCATGTGGGTATCAAATCATAGTAAGAGGCCAAATGTTACAAGTGTGTTCATTGGGTTCAAGCTTTCGAGGCTTCTAAAGTATTCTGGGGCTAGAGATGAAGCTGAAACTGGAGACAAGTTTTGGTAAATGGGCACGGACTCACCCATATTCCCTGACCTCATCCAAGGTGATGTCTGGGTTCTCCTCGGTGTCTCCCTCCAAGTTGACGCTGATGTTGGGAATCTTGGCCAAGAGCTCGTCCACTTCGTTGTGAAGCTCTGTTTGGTAGAGCGAAGGGAGTGGGATAGGGTGTGAGGTGGGGTTGGGAAAGGGTGGGTGATAGGGTGGGGAAAGGGTGGGGGATAGGGTGGGGAAAGGGTGGGGGATAGGGTGGGGAAGGAGTGGGGATAGGGTGGGCATGGGGTGGGAGATAGGGTAGGGGTATGATGTGGGATAGGATGGAGTTAGGGTGGGAGTTGGGATGTAGGGAAAGGAAGGAGGCGGGGTAGGGGAAGGCATGGAGGACGGGTGGGGTTAAGAATTGGATATATGGATAAAGGAATTAGGGTAGGAGAGGAGATTGCAGTTGAGTTGATGAGGGTTTAGGAATTGGGGGGGGGGGGGAGTTGAGGGAGGGAGAGAGGTGGGCAAGGGGTAGGAAAGGTTAAGGTTAAGACTCAGAATTAGTATGGTGGTTACGTCTACATATTTACCCAAGATGGCCACAGATGAACGGTTTGGTGGGCATTTTTTCCCTTTGCCCAAATCATTTTTCTGATGGCTTGTACATCTAACAGTATGTAAATAACATGGTTCAGTACTTTCTATCACCGAGTGAGTGTGAGACTATGCTGTTTGGCTACATGCTGAATTTAGTTTGACACCGACCAACGTGATTACAATGTATTAAACTAAAGGTTAAATTCCCTGACAAGCTACGAGGGTCTCACCGGGTTAAAACATGCACTGTCAACACGACTTTTGGAAGAATGTTTGAATGGACGATCACGCAGAAAACATTCAATGGGAGAAAAAAAATGTACACAAAAAAACAATGTGTACAAAAGTGCCGCTTGATATCTGTCAAAAAGACCAAAGTTCCGAGGACTGATCGACCTTCGAAGCTGTAACGTATAGTTGTAGTATGCTAAAAACAATACTTAAACTTATAATTTTTCTGAAAATATATACTTCCATGCTAACTTCTCGCTCCAGCTAACCTAATACAGTATATACCTCAATTACTCAATTGATGTTCCCTTCTCTGATTTCCTGACCACTACATGTACCTAGCTAAATTGTTTTGAAGTGATTAAATAGTTGTCTACAACAAGCTATTGGTGGTATGGTTCCCCACTCTATTGCTACTGCCAGTGGACATCAGGGGTTACGGCAGGGGTGCTGACATTTTCAAAGAATGTGGCCTAGTGGTTAAGGTCCGTGACTCATGATCAGAGGTTCAATCTAGCTGCTGGTCATATGTTGTGTCCTTGGGAAAGCCACTTTACCCCATTTGCCTCTCTCCACCAAGGAGTACAAATGGGTACCGGAATTATCTGGGGATAACCTGCGATGGACTGGCGTCCCATCCAGGGGGCATAGAGACATTCTCAATTTTTATTCATGCCTATGAAACCGGAGATAAAGGCCAGCCTGATGGGCCACATCGGCTTGTGACAGTCTTTACTTTACTAGCAACAGACATTTATATTCTTACCGTCAGCAGTCTGGGCGTCGCCACTGCTTTTGACCATAGTTTCCTCGGTCGTGACCACCCTCTGACCGCCAGAGCTAGAGGAGGAGATGATCGTCCTCTCTGTCTTGATGACCGTGGTGCTAGAGGTGACCCTGGAGGATGAGGACTGCACTGTGGTGCCACCTGGTCAAGAGAGGGTCAGGGGAACATTTTGTCAAGTTGGAAGTCATCGTTAAAAATCTGTTCAACCTATTTTGAATCCAATTCACTGCTGTCAACTTGATGCCAAGTCAAGTTTTCACAGTCAACCACCTGTCCTTCGGTCTCAAGTTAATCAACAGCTTTCTAAATGACCTGAAACAAATACACTCCTCTTTCATGCTTCATCTACAGGTTACTGACTTGTGGTTTGACTTACGATTGACTTGACTCAACTACATCACTGGTCTGCATTAAGGTCAGTTCATACTCGGTGCGTAAGCGAATCCAAAACGTGAATTTGTGACATCAGCGCAAGTTTTTGAGCTGCGAATTTGCAAAAAGTGAACACATTTCAACTCCGGCGAATTTCGCAGTGAATGCTTCGTGACGTCAAATTCGCATCGCATTCGCATGAAGTACGAACCGGCTTTTACTCTGAATTGGACGAGGCTACTCACCCTGTGCCATGGGATCATCCATATCAGTCTCCTGTACCACCACCGTTGTTGTAGTTGTCGCTGCCCCTGCCGCTGGTTCGGTCTCGGCATCCCCACCAGCACCAGGTGCTGCAGACTCAGCCGTGGGTGCCTCCTCTGCCGCGGCAGCCGGCTCTTCTGCTGCCGGGGCCTCCTCGGCGATTGGGTGACCGTCTACGGGAACTTCGGGCTCCTGGGCTGGTTCGGGTTCTGGTTCCGGTTCGGGTTCTGGGGGCGGCGGGCGCATGCCCTCGGCGAGCTCCAGCATGCACATGGGCTCGGTGAAGTACCGGGCAGACAGAGAGAACCTTGAGGAAGAAACGTTTGATTCATGATTCAGTCACAGTGAGATTCAGAACAGCCTGATTTGGAGTTCCATTGTTATACTGTTCTGCCTAGTTTGTATCATTTCACTTGCGCATTGAAATCTGAGGTGCGTGTGTAATTTGAAACCTTATTGGTGGATGAGCAACCGACCCACGGACACAGGAGGCAAGGAAGACAGAAGGACACCGTGTAGAATCGACAGACCAACTGGCCTCCCTCATGCAGGACCGATTTACTTGGAAAAGCCATACTCAAACCCACCTGTGGGCGAACGAGTGGGTGACTGATTGCTGAACTTAGGACTTGATGCTATATACTACTTGCATGTTTTAAGTAAAAATAATGTCCCATAAAGTTGCTGTTCAGTGGTGACTTGTTAAGATTCTGAAGATTCCTAACAAAATGCCCAAGGTGTAAGGGTTTAAAAACAACCCAAATACTCTCAGCTAACCTTTCAAGCTCGGATGGTGAGAGCAGGTAGAATCCCTCGCCGCGAGACGTGAAGATGAGAGACTGGACTCCCGAGACGTTCTCCTTACGCAGAGCAGAGAAGCCCAGCTGCTTCTTGAGGGCTGGAATGCTGTAGATGGCTAGCTCTCCCAGGTTGGTCAGGCAACTGATGCAGTTCTCAGAGTGGTTGTCATCTTCAAGAAGAAAAGAAAAAAAAGAAGAGGTGGCGTATCTTTACAAAGCTCTTCAACTATTAAGCAACTGTAGATGTCACTATGTGGGCTACTCATTGCAGCCACTTCCACAGGTGATGTATAAGTTCAAGCCGTAGTTAATAAATAATTCAAATCTGGCCTTAGTGTCACAAGGCAGCTTCACTTGATGGTACCAAAGGTTGAAAAAAAACCCTCAATTTTTAGTGACTGCATCTTTCTCAAAGCGATATACAGTATCTCTTGACAGCTTTATCCCTGAAGTGTTTAAATAGATATCAAAACCTTCAACTTTCCAGTTTTTACTAAAACAAGAATATTGGAATTACTGGTTTATTAAGCTGCTATTGACATTTCAGTCCTGCATTAGCAGGCCATAAGGACTGCTAAAATCATTGCAGGGTTCAATTTGAATTGAGACCTGAACAGGTGACATATTCAGGGTTTCATCTGTGATTCATGGAGGTTTAATAAGATTCTTTGACGACAGGCAGAGATTATTTCTTTTTACTGAATTTACCGCGCAACCATTAATCTTATCTAGAGAATTTCAGCTGGCTAAAGACTGAGTGAAAATGGTTTCATCCTTCATACTGTCAATTATCATTTCCCAGGAATGTTTGGAGACTGTGAGTCACTTTCATCCGGTAACAACTGTGGGTGTTTTGTTAACTCACCACTTCGGCTTCTGAAGTTGATGGTGCTGACCTTGCGAACCTTGGAGCCATCGTGAGCAGTCAGTTTGGTCTTACGGGTTGGTTTCAAGCTGGGCAGGTGGAAAACCTGAGAAGAGGAGGAGTAAATGCGTCAATATCAAAAAGTCAACTTATGGTTTGTAAAAAAAAAAAACTGTTTAGGGACAAATTTTGGGACTTTTCATTGGGCTTGTGGTAAAATTCACTATGAATAACTCTTCAAAGTAGGACAGATCAGGGTTTCCAGCACGTTATGAAAACAAAAGTCCCTGAGTTTTCCCTGAGAAATTTCCGAAATTCCATGAAAAATATTTTCACTTTTAATACGGTTGCTGGGAAGTCGAAAGGTGGTTGCAGTAAAGCATATTCACACAGCATAAACACCAAAAAGCCACCATGGCCAGTCAGTCAATGGACACAACTTGGACACATGACACAAGACGAACACTCGCCAAATTGGTGAAAACATTTCCCTTCTGGGTCACTTTCAAATTGCCAGAGTTTTCCCCTGATTTTTGGTGCTTTTCCTGACTGGAAAAATTGGAACTCATTTTCGAGGTTTCTCCTGATTTCCAGAGAGGCTGGGAGCTCTGTAGAAGCTAGACAGCTGATTTAATCATACAAGGTAACTTAAGTTGTATTTATGAGTCTCTACAAGGATTGCGTTGTCTTGTGTTCCCACTTCAAAATGTCTTTCTTTGTAGTCAGTGAAAGATTACAAGAATTGAAAATCAAATGTGCAAATTTAAATCTTGAAATTAGGAGTGAGTTTCAGTTTCACATACTGGTTCATGCACTAGTTCATGTAAGCAAAACATTATGCACAGTGTTTTCCGTGAACTAGTTGTAGCGATTAGGCTATCCAACTAAGGAATGTAGTCAAGTCTATCAAAAGTCCATCACAAGTCCTCCAGTCCCAATTCAACTCACAAGCTCTTCAAATGAGCTTTGACAAAGGCATTCCTTTGTTATTATTCATCCACTATTACTTGTGACAGGACTTGGGATTTACTTGTGATGGACTCGACTACATCCCTGCATCCGCTGTTCCTACTTGGAGTTCAAACCCACCTTGAACTGTTCCTCGGAGCAGACGATGAGGCTGTGGCCGCTCATGTTGGGCGGCTTAGCGCGCTCATTCTGTACGTCAATGGGATCTGGCAAGGGGTAGGAATCGCTGTCCACGATGACTAGGGACACCACGGGAGCAGCGTGCTTCAACCTGATCTCCTTACCTGAGAAGAAGGAAGACAATTTTCAGACAAAGTAGTCAAAAATCAGACAATCTAAGGCTGGGTATGAGCAGAGAAACAACATCCTTAGACGTAAAAGTGCAAAACACACTTGAGTGTCACTCCTTTCATGATCCCGTACCCAGACATGTTCCTTGAACACCATGGAAAGGTGTAGAATAAATACATAATTCGGGAGGCTAATCATCCTTACTCGAAGCCGAGAAGCTGAATTGCGAAGGACGTGGCTACAACGTGGTCGAGCTGAAGGCATGTAAAGGTGCCTTAGGCAGCCGCCATTCGACCCATGTCTGACCACGGAGCGCAGTCAGATCAAAAGTGTTGATTTTTGCAGAGGGAGGAAAACTGGAGAGCCCGGAGAAAAACCCTTGTGGCGCAGGAGAGAATCAACGCACAACTCTACTCACATATGGTCCGAGTCGGGAATCGAACCCGGGCCACATAGGTATAAGGCACAACTTTACGTGCTAGCCACTCATGCCAGAAAGGGGTAGAACAAGGTGGCAGATTCAACTTTTTAAAGTACTGGTTTATCAACTCCTTACAGACTGGAAGACAGCATCTAGAGATCTCATTCATGCTAGGGTCTGTCCTTTAGAAGGTCATATCTCCACAGACGTAGATTTACTAAATGTATGGAGTATTTAAACGGTGTGTGAAACTGATCAGTTAAATTGGATTAAGAAATATTGTTAAACTGCTTTTCCTTGAGTGTGTTTGTGTCAGTCTGTTTCGGATCCATTGCATATCTGTAGTTCCAACAGACACGGCCAAACTAAAAATGCACTAATGGAAAGACTCTTTAAAGGGAATATACATCATTTGCTTTTGCTGTAATTTTCAGAAATGGATGGAATTGGGGGGTTGGAAATATATAGCAAATATAGTTACACTGACTTTTTTGAGGTTTTGGGTTCGAAAATGCTATAAAACCAAGAAAAACAATCATTTGCCTGTAGTATGGTTCCCTGACTCCATATAAGAAGAAACAGAGCAGTTTACATACATTGGGGAATTGTAAGGTCAGGGAACCAGTCTAGCTGGCTCGTACCCGTTTATAGGTTTGTAATCGATTGCAAACAAGTGCGATGGTCAATTGGGGCCAGTATTTGAAAAAAAGCCAGTTGTTTCCAACGCTGATCGGCCGATCAGCGTTGGAAATTGATACAAAAATACCACTTTTCTTGAAAATGACAGTATACCAGGTGCCATGATTTTACAGGATACTTTACACTGTCATTCACTAACAGTCCAGCAAGGTATTTTAAAATGATTTGGTAGTTTTATTTTTTGATGTTTGCAAATGTTGTATTTTCCCTTTAAGCCAGTCTCCAGTCTGTGGACCAACATGAAAGTCAAGACATGAAGACTTACTTATGATAGCATCCACAGCGTCCGTGTCTCTCTTGTCAGCTCCTGGGATGCTGAGGACGTAGATGATGACAGCACCGGCGTTGGTGCCACACCACAGAGATGGAGTCGCCACTTGACCTGGAAGAATAAAACAACAATCAAAATTATGAGTGTTATCTTGTCTTGCAGCTAACTTGACAAACAGTAAAGCAATGTGTAATGCTGTGCTCACTTTTCAACGGTCACTGTAGTTGCGTGCATTTCCTGCAGCAGAAACATTCATAAATGATAATTTGATGCTGACGTAGTGCTTTATTCGAAAGGTCTCAGAGTGCTTCACATTTATTACCCCTGTTCATCAGGCTGTGAGAACAGTTTTTGCAGCAACTCGAGATCATCGCATTCAGGTCTCTACCTTCACAGGTACCCATTTATACTCGTGGGCGGAGAGAGGCAATTGTAGTAAAGTGTATTGCCCAAGAACACAAGCACCATGTTCCCTGTCAGGGTTTGAACCCACGTACCTGAGCCGAACACCACAACCATTGGACCACAGTGCTCCATGCAGTTGGCTGGGCCTAATGGATCGGTCCATAATACTAGTTTGAGTCGATACCCGTCAACTAGCTCTATGCAGAAAATGACAAGATCAGATGACATCTGAGAGATGAGTGCGACTTACTGTCATTGACGAAGGTGTTGGCAAAGTAGAGATATCGGACCATGCTAGTCTTGGTGTCATCCCCCCTGGCTTCAATCTTACGCTCCACCTGGGCCATCTCACGGGTTGGGCTGGCCTTGGCACCACTGTCCTCCTTGCCCTCAGGCTGATGGACAAAGAGGAAAAACACAAAGATGTAGTCAAGACGTCACAAGTCCATCACAAGTCCTCACAGGTCCATCACAAGTCCTCACAGGTCCATCACAAGTCCCCCCAGTCCAAATTCAAATCACAAGCTATTAAAATAAGCTTTGACAAAGGCATTCCTTTGTTATTGTTCATCCACTGTTACTTGTGACTGGACTTGTTCATGGACTTGTGACTGGACTCATGATGGGCTTGTGATGGACTCGACCACATCCCAGGTCCTCACAAGTCAATCACTATTCATTCAGTCTCAAGGCCAGTGTCAAGCCATCCATCTGAACACTGTCAAAAACATTCCTTTGAAATTGTGAATTCACTGGTCTTGGTGAGCTGACTTGTACTTGTAATTTGACTTGTGATTGATTTTCCACCCTCATCAAAATTCGATGTTTTTTTAAAAAAACTTTTATCTACTGTATCCGCATCATTTTTGGTTTCAATTTGCTGTTTTTGCCTAGCTCTCTGCATAATCTACATTCAGTTATTTTCACTTCGAATATTTTTTCACCTTTTCCACTTATTTAATATCAACAATATCAACATCAGTGCCTGTGGTTATGTCTGTTTTTGTCTTAAGGTATATTATATGCGTTGTCATTTCCCTTCAAATATTCCACCCGTATCTGCGTCACTGTACAAATTTTCTCTCAATCTTTCAGTATTAATCTGTTATTGCCAAAGTGGTATCTACCTTATCAGCATCAATGTCTGTGGTTTGCACACCCTCTCCAGATGCACTAGCTCCGCCCTCAGCCTTCTCCTTCTTAGGCGATCCTCCGGCGGCGGGGCCGCTATGCTGTCGTCGCTTCCTCAACCTCCGGATGGACGCCCGCAGCGACTTGGCCATGGAGCGCTTACGAGTCATGGGCTGGCCGGTGGAGGACAGATCATTGGGGTTCAGGGTGCAGTGGGCCGTGATCAGCTTCTTCTGGGTGTTGTCAAACAGGGCGAAGCCGTGGCTGGTGCCCAGCGTGGTCAGCCCCCAGCTGCTCTGGAGCGCCAGGGCCGTGATGGAGGCCGGCGGCTGGGCCTGGACCACCATGAAGGGCTGGAAGCCGGGAGCAAACTTGAGAGGGTCTTCCTTGACGGCCAGGGACTCGTGGCCCTTCCAGACAAACTTGTCTTGCTCCCCGACAATCTGAATTGGGAAACTCTGTAAAGAAAAACATTAAAATGTTATTTGGTGGTTATTCTGTGGTGGTTTCCACAACTCAGTCTTTTTGGCAGTTTTTGGTGGGCCGGACATCATAGGTTTGCATGCGCAGTGGGTAGCAAGTTGCATATGACGTCACAAGACCGCACAAACTTATGACCCATCCATTCGCTTGTGAAATCTCTCTAATATGCTAGCTTGGTAAGTCAGAGTTCTTCATAAAGTTTCTTACCTCGACATTCTTCTCCACTTCCTCGGTTCCAATGTTGAGCACAATGACCTGGCCGGCGGTTCCACCCACCAACAGGGTGCCGCTGATGGGGCACAGGGCAATCTTCTGGACTCCTAGACGTGGGTCGTCACTGAAGGGATCAAAGTTGCCAACCTGGAGGAACAAAATAATTGCCCGATGAGTCTGATAGACTTGTAGGCACTTCTGTACAGGAGCTACATTTATGAGCCAAGTCAAAATCAAAACTGATTCCTCGAGGATTTGTGGTCAAATGTACTGGTCTGCACATGTATGGCACAAAGTGCACTCAACTAAGTTTATTCTGAATGTGCACAAAGTCATGGCGTGTTTCCGTGAGCGTCAGGCGTTGACGGAAATGCGTTCAAATATCTCTCCAGGTGGTCTCCCTAAATCTCCCTTTCTTACCAAGGGCAAACGCAGCTATGGTACATGTGCCCTTGGGCAAGTCACTTTGTCACTCATTGCTTCTCTCCACCCAGGAGTAAATGGGTACCTGTGAGGGTGGAGATGGTTATTGTGGTTGATTTAAGCTGCTTTGCCCCGAAATGGCAGCATCGAGCTGTATACTCCCCAGGGAGCTGAGATGGTATTTGGAATGTTTCAATGGCCCAAGGAGCAGGGGGGTAATAATGATGTAGCGCCTTCAGCACAAAAATGTGAATACATGCACTCTATAAATACCCATTATTATTATTGCTATTATTACCATTGAGGGTTCTTGTGCACGGAGCCCATTGGTATTAGGACTTATTTTCTTACCTTACGGAATGGAGGCCACTCTCCCTCAGTCTCCCCAGCCCCGGCATCAGCGTGTTCAGCGTCCGTCAGGAAGGCCTGGGCAGTGCTCAGCTTGTACAGGAACCTCAGGGAGACGGTGGAGGCATCCCAGAAGCGGACGGTGCCGTCCTCGTGACCCGTCATCAGGAGGTCGTGGGGCGTGGGCAGCTCGGCCAGGTTCTTACCGCCGTTCATTGGCCACTCCTGGAGGACAAGACAAAACAGGCGTCAATTTTATTACGGTACAATCATGTCCCTGGATTTTTTTCCTTGGCCACTTTTGTGGGCTAAGGATATTAGGACATCTTAAATTTGGTGAAATCGATCCCAAGATGCGTAGCAAGTTAAGACGAGTCACCCTTCTTAAGACGTGTCTTAGCCATTCCTTACCCTCTGGGAGGTGGTACTAGCCATCTGTTGCTCCCCTGCTGCAGTGATCTTGTCCCACAGCTCCGAGGGGACGTTGCTGACGTGTTGCTGACAGGTGATTGCCGAAGCATGCAAGGAGGACAGGTAGGGAAGGTTGAAGACTGGCCAACTGCAATGTAGGAATTTTAAGACAAATTGAAAAAATAGGCATGATACATGTACTTGTCATTTAAAAACAAATAGTCTGAAACTTAGATGAAAGGTCAAAAGACAAAAGTAAGGTATATTGTATATTTCCGTGGGAAATGACTTAGACTAAAGTCGTGTCTAAATTCGGGCGATTCACAATGCAGTGCGCCACCAAGAGTTTGCCAAGTAGTTCGGACACCGACTGAGATATGTTGAGTCGGATCTTACCAAGTGGGGGTCAACATTCGGCTGAAGCCTGGAGTGAATGTCATGTAATTGTTGAGCAAAAACACATTAGCAGCCACAACTTCAAAAGAGCTGTGGTTAAAACTGGACACAATTCCCTGGCTCTGCTAACCACAGAATTCCGCCCTTACAATCCAATTTGGTGCTAACATCTCTAGCAGTAAAACTCTATGCTAATACTGCAAGCACAGAATCCTTAGTGTCCATGTACAATATGAGTCCCCATGACCAAGTACTGAATCAAAAACTCCTCTTTGTCGTCACTGGAATTCTAGCGACAAGATAAAGAAAAACATAAGCCAAGACGCACGGTGTTCCAAGGCATTCCTTCAACACCAACTGATTTGCATATTGTAGCCTAGCAGCGTCAGGTCGTTGTTCTCACTTCGTACAGTACGTGTGAGCGCATAGTGCACAGCTACTGGCCGACCAACGATCATCAGACACTTTCATCAAACACCTTGACCAAGGCTACAAGTTCCTTGACTTACCCTTCTGTCTGCAGATCAATGAAGACAATCTCCTCCTCAGCCAGGACAACCAGAGTGTGGGGCTCATCAAACTCTGCAGAAAAATAAGAACAATCAATCATACAAGTCAATAACCCAACCAGGGATTGATGACTGGGATAGCTACGGTAATTGTCCGAGATATTCTATTGACGGTATTGGACACCATTAGCACAATTTTGGTCAGAAATTGCCTCAGATCGCACCAAAGAGCATCTAGAATCCAAAAATGTTTCGGGGCCCTTAAGCAGGCCCTGAACCCCACGTCGTAATTTTTGGGACCCACTTTAAGGGGGACCACATTTTTTTTGTTGGCCTCCCAAATATTGTGTTCTGGATCCACCCTTGCTCTCAATCCAACACCAATATAATAAATTGCACTCTACAACAATATTCCGCAAGTCCAGAATTGTCATAGCTTGTGCAATATATTCTTCTATCCCCCTCATAGCCATATTAAATATAAACGTTTGGCCCTCTTACCATAGACAGAGTCCACATCCGACATGGTGAAGAAGTCAATGACTTTAGAGGTGAAGTCCAAGACGACGTGCTTATTATTGCCCTGCATGACGGTCACGCAGTGGCGATCACCGTAGCTGGCCCGCGGCATACCGCCGGAGAAGATCATGAAGGGGTCGCTGTGGGTACAAACACAAATTTAGATCAGTTTTTAGCAAGATGGATGATATGAATCACTGTATTGTGCAATAATTCAGTGTTTTAATAAATGGTCCAACTAAACCCTGCTCCCAAATCCCCTCCAATCACATTAATATCACAACCCATCCCCTTTCTATACCCTCTCAACAAGCATGTCATCCTCCTTTCACCACCCTTTCCAGACAAGTGTGTATTTGCCTGCAATCGGGGACCCCCTATTGTCCCTCTTTTGTTTGTAATACTAACTTTTTAGGAAGACCTCACATGTTTTGTACACAAATCCAAATTGAGGACCTCTCGGGAATTCACTTTTGAGGAAGACATCCCATATGTTTAGTACACCAATCCACATTGAGGACCTCTCAGGAATTAACTTTTTAGGAGGACCTCCCATATGTTTTATGCACACCGCCAAATTGGGGACCTCTCGGGAATTAGGGACCCTATTGTCCTCTATTGAATGCAGAAACAAACTCAACAACCCTGTAACTCCTCCCTCCCCTGCTCAAATTTCACTCTTTTTTCTTCCTACGGTACCAACCCCGTTTTCAAAATGGTGGTTTTTTTTCTTGGCACGCATTTAGTTGAGTGTTGGTCTTTTTTTTTGATGTAGTAGATCAATTCGTTTGGAGTGTGGCTGTATTCTCTGTATGTGCTATTTATATCAGGTAATTTGGTTAGAGTTGGAAATGATTATTTCTACTCAACTTTTGCTTGATTTTATATAAATGTTTATTGTTTATTGTTAATTTTAACACCATTTATCCCGAGTCCTATTTCCCCCAGCCCCTCCCTTCTTATGTTAATCTACAATTCCACCGCTGGCGGCAAACCGGTAGAAATCAAATAAACCATTATCTACCCATCTATCTCAATACTTAAACTTCCGACGATTTGTACTCGAAACTTTCCTCAATCCTCTGAGGTGTTTTTCTCCACTTTTAACTAAGAAGAGCATCAAAAGCAATAGTTGCTGGGCTGTACTCCCAAACCCTCTAAACCTGCCCAGTGGATTTTGAAAAAAAAATCTGGAAGAGTTGCGCTAAATTTTGCTCCCAAACCCCCAAATCTCTTTGGCCATTTCAGTGGATGGGAACACTTTCCCACAGATTGCAAGCCGAGGATTAAAAATAAATCAAAAAATATAAACTGAAATCATGAAACCGTTTTATAAAAAAATTCTCCCATAAATTATCTAGTAATAATTACTAAATGAAAGAAAATGCTGATAAAGTTCCAAAAACCTTTTCACTTTCGATTGGTTTAAAACAACAATCCCTTTGTGCACATGTATGCAATTCAACATGTGAAAATGTGTGTAACAATAAGGAAATCATGACGATATGTGTTGCATTTTTATAAAAGGAATTATAAAATAGAAAACTTTCCATGCTTAGCTTTTAATAGCTCTGATTTCAGAAGAAAAAACAAACAACTCTAGCTTCGAAACATTATAAATTTGGTAATAAAATTGAGTAGTTTCAAAACAAAAAGAGAGAAGGCGCTAACACTAGTTTACAAAACCAGAGAATGAGGAAAGTGCCAGTAGCAATTCGACAGGAAATTCAATAACTCAACGACCACCAATACTTTGTTTCCCTGTTGGTCTCCCCAGGGTACTTGAAGTGCTTCCTGCTACTTGTTCTAAAGGGGTTTTCCCCTCGCCATAACACACATGTTCTTTGACACTTGGTAGGGCCCAAAAGTCAATTTTGCATTGATGGAACAGGGCCAGTTGGTTGCAGGTTTAAAATCATCTGGGAATGTAATTAGAGGCTATGCGTCCTTCATCTTCGTATGGGCTATTCTAGATTTGGTCATAAGCCTTCTCATGTTTGGTTTGAGAGCATTTGTTACAGTGATTGTGACGAAGTTTGACCGAACTATCATGGTCACCTGAGCAACAGTCGTGGTATAACTGGTCAATGTGCACGGTTGGATTGGCAGGCAGGAAGGCAGGGTCTAATGTCCATCTCTATTTTCAATGTTTAACAAACTGCCATCCACTTATGAAGGAAACTACAGGCACAGAACACTTGGATTTTCTTAAAAGTTAGTTTTGCACTCCAAGAGATAAAGATACTAGGCACGTTTTCGATCTGACTTTATTTGAGCATGTGGTGGAAACAGTGACCCCAGATGACCCCAGATGACCCCTTGTGACCTCTCACCTCTTGGTAGTCAGGTATTTCAGCTTGTTGATGGCCTTGCAAGGGAATGGTCCTGCAACAAGAGAAATGAGAACCAAACAAAAGTGCTTTTTAAAAATATATATACATTTTGAAGAATCTGAAAATATCAAGAATTTAGCAAGCATGTCATTTTGACTCAAAAATCAGACTGGAATTTTGTCTGTGTGGAATTTTGATAGGTAGAAAAATATCTCCGCTAAATTATCTGTGATATGTGCTAAAATCTCTCCGAATAGTAGGAAATATATAACGTTTGCTTTTGCTGTAATTTTCAGAAATGGATGAATTTGGGAGTTAGTGTTTTATAGCAAATATTGTTACACTGGACTTGGTTAAAGTTTTGTGTTCAAAGATGCTGGAAAAAGTACCAAAAAAAATACTGTTCTTGTAGTCTGGGTCCCTGACCCTACTTCAGATCAAACAAAGCAATCAATAGAGTTGGGAATTGTCAGGTCAGGGAACCAGACTAGCTGGCCTTCACCCGTTCATGGATATATATGTAACCGATTGCAAACAAAATGCGGACTAACTAAATTCAGCACTGTGGGGGCAGTATTTGAAAGTCAGTTTTGATACAAAAACTCCACTTTTCTTGAAAATGACAGCACACCAGGTGCCATGATTTCACAGGATGCTTGAGACTATTATTCACTTACAGTCAAGTAAGGTATTTCATAAAAATTGGGTCGTTTGTTTTTTGATGTTTGCAAATATTGCATATTACGGTACCTGGTACCTTCAATTATAGGCATACCGGTACATGTACTGCATACTGCATGTTGGCTTTCTCTGCACCATCAGGGAAAAGTGACATGGAAGCAGCTAAACTAAAAAATCTCTCACAAATTTCTGCCCGGTTAATATTAATAAATGAATACACTTGAGTTCCAGTTCTTACCAATGCTATCATCATGCTTGCAACATATGCACATTCAATTTGTACTAGAATAAACCGCAGCCTATTTCAAAATGGTAGGAATTGCCTTTTCCTTTCAATGTATTCCTTTCAATGCCAACTTTTGTTAACTCATGTTAATTGCTGCATGCAAACCATGTTAAATCTTTCTAATGCATTTAACATTCTACAAAATCTTTTCCAATTTTGCACAAGATGAAAGTTTTTTGCAGATTGATTGTTGTTACTTTCTTTTTAATTAAATGAAAGGATTGCTAAACAATGTCGATGCTTTGGTTAGTTTAATAGTGTACAGGCATGATTAAGTGAAGTTGGTGGGATTTCTGGATGAAAGTTATTTCTCAGCTAGCTTGGAAGACAACAGGTGCACATTATAGATGGGAGAGGAAATGGTGCTAAGTGCATGGAGGATCTGTCCAAAAAAAAACTTATGCAAAATACTTCTGAAATGTAGAAAAAAAATTTAAAATGTGACTATGGGGTCTTGCATGCAAACTGCCACCCTGTCTGTGTGCAAAAACAGTCAAAAGATTTATCTTTTCTTTTCGCTTTTTTTTATTTGATTTTTCTTTTGTTTTTGGAGGGTCATTGTCTTACCATTCAATTCTTCCCCATCTATAATTGGACTATTCTTGGTCCCTGATGGGCAGGTGGTGGGAGGAACATCAAATAGTGGGGAAAAGAAACACAAAGTGGTAACAAAAAAAGGGTGATTCGGGAGATTCAACTTGAAGACGAGGGGTGTGACAAAGAGAACATGGTTAAAACATGAGGTGGGGACAAATTAATGAACAGAATAAATGGTTTTGAAACAGAACGAAGAGTATAGCAGAATCCGGCGACCAGAATTAGAAGCCGCTACTGCGGTGGTGCCACGCTCACGCGCGCGTTCTTCAGGACAAGGCGCGCACATTTTGGTAACTCTTTTGGTCAAAGTAGCACGAAGAATGTGCGTACTACATGAGCACAACTCGCACGAGCCTGGTTCCACCTCAGAAAATGGCTGTCACCGGAGTAGTCTATAAGTTTTGTCACTACTGACACCGGCTTCAGATTGGCATGTCAGAAATCAAGCCGAACCAAATTATTCTGAAGATGTGAGCAAAGTAAAACTAAAGAACTCAATGTTAAAACAGTTAGTACAGTACGTGTTGAAAGCTGACTTTTGCAAATTTTTTTTAATGAATCTAGCCTTGTCAATGGAAAATGAAAGCTTTCCAGTTTGAAACTCAAATCTACTTGAATCGACCCGAGTCGCTCCAGATATTTTTCGGTACGTTGTGTCTCTGAGGTCAGTGTAACTTAGTGCAACAGTCTGAAACCAGCGTAAAGCCTGGTTCATACTTCACGCGACAGTGAAACAGCGAAAGCGTAGCCAATTTCATGACGTTAACAATTAAAGTTTTACTACGACGATCACCGTTACCCTAATGAATTCACTTTGCTAAAAATACAGAACTATGAACCAGCCATACATGTAAGTCAATTGTAACTCTCTGAATAAGCCTCTGTACTGATGACATCACACTTTGTTTCCTGTGCACTTTCCTATGGAGCCTGTGGGGGCCCAAGGTCCACTGAGCACCATAGGAAAGCACACACGTGAACAAAGCGTGACGTCATCAGTACAGAGGCTTATTTAGGCCCTCATGTTAAATTCACTGTGATCACCATTGAATCATCTGGATTAATAAGGATTAATGAATTAGCTCCGTGTACCATAGGTAATAACAGGCTCCTTCTCCGGCTGGGAGGACTCCGAGACATTCCAGACACAGTGACTGCCGTCGTTGTGAGCGCTGGTGAAGCGCAGGCCGTCGCGATGCCAACACAGCGACTCCAGCTGCTGGTTACTGACAAACGTCTTCTCGGCCGTCAGTTCCTTGGGGTGCCAGACCACGATCAGGCCCCGGTTGTAGCCAATCAGGAGCTGGTAAAGTGGAGAGTCATTTGCATATAGGGAAACAAATCGTTAATCAAGATTGTCAAACACTCTGGGAGTCTACACAGAAATTGACATTTGAGAATGTTTTAACCCCGACTCCCCAGGCACTTTTGCTAAGATGTAACCACAATACTGCAAAATCCTCCAACTGCCTCCATGTAAATGTGGTCCTTGGAGGGGTGACCACAACCTCAATCCTGCAAAATACTCCAGCAATCACTGTCAATATGTTGAGGCAGAGCCAGTGACATCCTGGAGAAGTGCGGAGGATTTCAAGTATAATCTAGGCCAAAAATCTAGGCACGGCTGAGCATAAACAACTCAAGGTGCGGCCCAAGACCCTGACACAGTGCATCCTCCAAAATCAGCAACACGTTTTTGCTATATTGTCTCAATCCTACCAAATCTCAATTTTGCAAAGAGGATTTAGGAGAATTTGGGAAGGTTAGGGTTAAAAAAGTAGGATGGTTTAACTTAGGACTTCTTTCCGAAGAAAGTCCTAAGTCAAAACGAAATTTGCTGTGAATGTTATACATTTGCTTGACTTAGGAAGCAGTATTATTTATTCAGTCTCTCACCTTTTCTTCATCGGTAGGGTGCTGAGCAATGGCCTCCACTGGGCCAGGGTTGACCTTGTAGTCATCGGGAACGCTGAAGGAGGAGGAGGAATCACGTAACCTGGTTAGAGACGGGGTTAGAAACCAAGCCAAGTAGTTGGTTGGAAAAAAATGTGAAGCGTGTGAGGAAGAACACACACAGACGACAGGAGACAAGACAGAAAACAAAGAAAGAAATCCACCGATTAAAAGAGTGTTTGTTAGATCATGGTATGAGTACATATGAGTTGTGGTTCATGAGCATTTGCAGCCTCAACAGCTAAGCAGGGCCTAATTTCATGGCTCTGCTTACCACAGAATTCCGTACTTACCATCACCATTTTAAGCCAACTGCGCTAGCCAAAAAATTCTGTGCTTACCCTGTAAGCACAGAATCATTAGTTACGGGATGTATGCATGCGTAGAAGCCAAAATTCCTTGCTAACTTGTGAAATACGCTTATTTTAAGCACGGAATTTTCTGTGACAGTAAGCAGGGATTTTTCGCAAATGGTAAGCAGAGCCACGAAATTGGGTCCTGGTTGGTCAGTTCCAAATAATTCAAAGCGCTGTTACTGATACCATGATGTAACAAAAACAATTATTGAGTGTCCTCATGAGGCTCATGGGATTTTGTACACCGCTTGTGTCATTTGCTTCCATACATGTAGCTCTTTGTTTCCCGTGGTACACAAAATACCATGAACAACTCAACCAACAGTCAACAACTGCTTAGTGCTACCAGCCATCTCCCCACCCTCGATGTGGCAAAGAGGGGTGCCATTTGCCCCTCCCATACTACTAGTGCACACAGGATGGGTTAATGCCACATTGACGTCATGGATAAGCCAATTTGTTAATTTGTTGCCAGGAAGAGAATTTCCCAATATTGATTAAAGTAATTCCTGTTAGCCTTTAAGGTGTAAAGTCAGGCCAGCATTGATGTTTTCTCCCAATTTCAGTTACCAAGAACTTGTTGTTAATCTTATTTGTGTAGTGCCATTTATATATCCTACCAACTGAAATTTAATTTAAAAATGCAGTCAGAATAAATGGTTGACTTGAAGGTGCTGGTATGTACGTGTATGTGTAAGTTTCTTGTCAGTTTTGACACTGAGGGAATGATGTTTAATTTGCATTGGAAAAGTGCGTGACATGCTGTAAACATGCTCAAAACTTAGTTGACAATGTACATCAGTATGTACGGTACCCGATAAGCCCATGCCAAAGAGTGTTTTGGGGCAAATCCAGCATTTTAGAAGAAAATGTAACGTCCGTGAAAGAGCTAGCTAATTATGATATCTAATTAATGATTAGATAGATATACATGTATGATCGAAACTCCTAGTCTGTAATCTCCTTGACCATTAGGCCTACTTGGTGAAGAATGTATAAGATTTGAAAAATACATTTTCAGGTTTATTCACTGAGCTCTTTAAGTACAAAAAAGTCTCATTTGTGATGTCCGTGATGGTGGAATAGCCCTTTAACACATAAACAAGTCGTATAACTTGTGTATATTATTTAAAATGGACCTACATTGTACATTAGCAAAGGGTATACATGTACTTATTTTTAAATTTATCTTCACATAAATTACTGTTTATTTGAAAACTGTTAGCCATTAAAAACTTCCTTTCTTTTGAAGTGTTTGCATCTTTACCACACAAATATGGGAAAATGCAGCTGTGTTGCTCATATTACCACACATATGAGTTGCTGTGTTTTGGCAAATGGTTAGATAAATATATTTTTTGGCAAGCGCTTCAGCATTAGTATCAAGTGTCGTAATACAGAAGGGGACTGAAATGTTAGACTTTTGCTTTGGCTTAAAGTCAGCACTTTAATAGAAAAAAATGCATTAAAATGATTTGCATATTATGATTTGTTGATGTTTCATGCATTTGAGTTTCAGTGTGGGTGGATGATGATGAGAATGAAATGCAAAAAAAAATAAAGAAAACCTGTGGAATGAAGAAACGAAGGAAAATTTAAGAAGCCTACAGGCAACAGGTATTTAGATAGGTCAGTGAAGATAAAATTTACTTATATGTAGAAGTCAATAGAATTCAGCGATTTTTTTTTTCTAACAGGCCTGTGTCAAGTTATTTCTCGAGCACAGTAAAAATGTTAACAATTGATGTTTATATTTTCCCTTAATCCATACATCTTGAGGATGGAAAAAAAAAAAACACCCAAAAAAATAGAATACGAAAAAAATTGAGAGACAAATTTGCATGGTAGGCCTACCGGTAGGTCTACTGATCTGAGTTAATATTGATATTTTTTTAATAATAAAAAGGGAGAAAAATATTACTTCAAGCAACAGCTCTGAAGGACTGCGCTGTAAAAATCCATGTGCAATTCACAAAACATGAACAACTGATGAACATGTTACATGTATCTATAATTGCCTTAGCACTATTCACATGCCCAGTATGCTGCATGACTCAGCCACACGACATCACCACTCGTGCGTGTCCCTCCCCACCCCGCATGTACCGAATTCCCTAGTCGACAAAAAGCTGGTAACCAGAGCAGGGTACCGAGTAAAATATACACTACTGCATGTGGCCCACGAGACTTTATGGTCAGATCGACACCACCCCTAATCTACATGCCGATTACATGTAGAGTGACTCGAGCTTGTTTGTTAATATGATGACGCTCGGTTTGAGAATGTCTGGCCCTTCAGACAAGGGATGAAAAAAGAGAGACTTCTGATCACCGTGGCAACCATGGCAGGTGCTCCTCCAGGGAGACAGACAATATTTGCTCCTGTTGCTGCGAGGACATTTTGTTACAAGACGTGTGAATTAAACACCAGATACATTCAATTATAAAAAAAGAAAGATCAGTTACCTACCGGTGCATGTACATTGTAAATATAAATGCGCCAAAATTGACAAATTAAATTTGGAAGTTAAAGATGCGTTGCCCGTGCTATTTTCGAGTTTCACCTCGGGGAAAAAAAAAAGAAGATTTTTTTCCAATGGCTGTTTTTCTATCCATATAAAAATTAATCACTTTTAAATGAGACATCGAAGGAGAAAATCCACCGTCGTGCAGTTATTGAATTATTTCTTCACGAAATTCAAATTATTGGTAGCTAGACATTAATTGGGCTCTCGCAGGGCAGGTTAATTTGTGCACAAAGTGAAAGCCCTTTCTCAGAGGGTTGGAGATGCCCATAATCTCAATACAGTAGATTTTTTCATTGAACCAAAACATACAACTTGACCATTTTTCAGGAGAAAAAATTAATCAATTTTTGGAAGAGCATGGGTATCATCTTAAAACAAGAAACAAGGGATATGGAGAGTTAAATAGAACAGCAATCACATTTTGAACTTAAGAGCCGTCAGATCAATAATTGTGATGCGATCAAGCTACATGAGTCGTTTGTCGACCCTTGTCAATTTTTTTTTTTATTACAGATTTCAAAAGAGCACAATCTCAGCATTACTGCTGTGAAAACCGCGTGCTGATACCATCTTTAGTTCCAAAATTATGGAAGTCGCAACACCAAGAGATGTGATGAAGTGATGTGATGAAGTGGCCCTATTTTGGCCTGCATCTCCACATAAAAATGCCCAACAAACAACTCATTTTAGCTTGATCACATCACAATTGTTTTCACACGACAGAAAAAATGAAAGGACATTGGTTTTAAATTTTTGCCAAGTAAATGTCGCAAAGACATCTTACATTCACAATCAAGCCTGGATGGTAAACCCACAACCCTAATAAGCCGTGACTAGGATTGCACATGTAGGCCTACATGTACCGGTACATGTACCATATTCACTAGCAAACACTTGTTTGCCAACACTTGATGCTCCCAATGACCAATAAGGTGTTTACAACTTGCGCAGGCATGGGGCCACCTAAGTAATGGCTTTTAATGGTGGTCACCAGATGAGCCTATACTTAGTCACAGTCTCAAGTCCATCCATCAGAGAACTGAGCGACAGGCCAATGCTTCGGTTTCTAGGATAAGTGCCCTCAGCCTCAAGCTGAACATACAAAAACTGGCCGTTCCAGTCTCCACAATTCCTTGGAAATGTTGTCCTTATTCCTGACAGAACCGCACGGGATGTATGAGAACATTACAAATGAAAAAAAAAATTCAGATTACATAAATTGAAGCTTTTAGTCAAGCACTCCCCAAATGCTTTGCCAATATGCCCAAGTCTGCATTAGGCAGGGCCTTGAGAGAAATGTCTCCTTCATGCTTTGAAAATCCAAACAGAATGACGAACAACTAGGGACATAATTTGGCTTCAAATGCACCATGGATGCTTTGGAAGGGCACAACAAGCTCAGACCAACATGGATACTCTTGTCCAAGAGAGAAAACAAACAGATCGCCGAATAACTCCTCGAAGAATGTCTCCAGCGTTCCCCTCTGAAATATTAATGATGCTGTTCGCAGGCAAACAAGTCTCGCAGGAGCGAGTGCCAGTTTCTTTTCTTTTTCCAACAGGGTTGGTGAGAGCTCCGTCTGAAGAAAGACAAATAAAGGGATCGATGCTCCAAGTGCAGTATCTGTCACCGGCATCAATTTCACCTGTTTTGTCTTGCCCAGAAAGACACTGCCTGTCCTGGCCAGCACATTGAGATGCAATTGCTTTTAGAAACTCAATCTCGGATAGCAAACACGGAAAGAAAATCGGCTTGTTTTTTTTAGCACTGGAGATGCCCCGCAGCTAAATGTAATTTTCAAAAAAATTACAAAAAGACCCCAAAGCCAGTGTATTTTGACAACCATTTATCCCATTTGTTTAATTAATCTTTCTTTAGTTAAGCTCATTAGAAAAAATAAGGATGATATTGACGTACAGAGTTGCCGTTAAAAATGCTAGTTCGTCTGAATTCAATATTTTTCAATTCATTCATTAGAGATCTGTTAAACACCTCCCCCCCCCCCCAACAATCGTGGTTCAATTAAAGATGCATTCGCTGTACAATTTTCAAATTTCATCCCAAAAAACAGATACCTTATCTAAATTGCTATTTTTCAAGCAATACAAAAATTATTCACTTTTGAATGAGACATCGACCGAAAAAAAAGTGGCCCAGG